TGCTGACACTAGCCCGCACCCCTCAGGGGCCAGGCCCACAGGGCCAGCCGTTCTGGATGAGGGTGGAAGATCGAGCCTCCCGCTTGGGACACCAGGTCCCTGCGAAGCGGCAGTTTCCAAGGTTGGCCCTCCAGGAGTTGGAAAATGTCAGCCACCCAATGCATGGCTGGCCAGTATGGGGCCACCAGAATGAGAGTGTGGCGCTGGGTTCGTACCCTCAGCAAGGTGGGTGGTATCAGGGCCACTGGGGGAAAAGCGTAAAGCAGTCTCTGTGGCCAGTCGTGCGCCAGCGCGTCCATGCCGAGTGGAGCGTCTCGGTCGCGCAGGGAGAAAAACAGTGGACACTGAGCATTCTCCTTGGAGGCAAAAAGATCCACTACGGCTGTGCCGAACCGGATCCAAATCTGTTCCAACACAGCTGGATGCAGGCTCCAGTCCCCGTACAGGGGTGTCCCTCTGGACAACAGATCCGTCCCCCGATTCAGAACACCTGGGACATGGGGGGCTCTGATTGAGAGGAGATGCCTGCTGCACCATAGGATCAGTCTGCGTGCCAGCGTGTGTAACCGCATGGAGCGCAGCCCCCCCCCCCCCCCCCCCCCCCCCCCCCCCTGGCGGTTTATATAAGCCACAGTCGTGGTGTTGTCTGTTCTCACTAGGACATGATGGCCGGAGAGAAAAGGCAGGAAGCGCCTCAGGGCCAGAAAAACCGCGAGGAGTTCCAGATAATTTATGTGTGTCCCCCAGAGCTCTCTGCTCCACACACCCCTGACAGAGCGACCATCCAGGAGCCCCCCCCCCCCAACCTGACAGGCTCGCATCTGTCGTGACCACTTTCCTCACGAGAACCAACCCCAAAGGCACCCCCTGTGCCAAGAGGGAGGGGTGACGCCAACAGCGGAGCGCCGCGACGCACGCTGCAGAGACCGTCACCCTGCGCGCTCTGTGGCGCACTGGAGAGAGACCCAGAGAAGCCACCCAGCGTTGAAAATCTCTCATGTGTAGACGGCCGAGTGGTACCACTGAAATAGCCGACGCCATGAGACCCACAAGCCTGAGGCATAACGCAAACCGCACCGAACTGTGTAGGCGGAAGCGCGCCAGGCAGAGCGAGAGCGCGTTCACGCACGGTGTCGAGAGACGGGCCGTGATCGCCCCTGAGTCCAGATTCAGACCTAGAAAGGTTATTTTCTGGGAGGGGAGTAAAGTGCTTTTCTGCCAGTTTATTCTGAAACCCAGACCACACAAGTGATGGATCACAACCATTTGACGCTGCCTCCTCTCTGGATCGTGCCAGCAGGAGCCAGTCGTCTAAATACGTGGCCAGCCGAATGCCCCTCCCTCTCAGAGGGGCGATCGCTGCCTCCGTACACCTGACAAACACCCTCGGGCTCAGCGAGAGGCCGAATGGGAGCACGGTGTATTCGTAACACACTCCCTGAAAGGCAAACCTCAGAAATTTCCTGTGTGGAGGGTACACAGGAATATGAAAGTATGCGTCCCTCAGGTCGATTGAGGTGAACCAGTCGTTCTGGTGAATCAGACGCAAAAGGGATGAGAGCGTGAGCATTTTGAATCTGTACTTTCTGAGGCATCGGTTCAGGGCCCTCAGATCCAGGATCGGGCGAATCCCAGTCCCTCCCCGTTTCGGGACCAGGAAGTACCTGGAGTAGAAACCGCTCTGAGACCGATCGGGAGGCACAATGCATATCGCTCCCTTCTCCAGCAGGGAGGAGATTTCTCCCTGAAGGATGTGAGCTGACGTCCCCTGGGCGTGGGAGAACACTATGCCGGAGAATCGAGGAGGAACTGAGGCGAATTGGAGCCTGTAACCTCTCGAAATAGTTCTCAGCACCCAACGTGAAGCAGAAACCGCTGTCCATTCCTCCATGTGAGTGGAGAGCGGTGACACAGCCGTGACACACGGAGCAGCAGCTCCCTCCAGAGGTTGTGGGGCAGCGGTGCTCGTGGCAGCCACTGCGCATGCACGGGGGCTTTGTGCTTTGACGGCCCAGGCGTACGGGGACGACCCGTGGCTGGCGGGTAAGTCCGCCAGGGGCCGCCCCCGCCTGGTTCCGCTCATGGGTAACATTTTTATTGATTTTTGCTGCGCCCTTGACATTTTGTCTGGATGCGTCAGCGAACGTTTTAATGCTCCTTGAGCGTGACATGTTTGTAAAAAACAGTGTGAATGATTTTGACGTGTGTTTTGAGCCGGCACAGCCGGCTGCACGTCCTGGCCCCACCCTGGACCGCTCGGGGACTCTGCCGGAGGGGTTCCGTGAGGGGGGGGGGAGAAAGCACCATGGCAACATCGAACAGGAGGAGCTGGCGAACGGGGAACTGCCAGCTGCAGCGTCGGGAGGGAAAGAACTCCGTCAGGCTGCCCTCTTCTTCTTCCTCACCTGCTGACCGCCGGGTCGGGTGGGTTGTCCCGACGGCGGAGCGGCTTGGTTGCCGGATCTCTGAGGCCAAACTGGTCGAAGCGCTGAGCCCGAAGGAGCTGGTTGGACAGCTTGAGGCTTCAGGCGCTTTGGGATCCGGAACTGAGGCTGGGCTCTGGCAGCTGCCTGAGGAAGGTTCGGCCGAGCCGGCAGCGCCGGTGAGGGCTTACGGGGAAGGCAGAGATGAAGGGCTTCATCCTCTTTCTTTTTGGCCTCACACCGTTGCTGCATTGATGCCAGGGCAGAGCCAAAAATGCCTTCAGGCACGATTGGCATGTCCAAAATGTCGTCCTTCTCTCTATCAGAGAGGTTGGTGAGGTTCAGCCATCGTGCACGTTCTTGAAGCACCATCATGCCCATAGCTTTAGCCGTAGCCTGGACCGCGCAGCGCTGAACACGCAGGCAGATGTCGGTCAGTACGGTGATTTCCTCCCACACCTCCGGGTCCGGCTTCGTATTCATGTCCTCACAGAGCTCGGCTTGGTACGCCGAGAGCATGGAGGAGACGTTCAAAGCTCGGACCGAGATGGCGGCAGCCTTGTACGCCCTCTCGTTCAGCGCCGTCTGGAAGCGGTCCGCCTTCGCAGGGAGAGCGGGAGGCCTGGAGGAAGTTGCCGAGAGCCGTGGGTGCAGGTGTGCTGCAACCAGCGGTTCCATCGGCAGCATGCGAAGCATGCCAGCCTTCTCCATCCCCTCGAAGTCCAGCGAGGAGGCTCCTTGGACAGGAGACCTGGAGCTGAAAGGGTGTTTTTCCCAGGAGGACCTCACTTCTTGGAGAAGCTCCAGGAAGGCGGGAAGGAGAGGCTTTGCCGCCCTTGTGGCCTGAGGCAGCTTCTCTCCCTCGTAGCGGGATCTGACAGCCTCCATGACCACGGTGGGCCAAGGGATGTTGAGCCTGGTCGCAGCGCGTCGGCAGACTGACTGCATGTCCAGGTGGGCGGCTGGAGAAGCCGCTCCATCCCTGGGAGAGGACGGAAAGCTAGGCATGGAGGCCTGAGCGATGGGGAGAAAAACGTCGTCATCCTCGTCCTCCTCTGAAATGAGGAGTTCCGAGGTGTCCTCGTCGTCTCCGTAGTCCAACTCCAACACGTCCTCGACGGGGTGGCTCGGACCGGCCGGTTCGAGCTGTGAGCCCCAGCTGAGTTCGGCACACGGTTCCGGCTCCGGGAGGACATGTTCGCTGGCGTCCCCAGGCGGTGGCCCAGGGGCCGGCAGGCAAGGGTCCTTCCCCGACAGGCTAGCTTGGCGCGCTAGCCGCCGGCGAAGGCTCTTCAGGGTGAAGCAAGCGCCGCTCTCACATGACCCGGGGACTTCCAATGCCAGCTGGGCGTGTTCCAGCCCAAGGCAGCTCGAGCAGACCTTGTGCTGGTCTTTGCTTGAGATTTTGTTCCCACAGGTTCAGAGGCAAGCTCCTGCGCCGTCGACTCCTCTGGTGGGAGGAGCGGCTTCCATGCTGGCTAACTGGTGTGTTAGCAAGAGAACGAACAGGTGCACTGGAGTGTGAAGCTATTCGTTATGCCCCGAACCTATGGTGAAGGTCAGGACAGGACGGTAAGTTAACGTTCGGCGACGTAGAGAATATTAGCTGGCTCCGTCTGTGAACAGTTGAGTTAACTTACCTTAGAGATAAGCGACCACCGAAGCGAGAAGAGGTGATTGAATGGTGCGTTAGGACGCGTACGTCACGGTCACTGGCCAATCAGGATTGGCGTATTGAGATAAGTGCTTCTGAGGAATCCGCGGAGTGGCGTATCACATAGTGAGACATCGAAACGAATGTTAAGAAAGAGAACTTGGTCCTTTAATTTTATGAAAACATTAACTGATTTACTGAAAAGAGACATTTATGAGATGGATGGATACATACACAAACACCATAACACACACACACACACACTTGCAAACAGTTTTCTCCATATCATTAGTGTAACTAACTGGACACTGATTAAATTAGAGCAGGGCTCACAAGTCTAATTTCACTAAGCGCAAAAAGATTGTGCTTAAACGTGTGTGTGTGTGTGTGTCAGTCTACTATTGCAAACAAAATATAACATAATTAGAAGAAAATATTGTTATAAATCAAGTAGCAGTTTTGAATAATGCATTTTAGCTGATTTTTGTGATCGTGGTGCACTTACAGAAGTTAAGAACATTTATAATTAAGTCAGAGAGTCACTTATGCTGTCATTTCTAAAATCCTCTCCCACAAGATTTTAACTTTTAGTGGCTGTAATTCTTAGTCTTTGAAAAACTAGACACATTATTTATTTATTAGCTGTGAAATTTTGAGTTTCTGTAAGAACATATTCAGAAAAGGCTGTTTTTGTAGTTTGCTGCAGCCACATTTACCAGTCAGAAGTTAACGTTGTTTACTTCAGCTAATGGTGCTGTTTTCTGTTGACTCATTCAGAGGTTTTCTCAAAAAATACATATAGTTTTGGGTTTCTGGGCACTCTAGCTCCCATAGTCGACAAAATGAACCTAACCAATTGGTTCAACCTCCTAAAACATGGTATTTTGTCTTTGTTTTCTTACTCTCACTTTTTTTGTCTACAGATCACCAGAAACTGGAGCGGGAGGCAAGGATTTGTCGTATGCTTAAACATCCAAACATAGGTGAGTCGTTTTCAAGAGCCTTCAGGATGTTGGTTTAAAGGCACACTTGGCAGTTTTGACTTGCTTTTAACACTCCCTAGTGTCCGTTTAGGAGAACCAAAATCGAAACCTAACTCCTCACTGTAAGTTCGTCTTTTTAACACCTTAATCTAACAGCTGAAATGTCTCCTCAGCCTTCATTAGTTTCTAAAGGAGCAGTTCATCACAAAATCAAACAAATCAGCTGTGTTCACGATCTATAACATGCAGGAAGCTGGAAGCAGACTGACATTTTTTTTAAGTCAAACAGATGGCAGCCCGCTACTTTAAAGTTGCAAGTGCAATATTCTGGCCACAGGGGGCAGCGGAGGTCTGAGTGACATTTCACTTTTAGCCCGTACTGGCTCGAGAAAGTGATTTGAAAATATGAAAATGTTGCACATTATCTCTTTAATGGAGCATCTGTGATCATTTAGATAAACTAATAAGATATTTAGGGTAAAATATTCAGCAAACTCAGATATTTTCGCTTATTTTGAGACTTGGCTGGTAGACACACCAAGTCTCAACTGTTCAGTGTTTTCTTAGTTCTTTTTCTTTAATAACCACTAACATCCAAGCTGTCTTCTGATCAGAATCATACTTTTTTTTTAATTGTAGGTTAAAGAGATATTTGGATCATTCCAAAGTGTCTTTATAAGATACATGTGATCTCAACTGCTCCAATGTCTAAAATGGAAAGCAGCAGGATTTGGAGTGTTACTCATTTGGACATATCTCTTTTGATTGGCTAATAGCAACACGACTCTTCCACTGCTTCCATTCGCTTTGCAACATTGATGTTTGTTCTCCACTAATAGCACAAGCCTGAACGAGTTTTGCCATGTTGTGGAGTTGCTAATGCTACTAGCCCAAAAGTGCTCTGTTCTCTCCTGGATGTTAAATCAATAACAGCCTTCTGGTGTGAGCCAAGATGGGTGAGTCCATGAACACTAATTCACAGTGTAAGATCTGACTGCCTTTTTCTGACTCAACTATTTTGCGGTCTATTTTCTTTTGGCAACTAATACAGGAAATAGGGGTAGACTATTTTCACATTCAGCATGCATATGAAACTCGGTGAATTAGAAGTAAAATATATGGTTTCTATGAAAAAATTGTAATAAATTAAGAAATCCTAAATTTTCTGACTTTGAAACCTACTGATTATGAGAAAAGTAATCATTTGTCAAATAAATTGCTGCAGTGCAGGTCCGAAAAGCACAAAATGTCTCTGGTTAACTTAGAAATGTAATCCTGAATTTCAATACTTCTGATGTGGAGTGACTTTGTTCTTCATCCACAGACCTGCAGCTCGCTCTTGAGAAAACATCTGTCGATTTCTTGCCTGCTGTGTCCATCTTACATTTTTGTTGCTGTGAGCACAGCTGTGAACAATGGAGTGCAAATTGATTAAACCAGCTGAACTTGATGGCTGCTTTTGTACCAGTTTATCATTAGCCTGTGAATCTGACAACTGAGTAGGAGCAGATAGTGAGAGAAAAGAAGGTGCATTTAAAAAAGTCCATTCTGTTAGTCCAATGTGGATGTGAAAACTCTCAGCTTCCCTTTAAGGTGGAGCCACATCTTCTTTCATTTTGGTGCAGTTTAATAATAACTCTGCTGCAAATTAGCCCTTGAAGATTGTCAAATCAGTCAGTTACCTGCTGTGTTTCTCAGTGGGACATTTGCATAGAGCAGCTGGCTTTCAGCCAGGCAGGTGACATGAGTCCCACCTTCAACACTGTGTTTACATTGAGCACTTTGTGTCCCTGAATCTATAAAGCTTAATCTTTAATAGATTGCTTATTTCGATAAGAGTTTCTACTCGAAACCCAACTTGTCAGTCTTGTCAACTGCCTGAAGTGAGATTCAGGCAAAAAAAAAGGGCAGTGGTCCCCAGGAAAGGAAGGAAATGACAGCGTTTCTTTGAGGCATGACTGCCGTTTCCTGTCATGACTTGTCCAGTGTGAGCCACACTAAACATCAAAAGAATAAGCATGTTTTCGTTTCACTTTTTTTATCCATTTTTATTGTTTTCTTCAACTCTTCACTCTGTTTCCCCCAGCAGCATCTTTTTCACTTATCTGAGTGTCTAGGTTGGAGATTCCTTGGCTTGAACAAAGATATCATCAGGAATTTCAACACTTTAAACACTTTAGCAGATAGTAGTTCAAACGCTTGTGCTGCAACAGGTTTACAGAGACCCTAATAGTTCCAGGAGCTAATTCAAACGAAGAGTGTCATCTGAATCAAATGGCTGATTTTAAATTGAAGACTCTGTCTGTGTTTCTCAGTGCGACTGCACGACAGCATCGCAGAGGAAGGCTTCCATTACCTCGTCTTTGACCTGTGAGAGAATTACATTCACACACACACACACACACACACACACACACACACACACACACACACACACACACACACACACACACACACACACACACACACACACACACACACACACCCACACAATCTACTTCAGCCTTGTTTAAAAATAACAGCACAAAGATGTTTAATGGAGATATCGATGTGAACGCAGTTAAAAGACAAGTACTCAGTGAAAGAAACACTTCCTTCTATCCAACAATGAAATGTTTCAGTCTGAAATTTCACAGAACTGAAGCCTTTTAACTTCCATGTTTTGTAAGTGATCTAATACTTTATTATTATGCAAAAATATCTGTTACTTCCTGTAATCAGTGGCTGAGAATAGTTAATATAAAAACTCCATTAAAGCTCAATAAAATTGCAACAAATTGAGACATTTTAATCCGTGTTTTCTTTCATCTGCTTAGATTTTATTTGTCATAAAGTCTTTATAGTTGATGGATTTAAGCACGTTCAACTTTAATACATTTCTCCAGTTGTCATTAAAGCAAATCTGTAAAACGAGCTAGCTTTTAAACACGAACACATTCACACACTGGTGGGGATGAGCTACAATGTAGCCACAGTTGCCCTGGGTTCGCACTGACAGAGGCGAGGCTGCCGAGCACTGGCGGCACCAGTCCCTCCGGCCACCACCAGCAGGCAACGTGGGCTAAGTGTCTTGCCCAAGGACACAACAACAGCGGCAGACTGAGCGGAGATCGAACCTGCAACCTTCCGATTACGGGGCAAGCACTTAATTTGAAGGACCAAGCCGTGTTATTGGCTGACGTTTAATGCGAGAAAACGACTTTATTATTATTTTTCATGTTTTGTTGAATCTCCACAATATATTTATAGCTACACTAAGTTAGAACATTGTTAAGAGGCATGACAGTTATTTACTTAAATGTCTTGTTGTGCAGATTTGCCTCAAGTTGAAAAAGATGTACAAATCAGTGCCACAAACATGAATAAGCAGCACATGCTGTCACAGATTAGCTGTTGGTATTTAGATATTTAGCTGTGTTGCATGTTGTTTTTCAGTTTAAAACTTCAACTTTTGATCAAATAAACGTTTTCTGCTTGTGTTTGTGCAGTGTCACAGGAGGAGAGCTGTTTGAGGATATTGTTGCTAGAGAATACTACAGCGAGGCAGATGCCAGGTAACTTCCTACACTAGTACTGGTCATAATACACAAAAGCTGCTGTTAGCCTTTAAATATATGACAAATCTGCTGTTTTATCTTTCAAGAGTAAAACCTAACAGTGTGAATGTTGTGTTTTTAGGTATTTACAGTGGGGCAAAAAAGTATTTAGTCAGCCACCGATTGTGCAAGTTCTCCCACTTAAAATGATGACAGAGGTCAGTAATTTTCATCATAGGTACACTTCAACTGTGAGAGACAGAGTGTGAAAAAAAAATCCATGAATTCACATGGCAGGATTTTTAAAGAATTTATTTGTAAATCCGGGTGGAAAATAAGTATTTGGTCAATAACAAAAATTCAACTCAGTACTTTGTAACATAACCTTTGTTGGCAATAACAGAGGTCAAACGATTACTATAGGTCTTTACCAGGTTTGCACACACAGTAGCTGGTATTTTGGCCCATTCCTCCATGCAGATCTTCTCGAGAGCAGTGATGTTTTGGGGCTGTCGCCGAGCAACACGGACTTTCAACTCCCTCCACAGATTTTCTATGGGGTTGAGGTTTGGAGACTGGCTAGGCCACTCCAGGACTTTCAAATGCTTCTTACGGAGCCACTCCTTTGTTGCCCGGGCGGTGTGTTTGGGATCATTGTCGTGTTGGAAGACCCAGCCACGTTTCATCTTCAAAGCTCTCACTGATGGAAGGAGGTTTTGGCTCAGAATCTCACGATACATGGCCCCATTCATTCTTTCCTTAACACGGATCAGTCGTCTGTCCCCTTAGCAGAAAAACAGCCCCAAAGCATGATGTTCCCACCCCCATGCTTCACAGTAGGTATGGTGTTCTTGGGATGCAACTCAGTATTATTCTTCCTCCAAACACGACAAGTTGAGTTTATACCAAAAAGTTCTACTTTGGTTTCATCTGACCACATGACATTCTCCCAATCCTCTGCTGTATCATCCATGTGCTCTCTGGCAAACTTCAGACGGGCCTGGACATGCACTGGCTTCAGCAGCGGAACATGTCTGGCACTGCAGGATTTGATTCCCTGCCGTTGTAGTGTGTTACTGATGGTAACCTTTGTTACTGTGGTCCCAGCTCTCTGCAGGTCATTCACCAGGTCCCCCCGTGTGGTTCTGGGATTCTTGCTCACCGTTCTCATGATCATTTTGACCCCACGGGATGAGATTTTGCGTGGAGCCCCAGATCGAGGGAGATTATCAGTGGTCTTGTATGTCTTCCATTTTCTGATAATTGCTCCCACAGTTGATTTTTTACACCAAGCTGCTTGGCTATTGTCGATTCACTCTTCCCAGTCTGGTGCAGGTCTACAATTCTTTTCCTGGTGTCCTTCAAAAGCTCTTTGGTCTTGGCCATAGTGGAGTTTGGAATCTGACTGTTTGAGGCTGTGGACAGGTGTCTTTTATACAGATAATGAGTTCAAACAGGTGCCATTAATACAGGTAACGAGTGGAGGACAGAAAAGCTTCTTAAAGAAGACGTTACAGGTCTGTGAGAGCCAGAGATTTTCCTTGTTTGAAGTGACCAAATACTTATTTTCCACCCTGATTTACAAATAAATTCTTTAAAAATACTGCCATGTGAATTCATGGATTTCTTTTCACATTCTGTCTCTCACAGTTGAAGTGTACCTATGATGTAAATTACTGGCCTCTGCCATCATGTTAAGTGGGAGAACTTGCACAATCGGTGGCTGACTAAATACTTTTTTGACCCACTGTAGTTCATAATTTTAGCCGTTTTTGGTGGCAGCTGTTTCCTAGGCTCAAGCCGTCGAAGCAGAAACGTTCTGAAAGCACACGTCCAGTCGTTTTGAATCTATGTTAATCTACTTTGCGCTTATGTAGCAGAAACGGCGCTTGGGTTTTTTGGCTGTGCCGGTATTTGCTTTATTTCCAACCAAGTGGCTCAGGCTTTTTAAATTTAATTTCATGAATAAATGATAACAAAGCTGTTCCTGTGTTGAAACCTTATTTTCGAGTTTATAGTCAGACGTCGCTGTTAGTTTTTGCTCTGCAGAACACAGCCTGCCTGATTAAACAGGTCGCAGCAGTTTCTAGCTGAATATTACAGTGTGGGGCTAGAAAAACTGTGTGGATCACAAGAGTAAAGTTTATAAAACCTACCCTAAAACAGCTAAACTTCATCTGAAGTAGTCTGCCTTGTGGATGTTGAAAGTAGTGAAGCACTGTTAAAGAGAGAGAGGAGGAAGATCAGGTTGAACATGAGTTCATTTTTACCCTAATTTGGACACAACGCCACAGCTGTTTTTGTTCTGCTGCTGACCCTGTCTTCAACTATGCTGTTGTCTACTTTAATTTATTATAAAAGGAATAGTTTCAACTATGCTGTTGTCTACTTTAATTTATTATAAAAGGAATAGTTGCACCTTTAGCTGAACTCCAGACCTGAAACAACACAGACACATTTTTCTACCCAGATTGTGTCTTCCAGCTCAGAAGATTTGATACGTTTGCTTAATAGAATGATTTTAGACTCGATCATTAAAGGTGCAAGAAGTAAGAATGGCACCCTGGTCAAATGTGGGTACTGCCATTCATGCATCAAAACAAACAAGTCTGCTCTGAGCAATGGTTGCCAGTTATGGGTCAGCGCCAGAAGACTCTAGATGACAAGTGAAGACGAGTCATACCCAGTAAGTTGATAAGTAAATAAATAAATTTCACCATAATATCAAGTTGTTGGTAACTGAAAAGTAGCTTGAAATATTTAAAACTCTGACATTTTTTTTTCTAATTCACTGTTAGCATTGTTTGTTCAGCGTTAGCCTCTAGCCTTCTTTATCAGATATTAAAGTAAAACAAACATGATTTTGCTTCTGGGTTGCACCTTTTACTGGCTTCCACAACACTGCTGCTTTTTGCCCACTGGTGTTGAAGTACAAATGCCGACACAGACTTGGCAACCCTGCAGGCTCACATATGATTGGTTCTGGAGGCAGAACAGATTGTAAACAAAGATGGCGTAAATGTTTGTCCTCCTTAAAAGGAGAAAAACTGACAACCAGCTCAGCTGCCTGAGAAGGAAATCAGTGTAACCTTTTTATTATTTCACATTATTCTCACTTGTAGCACCTTTCAGCAACAAATCTGGTCACATGCTATTAGAGGTCGTTCGATATTCGTTTTAACATAGCTGATATATAGAAGTCATGGTCAGCCGATGGCCGATACGTGCAGCCGATGTTTTGGGGCCAATTATCATGGCTGATAAAAATCATGGCCTCTAATTTTATTTGTGGAATATTGTTTTAAATCATTGTTTTGGTTGAGATGTACAAGAAACAGCCAAACTTCAGCATCTTTACATCTAAAGTCACACCTCATGCTACGGCTCTCATTTGCTGACACCACTTTGGTTGGAGTCATGCTTTTAAACATTTAACAACAGCCTAATAAACATCCTCCACCCGGGTTTGGACTCCCAACAGCTCGCACTCAACAATTTCTTCCTGCACCTCCATTAGAGTTCACATTTCTCCACGAGAGCACTATCTGCTCAATGTGGTTTACATCACTTGACTCATCCCAGGCTATTACGTTGGAAGCCAAAGTGGCCAAAGTATCAAAACAGTTTATGTTTCTTCAGACTTTAATTTGAAAATTGTTCCAGGCAAAGGAGATGAGCTTAAGATCTTCTGATCTTAGACACCTGGTTTTGACCTGATCTTTTGGTTCTTTTACATGTTTTTCACTAGAATTAAGACTGTTAGTGATTATATTGTAGCAAAGCTTTAAAATCTGCATCGTGCAAAGTGTGGGAAAGTAAACGTCTTGTGATCAAGTTTTTGCCTCTCTCTTTTTCCCTTTTCTATTTCACTTTTCATGCCACATATATGCAGAAAAACGAACACATTTTATTGTATAAAAACCCCACGCAAGGATTGAGATCTTAGGCTTGCTTTATTTATTTATTTTGTTATTTTTGGGAAGAATCAAGTCTGCATCCCATCTCGCTGCTGTGGTTTGACAGAAGTGTCTGTTGTCTGTCTCTTGCAGCCACTGCATCAGTCAGATCCTGGAGAGCATCAGTCACATCCATCAGCATGATATCGTCCACCGAGACCTCAAGGTGAGCTCCCTTACGCCGGTGAGGAACTTGCACTGAAGCTGACCTGCCGGTGCCTGATTCCGGAGAAAATGCACAACAGGTCTTAGATTGCAGTTTGCAGACGTCACGCCGTGACGTCTGGAACAACTTACGGGATAAGCGTCATCACTCTCGTCAGTGGCTTTATTCCCCTTCTCTCATTTCTTTATTCCTGTTTCATCTCCACATCTACAATCACTCTTGGTTTGTATTTTTTTCATCTGTTCCCCCTCTTTCCTCTCATCCTTTTCTTCTGTCCCCCACCTCCCTCCTCCCTCCTCTTTGCACTGCTGAGGAGTGACGAAAGCAGACCAGCTGCTATTAATAGCACGTCGGTGGGTGAGATGACAGCCAGTGACGATTTACCTCACAGAAAGCTTTGTACCCCCCAACAGCATCTCTGCATCTGTGCTTCTTTTACTTGGATCTTAATGTGGCAGATAAAAGATGAGCTTTATGTTGTTTGCACTGGAGCATGTAAACTTTTTAAACTTGACCCTCAAATTAAAGTTCTGCACCTGTGAAACCGTACAATATACTTTTTTTGGTCAAATAATTATAAATCTGCACCACCAGGAGTCACAGAGCAGCAGTGCTCGTATTATGGTGTCATATTAAAGTTGTGCTCAATAAGAAACATTTAGCATGTTTTTTGGTGTGGAATTTTTAATAAATGTTATAATAAACTATTTACAACTGCAGTTTTATACATCAACCTCCAGTTTCACACATCTTCTAACAAAGGCCCGTCCTAGAGAATAACACACAATAATACACTAATAACTGGATGCACATATGAGCAACTCACTAGTTACGTTTCCTAGACGCTCTGGTTTAAGAGTCATACAAATAAAAACAAATCCATAAAACATACAAGGAGATCAGGTTAGTCTTGTGCATTTCCAAGAACTTTCCAGAGGAAAAATGTGCCATGGGCAGTTTCCAGAATAAACATATGAAACGTCTAATTATGCAAAGTAAGAGCGCCGTGGAGAAATGCAACCTCACAAACACACCTCTCTTTCTCCCCCCATGTTGGGAAGTCCACATGCTTTGGGGAGGAAAACAAGAATCATTGAAGAGGAGTTGAACACTGGTGGCTGGTGGCAGCAGGCAAGGTTGCCATGGTAACAGAAGGGTGAGGTCACCCGGCTGCTGCAGCACCAGCGTAGGGGCTCATTATGCCCCCTCCCATCTATCCATCTCAGTCTATCTGCTGCTTTCACCACATCTCTGTGCCCTCCCATCCCTGTTTACTTTCTGCGTGGATGGCTACTCGGGTTCAATCCTAAAACTAAACATTTGTTTGGAACTTCTGGTGTTGGGGTCATCGTCCGTGTGAGCCGCTGATGCAGCACCTGCTGTTTGTTTTCTGGATCCCATCAGAGACTCCTGCTTTTGCACCTGGCACTTTCGTTTGCAGATATAAACAAGCTTGAGTGTTGCTGGTGTTTCTAAAGCAAATCAGCTCCAGGTGGAGGTCATGTGACCAAAGGGGAAGGCAAAAGGCATATTTAGCTCTGTTTCCAGGGTTAGAACTCTAAAGCTGGAGTTATAGGAAGGTTCAGACTTATTTTCAGGTTCTTTTGGTTCTCGAATGACTGACGAAATTACATAAAACAATCCCTAAAATGCACAAAAGCATAGTTGCATAGCTAGCGCCATAATAGAGTAGCAACTGGTGTGGCTATTTTATATAGATATTGTATTCCAGTCACATCTGCCACTTCAAACCCCCTCTAGAGCTGCCGATGGCACGAAGCTGAAAGAAATGTCATATTTGTGCATCGCTGACCTCCTTTGACGGACTGTGTCCTGCAGCAAACATGTCTGTGGAACATGCAAATATGACAGATTTAATCAAATTAATTTCCAGTAAGTTGATGTTATTCTTTACAAGACTTATGGGAATCTCCTTCACAAAAAGGCCTGATTTACAGCAGCGTCAGTAGTGAAATGGGACCGGTAAGTGCCACGCCGTGGCATTTTCACAGGGCGAGCAGAGATACCGATAGTGTTGATTGTCATTATTTAATCTACAAATTAATCTAGAATTTGATCATTTTGACAGGTATAGAGGTTTTTTAGCAGCACCGTGGAGGTAATCTACGGCTTTGGGTCAGATATCAGGAAGCTGTGGAGCTTTATGGCTTTATAGGACTGAGTTTATGAAGCATATTGCTGAATAATGTGTAAAGAGGAGCATATTTGACTTATGTATCAATGTGTAATTTTGAAAGTTCATATTAGGGAAACTGAAGAATCTTTCAAAAACTGAACTTGAACAAAATAGAATTCTGATTAACTTCATAAAGTCTGTCCCCTCGTGTCCTTTAGAAATGAGGAGGAGTCTTTGCTTTTTGCTGTTCTGATTAATAGAACATGATCAAAATGTCATTAAATGCTTCGACACCAGACGGAAGGTTTCTTCCTCTGAGGGAAATCTTTGACTCATCCTCACCACGCCGTGTTAATGCAGTAGACGTCATCTTGCTCCTACAGCTCATTCAGTCATGCAGACTGATGGGACATTTCCGGAAGGAGGCGTTGTTCTTATCGCTGATGATTGAATGCGTGGTTTCATTACTGCACATGATTATGCTGGTTTCTGTGTTCTGTTCATTTCACATGAAACTAATTTGCAGGCATTTTATGTAATAGTGAATAAAATTTTGTAATTTTCATCTCTGGTATTTTACTGAAGAAAAAAAAAAAGAAAAAAAGAAAACCAACCCCATGATAAGTAATGAGAGCAGAATGAGTGACGGCGGTTCATCCTCACAAGCTCTCTGCCCCTGTGTGTTGCAGCCAGAGAACCTTCTCCTCGCCAGTAAGATGAAGGGAGCAGCTGTGAAGCTTGCAGACTTCGGTCTAGCCATCGAGGTGCAGGGGGACCAACAGGCCTGGTTTGGTATAAAATAACTATTTAAAGCTTAATCTCTGCACTTCCTGCACAATATTTATGCACTGCAGCAAAATATGCTCCAGTAGGGAACCTGTGTTGCTGCATGGGAAAATAAATCTGTAAGCAGCTGCAATTTGTTGAAGAAATATTAATAAATCAGACCTTTAAATTTATGAGAGTGCACTAAATAATCCACATCTACCAGGGCTAAGAAAATAACTGTATTCTGTATTTATTTGAGGAAACACTCAAAAAAACAACCTGAAGAGAGACAAATAGTTACGTCTGATTATTTAAAGATTAGGTTCTGCTGCTTTATTAGCTACTTAACTTGGCTGATTTGGGAGTTCCTCATGGGTGTGTTCATGTTGTGACAGGTTTTGCTGGAACTCCAGGATATTTGTCTCCAGAGGTTTTGAGAAAGGACCCGTACGGCAAGCCGGTGGACATTTGGGCATGCGGTCAGTAAAAGTGTGCAGACACGAACCTCGTTCTTTTTCTTCCATGGGTCACCATGAGAGTTGTGTAGAAATTTAATGCAAAAAGAGTAAATGATGAGAAAGAAGTTCTGTGTGTTTTTGTGTATTTATTCCTATAAAATGTTTTTATTGGAGCCTCTAAAACCAAATGTGGGTGTAGGGTTTACTTTTAATCAGCAGTCAGAATTGATGTGTTTTTTATACTAGGAAATGTTTGCAGTTACCTGCTTTTCCTACACTTGTTCACTGTGCTAAATCTGTGTGTGTTTCTCAGGTGTGATCCTGTACATCTTGCTGGTGGGCTACCCTCCCTTCTGGGATGAGGACCAACACAAACTCTACCAGCAGATTAAGGCTGGCGCTTACGATGTAAGTCATTATTTCTCCTGGTTTTTCTCTGTTTTTTCACGCTGCATCTGCTCCGCTTTTGCCGTCAGCCTAAAACCCATTGATTCAACATGACAGCGAGTGTCCTCGTAGATTTATTTGGAAACACCGAAGGACAGACTGAGGACAAAAACACACCACCACTGTTAATTTTCGATTGGCCTCAACCAGGATTTAAACCTTTGACGGTCTCCAGCATCTTGTCAACGAGGTGGTTCTGTTCCATTCATTCCGTCTCACCAGGAACATTTTGTCTGCGAGATTGGATTTATATTACTTAATGTTGTGCTGTATAATTACAACCCTAAAAATCCTACAATGTCCTCTAAAATGTTCCTTTTTCCTTATCTTTAAACCTCTTTATTGTAAAACCAGTGTGTTTTGGACTCTTCCTCACCAGCTGGTGAAGGGATGCTGTACACGGCACCATCAGAAGGTTACAAAGGTTGCTTTAGCTTGAAAGTTATTGAAAATCTTTACTTCTTGCTCTTCGTAAACATCCATTTACTCAAATAAAAGGCCAAAATTCATATTTATAGCAATACTTAGTGAAGAACAGCTTCGGATACCTGCTAGAAGCCCGCACGATTGCAGTCAGAATCCAGAGAATAGACACCTCCCATTATACTAACAAGAACAGGACAAATTCCTGCGATTGACAGTGATTGATTCTAAATCAGTTTTTATGCTGCTTTAAGTTCATCGTGACAGGAGTAGAAACGTTTGCGTTGAACTTTGTGGTTTGATACGGTCAAGTTTATTTTTAACTACTACAATCTATGTACTATTGCATCTAGGTGTGTGTGTGTGTGTGTGTGGGGGGGGGGGGGGGGTTGCTGGGTGGGATGGGAATTAGGGTGAAGTGGGGACATTTTAATCTGTAAGGCTCTGAGCTGCATCAACTGTATGAAAAGTGCCTTATAAATAAAGTTTGATTTGATCTAGATGTAAAATGGTTTAAAAACAAGTGTTTCATAGAAAAAAATGAATCTATAATGTAAGAATGGTCTGTAAAGGGGCCCTTTTCTTAATACAATATTGTAATTGAATATATTGCAACTATCAAGTATAAGATGTTTTCATTTTTTTAATTTGTGCTTTCTAGAGGCTTAGCACCCCCCAGGGCACTTTACAACACAACAGTTATTCACCCATTCACTCGCTGGCGGCGATGAGATACTTTTCAGTGGTGTTTTTTTATTTCAATTCAATTAAAGTTTATTTATATAAATACTAGGGCTGTCAGTCAATTAAAAGAATTGACTAATTAATCGTACAATTTTCTGTAATTAATTATGATTAATTGCAATTTATCTGATCATTAGCCTGGCTGCTCTTACACTTTTTCCAACTTTATATTTCTCAATGAAAAAAATAAGTTGTCACACACTCCATGGAAACTTTCAGAGAATCCAAAAATAGTGGCTTTTGAATGGTTTTGTTACTTTTTGCAAGTTTAGAAAAGAAGCAGATGAGACAGCATGTCTGATCATTTAGTTTTTCATCTGATAATCTTAGAACATGTCAGTAATGTCTGAGGCTTTTTTTTACAAACACTGTATAACTGATACTCGTGGACAGGGTTTGGATTACACAGAGGCTTCTGGGGAGCCCAGTTATGGGGGGGTGGGGGGTGTTCTGTTTAGCCTTGGCCCCCAAAATGCCTTGAAACGGCCCTGGGTGTGTGACAGAGTTTTGAAGGTGATCTGAATTGTATCAAATGTATAAATATTGCATGTGTATAAGTTATTGCTTTATACTGGTTAAAAACGCGTAGTGGAGATAAATCTACCTACATTTTACTTTTCAACACTTTGTTTTGTTTTCTTGTTTTTATTTAACTGTTTTCCTGTCCTGTCTGTCTCTCATCTTCCTGCATCTCCTCTAAACTCTCCAGAAAATCTGCTGCCTGGAATATTACTTTTTCACCTCATCAGTTACTTTTGATCAAATCAAAGGGATCTCCTGACCGCAAAGCGGAGAGCGCGTTTCGATGCTGCGTCAGTTAGGTGAAATCACCGCAGCACAGGTGATGAGCTCCGCAGTAGCAGAGTGCTTCAGCACAAATAAGACAAAAAGTAGAGAACATGTGCAGACATGAACGATCGTGGGTTAATTATAGTTTTTTGATTGCGCCACTTTGAAAATGGACCATGCGCTGGACGCAGCAGCCTGGAGCGCACCAATGATGTGACCTGAGAGTGAGAATAATCTCTCACAAGGCACTGTGGTTGCAGGGGTTGACAGGTACTTGCATGCAACAGGTGACAGTCTGGAATGTGCTTCTTCTCTCTTCAACCACCACTGTGGACAGTGTTCAATATCCATTTTGGGCTCTGCTTTGTACCGATCTAGACAGCGCTCCATGGACAGCATTGTCCATGCTAGCAAGCTTTTCCTCTCCTCTTTTTCTGCTGCTGCTGTTGCTTCTAATCATTTCCAGCAGGTCAGACATCATCAGCGCAATGCTGCCCCCTCCTTCAGAGCCTCTCACGAGTTAGAGGTGTCGGATTACGTAAAATTTTAAAAACTGCATTAATTACTTTAATTTTTAAAAATGTGTTGCCCCCTTTGAACAAACTGCCAGACGACACGTTCTTCTTCGTACTTTTTCAACTTTTATTAACAGAAAAATGCCCCTAGTTCAGAACTCAAGCATCCATTTTTTTTTCTTCAAAAGGCCTTGTCCAACCTTTCTTCTTCTTCTCCTTTTAAAGGACTAGTACAACACTTTCTTTTCTTCTTCTTCTTCTTCTTCTTCTTCTTCTTCTCTTAAAGGACTAGTACAACATTTTATTTTCTGTTTAACACCAGTAAGCATTATGGATAACATTTTAACTGGTAACATCCATCGACATATACAGGTGCTGGCCAGTAAATTAGAATATCATCAAAAGGTTGAAAATATTTCAGTAATTCCATTCAAAACGTGAAACTTGTACATTATATTCATGCAATGCACACAGACCAATGTATTTCCGATGTTTATTACGTTTAATTTTGATATTTATAGGTGACAACCAATGAAAACATCAAATCTGGTATCTCAGAAAATTAGAATATTCTAAAGGCCAATGAAAAAATGTTTGTTTCTCTAATGTTGGCCAACTGAAAAGAATGAACATGAAAAGAATGTGCATGTATAGCACTCAATACTTAGTCGGGGCTCCTTTTGCCTCAATAACTGCAGTAATGCGGCGTGGCATGGACTCGATCAGTCTGTGGCACTGCTCAGGTGTTATGAGAGCCCAGGTTGCTCTGATAGTCGTCTTCAGCTCCTCTGCATTGTTGGGTCTAGCGTATTGCATCCTCCGCTTCACAATACCCCATAGATTTTCTATGGGGTTAAGGTCAGGCGAGTTTGCTGGCCAATCAAGGACAGGGATACCATGGTCCTTGAACCAGGTGCTTGTGGTTTTGGCACTGTGTGCAGGTGCCAAGTCCTGTTGAAAGGTGAAGTCTGCATCCCCATAAAGTTGGTCAGCAGCAGGAAGCATGAAGTGCTCTAAAACCTCCTGGTAAACGGCTGCATTGACCCTGGACCTCAGGAAACAGAGTGGGCCAACACCGGCAGATGACATGGCACCCCACACCATCACTGACGGTGGAAACTTTACACTGGACCTCATGCAACGTGGATTCTGTGCTTCTCCGCTCTTCCTCCAGACTCTGGGTCCTTGATTTCCAAAGGAAATGCAGAACTTGCTTTCATCAGAAAACATAACTTTGGACCACTCAGCATCAGTCCAGTCCTTTTTGTCCTTGGCCCAGGCGAGACGCTTCTTGCGCTGTTTCTTGTTCAAGAGTGGCTTGACACACGGAATGCGACACCTGAATCCCATGTCTTTCATGAGTCTCCTCGTGGTGGTTCTTGAAGCGCTGACTCCAGCTGCAGTCCACTCTTTGTGGATCTCCCCCACATTTTTGAATGGGTTTGTCGTCACAATTCTCTGCAGGGTGCGGTTATCCCTAGAGCTTGTACACTTTTTTCTACCACATTTTTTCCGTCCCTTCGCCTGTCTGTTAATGTGCTTGGACACAGAGCTCTGCGAACAGCCAGCTTCTTTAGCAATCACCTTTTGTGTCTTGCCCTCCTTGTGCAAGGTGTCAATGATTGTCTTTTGGACAGCTGTTAAGTCAGAAGTCTTCCCCATGATTGTGGTGCCTTCAAAACAAGACTGAGGGACCTTTTAAAGGCCTTTGCAGGTGTTTTGAGTAAATCAGCTGATTAGAGTGGCAGCAGGTGTCTTCTATATTCAGCCTTTTCAGAATATTCTAATTTTTTGAGATACCAAATTTGGAGTTTTCATTAGTTGTCACTTATGAATATCAAATTTAAATGTAATGAACATTGGAAATACATTGGTCTGTGTGCATTGCATGAATATAATGTACAAGTTTCACGTTTTGAATGGAATTACTGAAATATTTTCAACCTTTTGATGATATTCTAATTTACTGGCCAGCACCTGTATACTGGACAATTCATTTCCATAGGCTCCAATAACACGTTTTTGAGGCTAAATGGGAGGTGCCCACCACCGCCATTTTGATCGTGTCACAGGTTCCATCAAGCCCAGACAATTCCACAAAAGGGAAGAGAGGTGGAGTTTAGGGTGGGGCTGTAAGGCTGGGATCAACTGACGACACCCGGTCGAACTAGCTACAAGCTAACCTGAAGCTAACGCGGAGGTGGGGGCTAAGCTAACAGAGGTAGCAACCTAGCTACAACTGGAGTTAACTGTGCACAACACCAGAGCTTCTGAGTCAGAGATACGCCGGGCTGACCACTGGGTTAAACCGGGTGGAACACAGAGGTCTCCGAGAGCTCCACAAGCCGGCAGCCGCACAGCAGTTAAGCGCCGATGCGATCTGAGATGCGCAGAGCTGCCGCTGGGGAGAACCGGGTGGAAAGGTTTCCATTCCAGAGCTTCACAAGCCGGCAGCCCGCACAGCACACAGAAGCCGCAATCAGACAGAGATACGCCGAGCTGCAGGGAGGGGAGAACAGGTGGAAAACATCTGTTTCCATCCACAAAAATTAAACAATAATGAACAAGAGTCTGCTTCTAGACCTGCAGAAAGAGAAGAGCAGAAAAAAATGGGACACACAACAATACATCAGGAGCAAGCTATCACTGCGTCAACCTGATGATGAAATATAAAATAAAGATTGTTTAACTGAACAATCACACGATAATAAATCATTGTGCATGTAGTGGCAACGACAGCCTTAAGACATGTGTTGAACGTGCCCAAGCCCATACTTTTGAGAGCACCATGTGAGCACCTGTGTGTGTACACACGCTTGTTTATGTAAGGTTTCTTTATAGGAGCATCCAATAGAGAGTGTGAGGGGCCACAGATCTGCCCCCAAAGATGTGTAGGAGACAGGGGGAGCTCCAAGTCCCAGAGATCCAGGCGCTGCCCCAGAACACAGGAACCCCAAGGAGACTGCAACCAGAAAGGCCCCCGCCCCCCTCGAGAGGCACAGAGGATCGCCCCGGGGGGCCACAACCAGCAGCCGGCAGAGTCCCGGGAGATATCAGCGGCAAGCCCACAGGCCCGCCCGCAGCCTCCCACCCCCTAGCCGGCCGAGCCCGGGACCCAGCGACCCGGGACCCAGGGGCGACCACCCCCGCCGGGGACCCAGCAGAGCCCAGGCACCCAGACCCCACCAGGCAGCCACCTGGATTGATCAGGCAGACACCAAAAATCTTAAACCCCTGACCCGGGAGCCACAAACACTCAGGCAGACCAAGGCACCACACTCCACACCAGGTGTGGCAGGGGGAGGGGGGACGAAGATCTATATCATCAAAAGAAGTCCCAGGAGAGGGGAGGAGTCAAAGGCCCCACCTGACATATACAGTCATACACAAACACAGTCACACACTCCCTCCCTCATGCTCACACATGCACATACAACCAAAGACTTACAAAAATGCATGCCGGACACCCACTCATGCTCCCCATACACACCCTATTCACTCTGGTCCCGGTACTGCTGAACATGGGGTACAACCATCACCGGTTACCAGAGTTTGACCCTTTCTGCTGGGGTGCTGATGAGCGGGCACCCCCGCCCAACGCCGAGCACAGCAACCCACCACCCCAGACCCCAACCAGACGGCCAGATCTCCCTCCTAGCCTCCAGCCCCAGGAAGCCAAGCAACAACAGAGGTGTGCTAAGACCCCAAAGCCCCCTTCAGACAGGCCATGAAAAACGGAAATGTTCCGGACTCTGTCCGTAAGACCTTTCTGTCTGAATACAAACATCCGGATAACGTGTTCCGGAATTTATCCGGACGAAGCCCCTAGTAACAGGTCCGGACTTGTTACGGACAGGGTGGTTGCTTCAGACTAGTGAGGTAAAGTTCCAGACAAGAGGGAGGGGGAGGAGGAGGGGACCGGGGGATAGCTCGCTGCTGTAGCATGCGGCGAACCACGGCAGCTCGCCTCCTACGGTACTGCCTAGACGCGCAACAGAGCGCTTCACACCGCTTCAGTGATTCCTTTAACCATTGAGCTTCATCATCCAGGTCTTCTATGCATCTTTGTGTGGGCAGAATTATGCTTAAGCGCCTCGTGATTTTTTATCTTGAGAGGCGCTATAGAAATGATATTTTCTTCTTCTTCTTCTTAACATGAGTCCGATTCTCTCTCCCCCCACCACCACCCCGCCGCCGTCAGACATCTGGAACTTTTCCCTGCTGTGTGAACGCAGCCGAAAGGACAAGTTCCGGTACAAAAGTGGTGTGTCTGAAAACACAGTTCCGGTTAAAAACCGGATTGAATTGTCCGCAAATGTTCCAGAATGTCTGTCTGAAAAGGGCCCCAGGAAGCCTAGCAACAACAGAGGTGGCTAAGACCCCTAGTCTCCCTCCGCCTGCTCCATTATAGTGTTGTGTGTTGATGAGGTGTATTCCATGGCTGTGGTGAGCGGGCAGTGCGGGCATTGTCTGGCCTATGCCAGCGGATGCCACCGCACCACCCCACTTGCAACCACAGCCCTCGGTGTCCAAGTGCAGTTTAAAATTGGAAGTGGGCACCGGCACTCGGGAGGAGGCTGAGAAATCCCCCTGCCAAGTGCTGTTGAATGTGCTCACTCCCAAGGCCCTAAGTGTGTGTTTGTGTGGAATGTCGTCGGTGGAAGTGTATGAGGTGCAAACAAAATTGGGGGGCAGGTTGCCACAGGAATGCGGAAATGGGGTCCATACCCGCACTCCCTGACTTGTCCACCCCCCAAGGTCCTATGTGTATGTTTGTGTGATGATGTGAGGGAGCAGGAGGAGAGAAATATGCAGGCATGGGGAGGAATGGCTGGTTGGGCTTAGCCCTCCAGGGAGCCAGCTCCCCTACTGGCCCCAATAAACACCTCTGTTTTCAAACTGCCAACCAGGGCATGGAGACCCCAGCCCATCCTGCCAGGGCCCAAAGCAGCAGATTTACAGAGCCTCATGGACTCTGAGGGCACCAACCCAGCCCCACCCCAGCAGAATATCTATGCCCATCCTTGCATTTGCACAACTTCCAGAATATATAAGACATGGGACATCCAGGTAAGGTTGGGTCCTCCCCCTCCTGGACCTCCCCCTCACCTGTGATGAGACAGCAGAGGAGCCAAGGTCTACCCGAGGCCCCCGAACCCGGGCCAGGCACTGCTGCATGTTCCTGCTTTCTTCCCAGCAGCATACATGTTGGTATTTTTAACATGGGAGTCGATGAGGATTTGCTCGCTTCTGACACCAGCCCCCAGCGGATGAGGGTGGAACTGCAATTTTTGGTACTTCCGGGTTGGACTCAGTTTTTGAGCCGCATTGTGGGGGCTTGGTAACATCGTAGATTAACTAATATATATATATCCTGAGACCTATATTGTTCAACCCTTAATGAAATAAACAGAATATATAGAACATAATAAACAGAATATATGGAACATATTCCAGTGTGCTACAAATGCATTAAACATTTCACATTAAATAACTAAATTAATGCGTTATTTTTCACAGTGCTAATAAATTCTCCAAATCACGACGAGTCGTCTCAAGGCACTTCACACAGTTAACACTCCAATCTTGTGTTGAAAGAAAAAACCAACATCTTTGATTTTTGAAGGACACATATTTCTGTGTGTAGATTAAATGGCTTTGATGACAAGTTTTGTTCTTTTAGTTTCCTTCTCCAGAGTGGGACACAGTGACCCCTGAGGCCAAGAATCTGATCAATCAAATGTTAACGATTAACCCCGCCAAACGAATCACCGCTGATCAAGCCCTGAAGCACCCCTGGGTCTGTGTAAGTCTCACCTGTCCTCTTTAGAAGAAATCCTCTCATTCTCATTTCTGTCAGTATTATTGATCAGTCCTACACTGATGCTGTGTTCAATCCCACGCATTTCTGATAAACAGTAGTTTTCTAATTCTTTTTGATCACATCACAAAATCTTTTAATTTATCTTAAATGAAAGCAGCCACATTTAGTCATTTTCAGGTAACAATGAAGTTTTTTAATCACTTTTTATTCAAATAAGACATAGATCAGCCCAGCTTATGTGCTTTTATTTAACTATTATAGTAAAATATTTGACTTTTCAAGCAAAGTTAAGATTTAATTATAAAAGTTTTTTGTTTTGATTCTAATCCTCAAGGTTACTGCCATGATGGCTACTTCTTTTTTTTTTTTTTTTATTAATTTTTTTGCTTGAGAAGAAGAAAACAACCAAAGCCGGCTAATAATTGAAAATAAGTAGCATAGCTGCTATTTTTCATTTTACATTCTAACCTGCTGGTTGGTTAAATTCCATTTTATAATCTCACCAGTTTGTTTCGTCTGCTTGAAAGAAATTTTATCTGTGACGTTTGTTTTTTTACACGCAGCAACGCTCCACTGTGGCCTCAATGGTGCATCGTCAAGAGACCGTTGAATGTCTGCGCAAGTTCAACGCCAGGAGGAAACTGAAAGTGAGTGCAGCCACGACTCAAAAGGCTCCCATAGACCAGTGGTTCTCTAAGCTGGGGTCAGGGCCCCGCTGTGGGTCACAGCTACACAGCCAGTCTCCATATAAAATTACAAACAATAGCTGAAGTTACATTTTTTTAGCACAATTATCACAAAAACTCAGCTAACATGTCGTGACACTTGAAGCTGAAACATTTGCGAACGGCTGGCATAGATCAACAACCCATTCATGATGCTTTTTTTTTTTTATCACATCTTTAGGGAGCTATCCTCACTACGTTGCTGGTGACCAGGAACTTTTCAGGTGAGCTTTGCATCCTGGTTATACTTGCTAACTGGTTTATATCAGCATTGTTCTGCTACTCTTCCTCCATTCTTCAGTTTTCTCTCTTTAATGGAACGGTTTCCGCTTCACACGTTCAGCGTTAGGCTTGGATTTCATCATTGTAAGCAGTTTGATCGCTGAAAGCACTGAGGGCTTGTGAGTGAACATCCAATTTGTGGGCTGGATGATGGCCTAATGCTATTGGCTCTGTTTACGTGTCTGCATGTAAGTAAAGCGGCTCCAGTGGATTAATGTCGACCACTTTGTACAAGCCAAGACGGATGAAGACAACAGGCTGGCCACACCTCTGAATTCTTTTCCATAAACAAAACATTACGTGTTTAATGTAATTTGTAGTCTGGGCTCTTTAGTGCAGACATTTCCCATCATGCTTTACTTTGCCTGAATTAAAAAGGAGTTTGGTGTCGGAGTAAAGTAGTTTTTAGGGAAGCAACAGGCTTAAGCACGAGTTAAATAAAAACTTGGCTACACGGCCAAACTGAATCCCTCTTTGTCCACTAGTGGGACGGCAGCACACCAGCCCTGCTGCTACCACCAGCACGGCCGCAATGGCTCAGGAAGGTACGTTTGCTGGGGGGGTGTTGGAGTCCAACACTTCCAATGCTGTACTCAGGTTGTTGGCATGTGGCCTGTGAAGCCTGAACCTACCTCCCTCCCCACCTACTGCTTGCTGCTGCTATCTGCACGCTGATGGACCACTTTTTAAAAAAATGAGCAACACACACACAAACACTTAAAAATGGAAACTACAGATGAAGCTCAGCTCTTGACCTTTCAGCGCTGCTGCACCTCTTGACGCTCTAATGAGTGCACCTCCTCTCCAGGTCTGGCTCTTTGATTTCCTGTGCAGTCATTTTTTTTTTGACACCCAGCATGACCCTCTGACCTCCTTCACACTACCACAGCTGCCATTTATCAAAGCTGCTTTTACACATCTCTGACTTAACACAACCATTTCTGTCCCTTTTTTCCTCTGAAGTGAATTTAGACCCTTAATACCGAAAGTATGAGCAGCATTTGAGTGTTCATCTCCTTTGAGAAGTGATGCCCAGCCAATGCCTGCCTGCTCGCTGCAACCTTCCCTCTGCATGGCTCTGGCACTAACAGCCAGCCAAGCATGTCCATGAGAGTACAGTCTGATATCCTGCATGGGAGCCTGGATGCATTTTTTTCCTGTTTCTTCTCTCCTGCCTGCTTTTGTTGTTCTTGTGTGAGCAGACCAACTCGCAGCAATCCTAAAGATGTCTGTGTGATTCAAACTAAGGGCCTTAATGATGATCAGACTTTTAAAACTGGACAAAACACCTACTCTGATACTTAAAAAAAATCATAAAAAATCTTAAGTAATTCAAGTGAGGTTTACAGTTTTTGTCAAAGCCCTCACAAATAAATAAATCATTTTAAAAAGTGTAAAAAAAACTTTTCTTTATGTTTTCAGAACAATTTGATTTAAAAACCGAAGCTGTGTATAAGTAAAAAGGAAAGGGTTCAAATAAGCTTGGTAAAAACAATAAAATTCCTTGGGTAGTATTTAAACGTGGCATTTTCAAGATTAGTTCAGTGCTTGAACTTTGTATGATGTGCTTTAAAATGTGTAATAAAAAGTAGAGACTTGTTGAGAAACAGAAGCGTAACTGAGGTCAATTGTGACAAGAAATGTTGCATGACATTCTTGTTACAGCTGCGGTACCATCCACTGTAGTGAAATGTGACATAATTATTTACAATATTATTGCTCCAGTGTAGGATTACGTGTGTTAAAATTATGCCATTTATTTAGTATTAGCGTCACTGTTCAGAGATATCTTGCCTCATCCCGATGTGAGAGCAGCAGCTGAACCCAGTGACTCCACCAGCAACAAACATTGGTAGGGATCCAAAATCAGCTTTGGTGTAAAGTGAGCCGCTGTTCATTACATGTTATAAATCCAGCGGGGTGAATGTAGGCAAAGTTGGCAACTTGTTTAAATCAGTGAAAAGCTGCAGAGAGAACCTAAGCTGATGCATAGGTGCCGTACTTCTTTTGATAACTGAACTGGACTTGAACCACTTAAAGGAATGCTTACGATTGCAAAAAAAAATTCTGTCTCTAAATTTCCCCTTGTTTAGTACTCGTGTTGCTTACTGATTACATGCATTTGCCACCCAATATGGTAGACCTACGTGATTAAGTGACATAGGTGCAAAGGATCAATAGCAAATCTACAGAACAAGCTAGGTTTTGAGAGCAAACACGCCACAGAACACTCACCTCTCTCCTCGGGTATCTTCCCCGAGAACCTGCTGGAACCTGAAATACAGTGAAAACAAGATAGTGCTAAACACCAGTTGCCGTTTTCATGGTCCAAACATCTTTTGTTGTTCGTGACTTTAAATGGTGTTTTTCTTTTAAGGACTCTGGTTGTTTGTCCTAAATTTGAAGCAGGGCTGTACGTTAACGCTTTTAGCTTATAGCACAAGTGCTGCAAAAGTTGTTGGTTTTATGACACAGAACAAAAACATGCCGCACCAGCTTAAAAATTCAGTAAAACTTAACAATAAGGGTCCTTTTATTAATGTTAGTGCATTATTGGGCATTAATAAACAATTAAATGGGTATTATTAATAAGTACAACTGCCTAATATTAAAGTTAATATTAGGTAATGCATTACTAAGCAGATCTTTCCTTAACGCATTCAACTGCTCACTGTCATTGACGACTGAAGCCGTCAATTGCGTTTTTAACGGGGCGGGCGTGGGAACGAGCTCTCGCACCTTTTATCACTCCTCTACAGTTGATTTTCACCCATGAGTGTCGCACGTCACACGATCATGAAGCAGACGATCTACACCAGTATGCCTAAGGCAAGGCGCAAACCGAAAAACCTTTTGCAGCTCACACTTCGACAGCAGATTGTGAAAGAATGAAAACGGCTATAAACACGCTGATTCATCCTGATGCAAGAAGTTAGTCTACTCTTTCTTTTGGTAGTTCTGGTGTTTACGTGATCATCGAGCACAATATTCTGTGACTCTTCAACAAACAGTGAAAATGCTCAACAACGCAGGCAGTCAGGGTCTTTCTGTTCAGATAACGGCTGGCAGCTAATGAGTTTAGGGCACTTAATAATTAACAATATCGGGATTGTTAATATAGGCGTCCTTTGTTTGTTAACGCTTAATAATGCACTAAGTGCTGTTAATGAAGGGACCCTTTTTGTAAAGTGTTACCAAAAACTTTTACAATCTCTAAGAACCAAAAGTTGTTCTTATAAAACTTAAACACACTGACAAACACTAATAGTGCATAATGAAAACACAAGAACTATTTTCATACGTGCTTATTTGTCAGTGTAATTTCAAAAAGAACATTTTCATTCATTCAAATTAGTGTAAATTTGTTCATTACAGAGGTCCTTCCTCAACAGCATAGACATTGAAGTGTAGACACTGCACAACCGCTACTTCCTATGGCGGCCACTTTTGTGAAGTCTTACTTTTTATGAAGTCTATGGTTAACAGGATGTTTTTGCAAAGGTTTTAGCTGTGGAACGGAGAGAGAGCCATCCATAAATTCTCTTCCGCTTATCTGGAGTCAGGTCGCCAGGGCAGCGGCCTAAGCAGAGGCCCAGACTTCCCTCTCCCCAGCCACTTGGGCCACTCAAACAGGGGAATCCCAGGCCATTCCCTGGCCAGCTGAGGGACAAAGGTCCCTCCAGCATGTGCTGGATCTTCCTTTGGGTCTCTTCCCAGTTCTACATGTCCAGGAAACCTTACCAGGGAGGCATTCAGGAGGCATGCTAACTAAATGCCCCAGCCACCTCAACTGGCTCCTCTCGATGTGGAGGAACAGTAGATCTACTCGGGAGAGGGAGCTCAAAAAAACGTTCACACATCCCAGAATGAGCGTGCTCACTTTAACATTCATCAGGTACAATACGTGCAAGTTTAGTTCCCGTTAACAAAAAACTAATAATTTCACAAATGATCATTTAATTATCTCGCTCAGGCACAATGCTGCTGTGTTGTACTTATAATCTTTTCCCTTCTCAGATGTACCTTGATTTGGTGCAGGTTGTGTTTTTGTTTCTTCTTCTTGGCATGGTTTGTTTTTCTGTTCTGTTAAAGGTTTGAAATACTGCTCCAATTTTCTCAATTCCGCCGAAGCACAAGCGTACACCGTATAAAGGCAAACGGGCGAGAACACGCAAGCATTGTGGAAATTGTAGTACAATATAACCGTAATTATGTTGACACGGTAAAACTATCACAACAGACTACAACCACTAGTTGGCATATTGGCGTGCCATGGCTTTGCCTGTTGCATCTTCCTTACACAACCAAACAAGTAGTTTACATTTGTTCAATGAAGTTCTGGGGAAAATGTAACTTGCACGAGTGCTACACCTGAAAATAGTTTACAGCACAGTTTTTTTCATTGCAGGTCTGACATATATGTTGCACTGTACAGCCCTGGGAAGTGGTATCAGCTGGCTATTTTTCCTTCTCTGATGTTGTTGAGCGGAGAACCTCTCACACCAGTGGTGTTCTGTTAAATTCGTGAGTGCGTAATGAATGTAGGACCCAGATAAGTGCCGCGAGACCTACAACTAGATGTTACAATAGTTGCTTTCAGTCAGAAACATGTTATTGGTGAAGGTTTTTAGACAAATGCAAGAGTACCACTTTGTTTACCGTACTGACCCGAATATAGGACGACCCCGATTATAAGACGATCCCCCCCTTTCCAAGACCAAAAAGTTACTTTTTAAATAAACAATTTTTATAGAAAAATTGAGAACAAATACAGAGAAAAATATACTATTTTAATGTAAATCATCAAAACTTTAATGACATGAAATCAAGTCATGTGAAGCTTTTATTCAGACATCCTCTTCCTCTCTGTACTTACTCACTCTCATTCTCAGATCGCTACACCTGCCGACTCCTCCCAGAACGTCATCCTCACTGCTATCCAATGTATGCAATGTTTGGTGCCTCTGCTGAATAGGAAGCCTAAGCCACGTTCGCATCACGGGTCCCCAGAAGAATGAAAAAATGAATGCAAGTCAACGGGGCTAAAAATGCAATTTTCTAATTCTGCTTGTTTTGTGCCATGGATTTCACATATGATGCCCGTGAATTTTAAAGACACATTTTGATACCAAGAACGCGCTTATTTTCGAACAGGGTGAAACACGATTTTAGGTTTTGTCTGAAACTAAGTCCAGGACTACAAATGCGCTTCACGAAAGTGACGTAATCAAACCAGACACGGAGAAAACGGAGGGAAAAGGACTATAAGTTCAGCAAACTTCCCACAGAAGGAAAGAACCACCATAAATCTGGTCATTTGGTAAGTAGCAGCTGCGCTAGGGGAGAGGAAATTATGTGGTGATGTAACATATGCAACGTGCCGATTTCTAGTTTTTAGTCATGCTATTTACAAACATTTACAAGCTAATAAATCTCAAAGTACCTGACTGGTGTGGTCGAAACACCCATCATTACTTTTCATTTAAATGACAGTACAACATATGTGTGATCCAGGGCGTAAGGCAAAGCAGATTAGAAAATAGCGTTTTTAGCCCCGTTGACTTGCATTCATTTTTTCGTTCTTCCGGGGACCCGTGATGCGGAAGTGACTTAGGCTCCCTATTGACCACCGTCCTCTTAAAATTCACGTAACTCTGCCTTATAGCTTGTTAACTTGCCCCACTTTCGGTCCACTCTGCTCCAGACCTCTGTTCTCCATTTATTTTCTTCTGTTGAGAACATACAGCCTGGCGCCCTCTGCTGTTACGGGCGTGTAATGACCCCAGACAAATAGCACGTGTAAATGCTTAGACCCCGATTATAAGATGACCCCACATTTTACAGTTATTTTCAAAGAGAAAAAAAAAAGTCTAATATTTAGGTATTTATTTATTTGTTTGTTTTTTATCTTTACAATATATTTATAGCTATACAATGTTAGAACGTTGTTAAGAAGCATGAAAAAATGTTTAGAGCTCATTTGTTTTCCGTGCTAGCTTATTTTGCAGATTTGCTATTGCAGCTTCAATGTGATTTGAAATCTATAGTTTATTTGTAGTTTCATCTTACACAAAAGTGTTGCAAGTACCAGTTTAACTGAAAATTCCTAAATTTTCTTACTAATTTGTTTCTCCAATGTGACACCAGTGGCCCCAGCCCAGTGCGATCTCAGCTTAAACAGCTGGTTTGGGGGTTGAAATCAAACCACCGGTTTGTTTAAATCTCCGTAAACTTTTACAGTATGGTCTGTACACACTGTAATTTCTGATTTATTTCTCCTAATTTTCTACATCTTGTTGGATTTCTTCACTCACTGAGATACAACATGATCACACTGTTTCAGAGCATCTAGTTTGAATCAGTGTTTCTGCTCAGTTTTATAACTGGACAGACTTGATTCTTCTGAAGCTTTTAGGATGAAGACTGAAGTGGATGCTGCATGCCAGACGTTTTAGACTACGTCCACTGCATGAGCCAACATGACTTTAGGATGCCTTTTAATGTCTAGCCAAAGCCTGCAGTTGTTTTTGTTCAAATTTCAGTTTAAACGTTAAGTAACTAACATTAAACACATCACTGTTTTCTTCCTCTTTCCTCTCCTTCCTTTTGAAATGGAAGGTAAGGGTGGAGCACTGAAATAACACAAATGTGGTTCTATTGACAGAATGTGTATAAATCTGTGCATGTGCAGGAATTTTCCTACTTGTTTATGTTGGTGTCTTTATTTATAGTTGTCCAATTCCAACTTTCAGTGTCACTTGAAATGTAAACGATTGGAGGAGGTCTTCTCACGTTAGATGGAGGCATTTAATCCCAGGGGGATTAGATTTATATTAATATTAACCCTTTGTTGCATAATGGTCACTACAGTGGACAGGTACTGAAAATTTTATTTTTTTTTTTTGCTATTAAGCACAGCTGTTGAAGACTTTATTGCATTTGAGCCCCTCCATTTGGACTTCAGAAAGTCAAGCCAACATATTTCATGTTCAGAATGCACGCTGTCCACTGAGGTGGACGTGTAATAAATTATTTGTAAATTAAATGTTACTAAAATATGTAAAAATGAAGTTTGTTTCATTCACAGCTAAAGATGAATGAAAAAATTTGTTATAAAAATCATGGTTGAAGATTTCATAATTCATGCATCAAAGGGTTAATATATTCGCATAATAGCATTAGAGCATCCAGCATCCCGGCATGCGTTGCAGTCGAAGACGCAATGCTCCCCGTCTCAATTCGGCTGTTATTTGCACACTTGTGTATCACGCACTAAAAGGCTAACTGCCCACTTTCTTCAAGTGCACTCTGCTGAAGACTGCAGGGTGCAGTGCGAGTATCGAGGTTGGTTCACGGTTTAAAGCAACAACTATCATTTAAGCTCTATATTAAACCAACAGCAAGTTTATGTGAATGAGGAAGTAAGGGATTCGGATCCAGCTCCTAGTATGCTAGCTAGTTTTCTTTCAGCCAGCACCCAAGAAGCTTTCAATTCACAGGTGCTGATTGGTTCAAAGTTGTTCTCCCAAGCAACTAAATGTGATTGGCTGTTTACTTGCAGTTTAGGTGGGATTTTCCCAGTGCCCCAAGAGTGAAACTAGAGGGTCTAGTGGAGGAAATTCTCTGTTTATGAGAGACAGCTGGTGAAAATGTAAATAATTCAGATTGCATGTAGGAGTGCGCAATTAAGCAAATCTGACACATTTATAGTCATTATATATGAGCATGTTTTAGTTTTATTTACCTTTTAGATTTTACTCTCCTTTCAACTCAGGGAGGGCTGCGCCCCTATGGACAAGCTGCTACTGCTGTTAGCAAGTCAACAGGCAAGAATGTCTGAAAAAGTAAAAGTTTTACAACAAAGTCAGCTTTAGACACGATGCTCAGTGGAGTTATCTTCTAGATCATGCTGAGCAAAGGTGATTTTGATTTCATAAAGTGAAATTGGCTTTTAAACATTTCTCAGCTTTGACTTAGTTGTGTGTCAAAGTGGAGAAATGCAAGAAAACATAAGAAGTTAAAATTTAAAGAACAGGTCACCCCCAAATCAACATTTTTTTCTAATAAAGTACATAAATGCGTGTCTAATCGTGCTGCAGACACGTGTAGTCAATAGTTTTGCACTTTTGTGCATTTTAGTTCAAATTAAAATTTTCTGCCTAAAACTGTCAGTGTTGTGCCGTTGTCAGGTAAAAACTGCACTGCAGTTGAATTTAAATCTGCCACCGCTATTGGCTAAGAGGTACCCTAGAACGTTAGCTGGTACCATATGATGTGACTGTGTGTGTGTGTGTGTGTGTGTGTGTGTGTGTGTGTGTGTGTGTGTGTGTGTGTGTGTGTGTGTATTTGTTAGCGGCTCTGCCCTCTCAGTCTGCTAGGTAACAGCATTTGTTGCATTTTTCAAACAGGAAGTGGGAGTGGAGTAGTACTCTGGTAGGGGGTGACTTGCTCTTTAAGATGCTAATGTAAACAAATGTGAATAATTGGCTACATTTTGTTCCAACTTTTAGCATAATTTTACAAATTATCATTCCATTGGTTTTCTCATAATAGGCTTTGCTTTATTTTATATGTTAGAGCATAATTATTACTGGCAAGATTTAAAACCTTCAAATAAAGTGTCAAATTATTGTCATTTTGTGTTTATTTTTAAGTTATTAAAGAGAAAATAATGAAAAGGACAGTCCTGTCTTAGATTTTCCAGCAACGCAATTGCTTTATTTTCAGCTGATTTATTTTCTCCCTTTCTTTATGTTTAATTGATATTTAAGCATAAACGACTTTATTATCTATTTTATTTGTATGTGTTTATGTGAAAATACATTTTTGGATGTCTTTTAACAACCTTCCTGCTGCAAAAATGACAAAATATTTTATTTGTTTTTAAATGCTGATTGGACGTATATTTCATTTAATTTTTAACCCCGTTTGTCCTTCTCTCTTTCAGGGTGTAAAACCGTACTAAACAAAAAGGCTGACGGTGTAAAGGTAAGTTCTCTCACACTCATACTTTCCTCTCATTTCTGTTTATTACCTGTTTTCCTTCTTTTTATCAATCTGTAATTATTTAATTTGCTCATAGTGTCGCATTTAATCTGTTACTGCAGAATAAACAATATTTAGGTGTTTTTATGCGGTTTTATATGGAATACCTACATGTGGGTTGAGTTTAATTCTGATTGAGTCAGTCAGTGCATGCGGTGAAGTGCCAAGATCAGCAGGGACATAAAAAAGTTCTGTAACTTCAACTATAAATAAACTCCAACCCAAACTCTCTACAGCCATTTAAATATTAACTCCCTGTATTTTTTTCCAGCTGTTTTCCTTATTCTTTCTTCAGCGCTTTTAGTATTTTAGTTCCATTTTTGCTCCTGCTGAAGCTCCCTTTATGTTTCTCTCTTTCTCGGATCAGTCTGGCAGCTTCTCTCTTGCTGTTTTAATCAGTTCCTTGTTTCCCGATGACTCCTTATTTATTTCCTCCTCCTCCCCTCCATTGCTGTCTGTCAGAAAAGGAAGTCCAGCTCAAGTGTTTGTTTGATGGTGAGATTGGCTCAGTCGTTCTTTTTTTTTCTTCTCTCTCTTCTTCCTTACAAGTTTTTTCCTGCATATATTTTGTGCTTGCTTTGTTCTTTTGACCTTTTTCTTTTGGATGAAAGTGTTTTAGGCTTTTATTCCCTGTTGGATTTCATATCTTCATCCTCCTTGATGCCAGAATCTCCACCAAAACCATTTAGCTGCTGCTGATTGGTCTGGTTATGCTCTTCTGTCCCTTCATTTCATTCAGACATTTTTATTACTGCCAACATTGTGTTCCCTCTGTCAGATTGTTGCAGTTTTACATCCATCCTGTCATAGTTTGTTTTAGTGTTTGTGATTTCTTGTCTTTTTCTCCCTATAAAAATAAAGGAGCTGTCACCTGAATGCTTCCTCGTCCACCTATCTAACAGTTTCACACCTATATTTAGTGATTTTTATTATTCATCGATGACATGAGGTGACTTCTAAAGTTTCCAGACTTTCTAAAAAGATCCTAAAACCTTTTGATTCTAAACTTTTATTGTGAAAATCCAAGCATCGACCCCCCTCCTAGTTTCCTGTGGGAATTTTTGTCCTGTTAGATAACATGTTTCCCCTCTTTGCCAACAAACCAACAAACAAAAAATGAATAGTACTGGATGGGTTAGATCCAACATATAATTGGCATTACAGATATCGTCGCACAGATCTAATCCAACTAAAACTAAGTGCTATGTTCAGTCTAAGCACAGAGCGGTGTAGCAGTCTAGACTGAGCCATTTCTGGGCTCATCGTTCCACTTTTCTTTTATTATTGGACCAGAGTTTGAGTGTTTTTGATCTTGAAAGCAAATTGAAGCAGATAATGGAGTCTTAATTTGGACGTAGTAACCCAGCAGCTGCTCTGATGATTCTGATGTAGCTTTTCTCCTAGACTAGAGTAAGTGTAGTTTTTATTAGATTTAAAGCCCCCCCCCCCCCAACACACACGTATCACGAAAGGCTTTTCACTGCATGCACCGACCTGAACTCATTTATTATTGGTTTTAAGTTTTCATTCTTTAACAGCAGATTATTAAATGTTCCTGTCTTAAAATGCACGTGCTAACTTATTCTCCTTTTTTATTTTTTGAACATTGTTTTTAATGACAAACTGCTTATTTTTGCAACAAAATTCATATTAGAATCTTAATAATCAAAGCAAGGTAACTTTATGATTATTTATTATTAAGACGTCATTTAAAATGCACACGGCAGTTTGGTGTAGGAGATTATTAAATGTTTGTTTTATCTACCGACTGGTCACGGTTCCTGCTGCGACTCTGTTATGGGAGACCTGTGTTGTGTCTCTTTGCCCCAGTCGCAGGGAAACAGTAAAAACAGTGTAGTCAGCAGCACCAGCACCAAAGACAGCAGCGTATCATCTTCAGCACCAATGGTACCACATCTGTCCTCTTTTGCTGTCATTGCTTTTTGTAGTCATGTCACTTTTTCCATGTTTTAAGTTTTTTCGTCTCGTCCTGTGTTCTCACGCCCATGTCAGTCCAAACAATCCCCATCCTCCTCCTTGCTTCTGTTCTGAAAACGTGTGCTGTTGGCGTTGAATTTGACAGCTTTAAAATTGAGCGACCGTCCTGTGGCTTGGAGAATCTCTCCTGGCTCGTGGTTTACCCAGAACTCCTGCAAACATGGAACGCCAGCAGGCAGACAAATTACTTTCATTTTGTGTTGGAACGGCAGACACTTCACTCAAGTTCTGCTCAGCCTCAGCCCAGACAACTCCTTTGTGTCTTCAAATATGTCACCCGAGCTTTGATGGCAGTGTAGCCTTTAAAGTGGTGAAAAGTTATTGCAGTTTAGTGGAAGAAAAAGGGCTGAAAAAGTTTAGTTTAATCAAAACCCTGTGAGGACTTCTGGGTACAGCAGGAGCGTGAGAAGATGAGTAACTGTAGGAGGATGCAGCCCCTCTGTTCACGTTTATGACATAGAACTGAAAAGAGCTTTTATATGTAAATGATAAGAACAATAGTGCAGGTTAAAATGACTTCTACTTGATCTGTAATCGTCTCTAACTCCCCCTGGCTTTCATGGGGCTGCATGTTCTTGAGTTTTAGGATGAGAAGTGTGAGACTGAGCTGGGTTTATTTCCCAACCTTTGCAGTGCTCGTGGCTCTTGAATTGCTTTGTGCCGAGTGTTTCTGTAGCACGGTCATGGCTGAGGAAGAGGAGTGGATTTAAAAACCCTAACTGATGGAGTTACATTTTGTTACAGTGCAGTCTTATTGCAAAAGGGATTAAGTTGATTGTTTCCTCAAAATTTGTCACACAACACCCCGTAATCACAACATGAAAAAATTTGGGGTTTTTTGTTTGTTTTTTGCAAATGTATTAAAAAAGTATTTTAAAAAAACCCTGAGAAATCACATGTACATAAAATTTCATTAAATTTTCCATAAAGCTCAAAACTGAAGTTTTAATACTTATTTACACATTGTTAAAGGAATTTTGCCTCTGGTCAATGTCCTCAAGATGTTTCTGCAGCTTCATTGGAGTCCACCTGTAGTAAATTCAGCTGGGTGGACGTAATTTGGAAAAGCACACACCTGTCTAAATAAGGTCCCGCGGTTGACCATGCATGTCAGACTAAACCAAGCAGGGAGTCAAAGGCAGTGTTGGGAAAGTAACTTTAAAAAAGTAATTAGTTAGTTACTTATTACTTTGTCAAAAAGTAACTTACTGAGTTACGAGATTATAAAAGTAACTAATTACCATGAAAAATAACTACTTAGTTACTTTTTTCATTAAAGAATGCAAGAAAAATGGGTTAATTGAACTTACTTAATTTACTATAAATTACTACTATAGTGAAATATAAATGACTAATGACTGGAACATAATAAAATGTATGTCCAAATGTTTTTTATAAACCTGAATAATTTAAATAAATAAGCACTTAACAGGAGGAACTACTAACAGGAGCATTACACTAATCTAGACTATTAAAAGGTCACTGTGTGATATTTAACAAGACCCCAATCAGCTAAAATTGAAAATTGCAAATAGAAACACCTGTAAAGGTTCCCGAGCCTTTAAATGGTCTCTCAGTCCAGTTAAATTACATAAATGAATGTAATTTTGCACAGTATTTTAATTTTTCCAGCTTCACATAATTGTGTGTTTTTAGTAGCATTTCTGTTGCTGCTAATCTAGTAACGGTTAAATAAATAAATAAAATCCTTTAAAATGACACTAGAAGAGGCACAAGCCTGATGGAGGACTTACATTTACTAACTTGGGTCAGACCCAACCACAGAAGAGCTGAAGCTGGGTGGTAAACACACACAGGTAGTTCTAATAACACCTGAGCTCCATGACGTTTGAGACTGATGCATCAGTGTTACAGCGGGACTAAAGACATGATCAGAAACAGGTTACAGTTGGATGATCTAGGAAGGTAGAAGATCAGGACGTCTGAGCGGTGAACAGGTGAGCGGACCTTCAGGACGTCCCGCTGTCACGCTAAGAAGGGCACGGCTGTAGATCCACACCTGCAGCCGTAGACTATTCATCACGTCTTCCTCGTTCTTCACGGGTCATGATGCGCTTGGATGAAAACATCTGCCTCTTTTGCTCCTGATTAACGAGTAATGTGGTTATTTTAAATGACGTTATTCCCATCACTGCTCTGTTGGGTCTACAGCATGCAGTGACTGCACCCGGCCAATCATCATCGTGTTTGTAAGTGTGTTACCGACACACCTCTCTCCCTGGCTGCAGCTGAAGTGTGGCGGTCAGAAAGCCTCACACTGCTGCTCAACGTTCGACAAAGACATAGTAACACACAACCTTCCGTCCCCAGTAACGGTAACGGCGTTGCAACAGTGGGAAAAGTAATTTATTAGATTATTCCGTTACCTAAAAAAGGCGTTATTTCCCATCACTGGTCAAAGGGATTGTCTGTAGACCTCTGAGACAGCATTGTCCTGAAGCACAAAGGGGACAGTTTCTACTGCTTTGAAGGTCTCAGTGAGCTCAGTGGTCTCCATCGTCTTTAAGTGGAAGACATCCAAATCACCAGGACTCTTCCTAGAGCTGGACAGCCGTCTAAGCTAAGCGATCGGTTGAGAAGGACCTTAGTCAGGGAGGTGACTACGAACCCAATAGTCAGAGTTCCTGTGCTCCTCTGTGGAGAGAGAACTTTCCAGGAGAACAACCATCTCTGTAGCAATCCACCAATCTGGCCTGTAAGTGCCCAGATGGAAGCTACTCCTTAGTAAAAATCATCTGGCAGCTCAACTGGAGTTTGCCAAAAGGCACCAGAAGGACTCATATCATGAGACACAATATTCTCTGGTCTGATGAAACAAAGATGGAACTCGTTGTGCGAGTGCCAGGTGTCACATTAGGAGGAAACCAGGCACCGCTCATCACCAGGCCAATGCCATCCCTATAGTGAAGCGTGGTGGTGGCAGCATCATGCTGTGGGAGTAATATTAAGCAACAGGAACTGGGAGGCTAGTCAAGACCGAGGGAGAGATGAATGCAGTAATGAACAGAGATCCTGGCTGAAAACGTGCTCCAGGGCACTCTTAATCTCAGAATGGGGCAACGGTCCATCTTTCAGCAGGACAACAAACCTAAGCACGCAGCCACGATATCAAAGAAGTGTCTTCAGGATAATTCTGTGAATGTCCTTGACTGGCCCAAAGGTAGATGTGCTAAGCTTGTTGTAATTGCTGCCAAAAGTGCATCACGTATTGAACAAAGGCTAGGAATACCTATGTACGTGTGATTTCTTACTTGTTGTCATTTTTAACAAATTTACAACAATCTAGAAAGAAAAGCATGTTCCACATCATCATGGGGTGTTGTATCCGAATTTTGAGGATAAAAGGGATTGAATCCATTTTAAAGACTGTAACATAACAAATTGTTGAGAAAGTGATGCGCTGTGAATGCTTACCGGATGCACTGTAAGGAAGTTCTGCTGTGCTCCCTCCTAACGAACCGGCTGATCTGCTGAAGTGACGGTTTACAATTTGCAGCAAGAGGAAGTTAAAGAAAATGTGCACTTAAAAAGCAAAGATGATTAAAAGGTCAGCAGGAGCTGCAACAATTACAATTTCAAAGCCTTCATTTGTCACTCCATCAGTTTGTGTTTGTGCAGGTCATTATTAGAACTTTATAGCTGCAATACTTACCTAACTATTAGTACAAACATCCGCCAAAACATTATGACCATTTGCCAGATAATTTGCTGCTAGGGATCTGAAAACCGGTTGTGCTCTCTGGGACAGAATCAGCTAGACATCTCCATGTGCTGTAGATGGAGCCTCTTTAGACCAGACTCTTTCCTCCAGAGACGTTGATTCTTGCTTGTGATCTGAAGAATTTTGAAGCCAAATCACCTCTTGAAACATTTTGTCTTCCTTAAATAGTTTTGCAGAACATTTTATTCTGTTTAAAGAGACCAGTACCATCAAAGAATTATTTTTAAAGCGTAATTGGCAGCCATCTTTGGATTGGTAATGACAAATAAAAGCATCCACACTTGTCTTTCAGGGTAGTAACCCAGATGGTCCCACCTATCATCTTAATTCTGAAAACGAAATAGTCATACATTCTACAGTTGTAATTTGGATGCTCTTACGCCATTGTTTACCCTTTTGGAGTTCAGGTAAATAACGTTTTAGAGCAATAAACCGTCTGCAGAAGTGCAACCCTTTAACAAACTGCAATATAATCCATCCCAGCACCTTTCTACCCCTCTTAGTAGCACTCCACAAATATCTGTAACTAGGAAGGTACTAAGCTGAGGCTTGCCTCTATTTACTGCTTTCAACTTTCTTACATGTAAGTGGTCATAATGTTGCAGGTGGAGTGATGTAAAAGCTCTAAAATCTTTCTAATTCTCCAGAACCCTCCTCCTTTGTCGTGGTCTGGGCTGGTGAACATGTGTGTTTAACTGTACTCATGACTTTTTTTGTGAATTTTGGTGACTAAAGTAATTTTGTGCCAATGAAGGGGAACAAACCAACAGAGCACCTGCTGTAAATGGTCTACAGCTCCGTGAATTAGCTCTTGTGCTTTGATGTGTGTGCGTTTAAGTGTTTGTTATGTTGTGTTGCTATTCTGTGGCATCATCTGCTCGTGCCTCCCCCTCTCATCCATCCCGACCCTGCATGGTAAAGTGTCTCCTACCTCCCCCCAGGAAGCCCAGGCAACCGTTGTACACAACCCAGCAGACGGCACCAAGGTAAGCCGCTCTATCTCCAGCTTGAGGCCACCAGCCACTCACACCTAAAAAAAGCTCATGAAGGATAAGTGCACATCTCAGCTGTGTGTTTTGTGCATATAAATTTCCTACAAAAAATGTTAAAATTACTGATTAAAAATTGAGATTTTTGGGAGTGGGGTTGTGTGGAGCTCTTTCAGTAGTGCATGTCTTACCTGCAGGAGGCTGTTTCAACGATATTCTAAAAAACGAGTCAAGCTAATCCAATTACTTCTGCCTTTAATTCCCTTAAGTAGTGTTTAGTTATTTATGAAAAACACAAAGTTAAGTAAAAAAAAAAATGTTTTTAGGTATTTTTCTTTACTGAACAAAGTCTTTTGGGCAGTTTGTACCAAAATGCAAATCAGGTCTAATCTCCCCCCCCCAACAACAAATAAACCAACAAAATTAGTGATAAAAATAAATGTTTGAATTTTTTGAAAAATATGGAAGTAGATCTTTATATGGAAGGATATGGGAGAATTGCAGGAACAGAAGAGGATATAGCGCCTCTCAAGATAAAAATCACAAGGTGCCAAAACAAAAGTTGAAAAACAAAAAAAATGAAAATAAGATTTAAAAAAATGATTATTACAAATCATAAAATTGGGAGAATTAAAAAAATATTGTGATTGAAAAAATATGAAGAAAGAGAAAGTGAATAAAAAAAGAGGTAATCAGTGGATCCCGGAAAAGGCAGAATTGGTAGAAAGAGCTGAATGAGGAGAAGGTGGTGATGAAGAATAAACAGGTCACACCAAAACCAGCCTGAACAGGTGAGTCTTCAGCTGCTTTTTAAAGGAGACCACTGAGTCCACTGATCTCAGACTCAGGGGGAGAGAGTTCCAGAGTCTGAGGGGCCACAGCACCTTTGGTCTTTAGCCTGGTACTAACCAGTAGGCTTTTGTCACTGGACCTCAAGGACCTGCTGGGGGTGTAGGGACTGAGAAGATCACCAATGTATGATGGTGCTTGTCCATGTAAGAGCCTTAAGACCAGAACCAGGATCTTGAAATGAACCCTGAAATGAACAGGCAGCCAGTGAAGCTGGAGGAGAAGCGGGGTGATGTGGGTGTACTTTAACGATTTAGTCAGAAACCGAGCACAGGCATTCTGAACCACCTGTAGACGGTTCAAGGAGGATTTGCTCAGACACGTGAAAAGAGAGTTGCAGTGTAAGTGTGAGGAGATGAAGGTGTGGATAACAGTCTCAAGTTAAGACAGAATGAGACTCAGCTTAACAATGTAACTGAGATGGAAGAGAGAAGAGAACTGACATGAGAATCCAGGGTGAAAGCTGGGTCAAATTTCACACCAATTGGAATATCATCTGCATAAAGATGGTAAGAGATTCCTTCAAAAGAACTCAGGATGTGCTGAAGAGGGAGCATTTAGAGTAGGGAAAAGTAAAGGCCCTAGCACAGAATCGTGCGGGACACCATGAGCTAAGGAGGTGGTGGAGGACTGAAACTTGGAGACGGCCACAGAAAAGGAACACTCAAGACAGATGGAGGAGAACAACAGCTCCTGATAGGCTTACCCAATTTCTCAGCCTCGCCAGTATCAGGTGATGGCTAACGGTGTCAAAGGCTGCCGTCAGGTCCAGCAGGACCAAAACCGAACAGTCCCCTGCATCACTGAGTCAGAAGGTCATTAGAGATCCTTAGAAGAGCTGTTTCAGTAGAATGAGCTCTACAAAAACCTGCCTGGAAACTATCATAGATATTATGTTCATCGAGAGCAGCTGTGAGTTGTTTAACCACAACCTTTTCCAGGATCTTGGAGATGAACAGAAGTTTAGAGATAGGTCTGAAGCTGCTATGGAGAGAGGCGTCGAGATAGGGCTGGGCAATAAATTAAAAATGTATCGTTATAGAAATTTCTGACTAATCGAGAAAAATATTCCCATGTCAATAAATTTGAATAAACAAATGAAAAGGTGTGTGTAGGTTGGCAACATTCATGTCCCTTTAAGAAACTACCACCTTGAGTCACGTAAAAATGTGACTCAACGTAATGCATCTGACAGCGTAGTGGGCAACTTTTGTTTCTGCACATACCTGTAGTTATCATTCATCTATCGTTGTCGAGGTGAAATCCTCAATATATGGTGATATTGATTTTAAGGCATATCGCCCAGTCCTAGGTCAAGATGAGGGTTTTTAAGAAGCGGGTGGGTTACATCGTTCCTGAAGTAAGCAGGGACCTGCCCACAAACCAGAGAAGCTTTAATTATAGAGAGCGTGCTGGAACCGATGGACTGAAAAGCATTTGTAAACAAAGGTGAGGGTGAGATGTCGAGGGGGCATGCAGAAGTGTTTTGTATTTGAAGTGTAAGGCATAGGAAGTCCTGGTAGACTTATTACTTTTAGTTGCAGCTTTTAAGTTGGACAAAAAAATAATCATTTAAAAAAATGTCTCATGTGAAAGTAAATACATGTACTTATACTACTGTTTACTTGAGGTGTTGGAAAGGTTTTAAGTTGTTGTAGATAATCAAATTTGGCTCTCAATCCTAAAAATTTCCCTAATTCTCGAAACTGAGATCACTTTCCAGTGAACTGCAGGTAAGATACTGACTGTTCATAAATACTTCACCACTTTCCTAGAAAACATGCCAACATTAGGGTCAAGTGTGCCTTTAAATGGGTGTTTTCTGGACTTGGAAAGCTTACCCTGATCATTCTGCTCTGGTTATTTACAAATAAATTGCAGCAAATGGCAATTTTATATGAAACAGAAATTTCTAAATCAATTCAAATTTGAAAAAGGTACAGCCTTCCAATAATTGTGAAACTTGCTTTTCTCACATTTAACACACTTGCAAACTGCTACTATCACAAAATGTTGTTATTCCATTGACACAAATCTCACTATCACTTGGGCATGCTTCGTCTTGAGTGGCGGTTGCACTCTAACGTACTGTCGCACAAGGCCCCCCCCGTTCAAATTATTGATTGAAAATGCCACACGCACACACACATTGCGGCTTTGTTGCGTGTGGCTCTCCGTGCTTCCCCTCGCTGCTGTCCTGGCTGGTTTGTGCTCCTGGGAGGGAGTCCCCACACCCACCCACTCACCTACCTCCATCCCAGTTCGTCTGTCCATCAGGTGGGCTCTGTGTCCTTATAGGTGTGATAAGACTTCTCTTTCCCCCCTCTCTTTCCAAACATCCCCTTTTCCTCTCACTCTTTTCCCTGCACTTCCTGTTTTACAGGGCTCCACAGAAAGCTGTAATAATGCAGAAGAGGAGGAGATGAAAGGTAGGAAAGGTAGCTGTCCAACTTTCACCTACTCTGCATGCTTCCTGTGACTCACTGTAGAATGTCTAGTTTAGATGGATACAATGACAAACCATTTTCCTTCCTTAAGACTGACGTAATGCATGCCTGCTGGGTCCGTGTTTTAGGAAACTGTCAGCTTTTACTTTACAACAAGAGGCCTTGGAGATCTGGAGGATTGTCTAGTCGGATGAGAAAGATAGATGTTAATCTAAACAGTCAGTTTTGTTTTGATTGTGATGGGGGACTGTGGCGCTGTATTCTAAGATAATACGCTTATGCTTTTGTTTTGTATTTAAATATTGGAATAAACCAATAATCTGATAATTAATAAACAAACTCTGGTAGTTCATGTAGACTGGTATTAGTTGTTCTACTTATTTGTTGATTAATACCACAAAAACCACCATGGGTTTATTGAAATTAGTATATAAACGTTGCATCAATAGAAACGCTACGATAATGAGTTAAAGGTTACCCAGATATTTTCTACAGTTTTATTGACCTAGCTTGTAATTACTCAGCATTCTTTTATGGTTTCAAATTTTGATCCTAAAAATGATCCCACAACTGTCAATTATGCCTAAAATTGAGCTAATTACAGGTTTTCTTTAAGAGTCCATCCCTGTAGAGCTTAGTGTCCAAATTTAAATTAGAAATCAGGCTGAAATAAAATATTTACATGCTTTATCTAAAAAATACTTGTTTTCTCTAATACCATCCATCCATCCATCCATTTTCAACCCCTTGTCCAGAATCAGGTCGCGGGGGCAGCAGCCTAAGCTGAGAGGCCCAGTCTTCTCTCCCCAACTATTGGGCCAGCTTCTCCAGAAATCTGGCTACAGAGTTCTGAACACACTGTAGACGTTTCGGTGCTGATGAAGCCAACAGGACCACATCATCTGCAAAAAGCAGAGACCTGATCCTTAGGCCTCCAAAGATGTCCCCCCCCAACGCCTTGGCTACACCTGGAAATCCTGTTCATAAAAGTTATGAGCAGAATCGGTGATAAAGGGCAGCCTTGGCGGAGTCCAACTATAACTGGTAATGAGCTCGACTTACTGCCGGCAATGACGCCGGTCATACAGGGACCTAACAGCCCGTATCAGACGGCCTGGTACCCCATACTCCCAGAGTACCCCCCACAGGGCCCACCGGGGGACGCGGTTGAACGCCTTCTCCAATTCAGCAAAACACATGTAGATTGGTTTGGCAAACTCCCACGCGCCCTCTAGGACCCCCCTGAGGGTATAGAGCTGGTCCAGTGTTCCACGGCTAGGACGAAAACCACATTGCTCCTCCTGAATCCGAGGTTTGACAATCCGACGGACCCTCCTCTTCAGAACCCCTGAATAGACCTTACCAGGAAGGGTCTCTAATACTTTTTTCTTAAGTTAAGCAAAAAGAGGTGAATTCACTAAAGATTCAAGTTCATTTAATGTTTGATACATGGGAGAAAAAACCATTTTACAGCAGAAATCCAGATATTTCCCCTTTTCGGCCTGGAAAGCCATCCTATAAATGTATAGTCTATGGGCCACGCACCCATATCTAAATCGTTGATGCCAATGCTGTTACAAACAAGTGCTGTTCCTGAGCCCATGCTGTCTTTGTAGTTTTTCTTTTTTTTTTTTTTTTTTTGTCGTAGTTCTAGCGTGAAGCCCGCCAAACAAAAAAAGTGTTATGATTAGCAGGAAACAATCATTTGGGCCAATGGTCAACCTGCTGAGGCTACAATGGAGCGTGGCTAGACTGACCTGCAGAACAAAATCTTTTACTGCAGTTAGTGTAGACTTCCACGCTAGAATTATATATGAATGATTTTAGTTTTTTAAGAAATCCGTGAAAGTGATGGTCTCTCACTGTACAGTGATGTAATGTAAGCAATGAGTCATTATTTTTTGCCAAGAGTTATTGTTCATTTGACAAGTCAAAAAGTCAGTTTGGTTCTTTCTAGTTTCCACTTCATCCCTGTTGTGGCTGAGTGGCCCAAACATTCAGATTAGCCAAGTTAAAACATAAATCTGAGTGGATGTCATCGACCTGCATTGTCATACAGTTCTGTGTTTAAGATTTCCAGCTTTTGTCATGAAGTCATCTGGAATCTCATATTATCATGTTTATTTATTTATATTTTTTTGTAAGACAAGTGGGCTGGTTGGTGTCCTCGGGCCCTCAGTGTGCATCTGTGTGTGTTTGTCCTGGGGTGACAGCAGTAGCTGTTAGTTCAGGGTTAGAGAAGTGCAGCAGCTCCATGCTCCTTGCTGTTCGCCACCCGCCTGCAAGTCAGCCAGTCTTTTCAATTTTCTGTTCCACCTTCTTCCTTTTATCATCGACATTTCGACTGCAACACGTTTACTTCACCACGAAGTTTTGTTGGAAAAAAAGATGCCAAAATCTTATTTTTTTTAGCAGGTTGCAGATTTAGTTTCCTATGCTGCCATCTGCTGGTAATCTGACACCACTGCAGATTTCCACTACTCTATTTTCTCGATTACTTGGTTGCTTTTAAAGATTTTGTGCATGAACTAATTATTTAGTGAAGCAGAGATTTGATGTGTGTAACTTACTTTTACTGGACTTGCCTTCAGTCGGTCCCCTGCAGGAGTTTGTTAGTAGCCCCACTGACCCTGTTGCTCAGCCCGGTCCAGCTCAGACCTCCTGTTCAGAGCCAGAGTCTGTTCAATTGCTCCTAGCAGGCGACGGCACCCTGCAGCTGAGTAAGTGATGGACAGGTTGTGCAGATCTTTGCAAAAAGCGTCTTTGGCATGTGTCGAAGTGGAAGTTTGAGGATTTTAATGGACGGACTTGCATGCAGATGTTTTACAGGCTGTCATTTTCCCCTTCTGGTTTAACATCTGGATGTGCATCCAAAATGTTTGGTTTCCACTCCTCTAGTCATTTATTCTCTTGAAAACAAACTAACGTTCTGTGAGAGTACAACAGAATTTGTGTAATTTGATCATTTCCAGCAGATTCATTTGAACATAAAGTGTACAGGATGACTTCTAGTGTGACTGGAATTCATTTTCAGTTTCAGGCAGTGAGTTGAGGTGCAGCGCGTGGTGTGGGGTCTGCATGTCTATCCTCCAGAGAACTCCTGACTCTCTTTAACCTCTTCAGCTCTTTTCTCCATCCTTTTTTCTGTCTCCAGCTTGTAAACAAGAAATAATAAAGATGACGGAGCAACTGATTGAAGCCATCAACAATGGAGATTTTGAGGCTTACACGTAAGTTTGCGCTCCATTTTTCCTTTTTGCTGCAATGCTTTGTCTAATACCATTTTTTTTTAGATTGGTTCCTTTCTTTGTCTCACAGGAAAATCTGTGACCCCGGACTGACCTCTTTTGAACCAGAGGCTCTAGGAAACCTGGTGGAGGGGATGGATTTCCATAAGTTCTACTTTGAAAATCGTACGTTCCTATAAACACAGTAACACCGAATCTACATGCAGTGTAGTTTAGAGCGATGGCTGATGAGTGGAGAAGGACCAGCTCTCATCTGGACAGTTTATTCACACAGGATCACTTTGAAGTGATTATACTTCTGAAACACATCTTTGTTCTGTTGATGTCAAGAGCTTTTGGCTTTCTCCATTTTCATAGTTCTGAGTAAAAACAGCAAACCAGTGCACACCACCATCCTCAACCCCCACGTCCATCTGATTGGCGAGGATGCCGCCTGCATCGCTTACATCCGTCTGACGCAGTATATCGATGGCCAAGGTCGGCCGCGCTCCTGCCAGTCGGAGGAGACGCGCGTGTGGCATCGTCGCGATGCCAAATGGCTCAACGTGCATTTCCACTGTTCGGGAGCCCCGGCTACACCGCTGCAGTGAACGGACAACCCAGGCCTGGGTAAGACGGAAAACAAACCAACGCTGAGGGTTTGGGTTACTGAGTGCAGTCAAACACCTTCTTGGGTTATTATGCTCTTGTTTTTGGAGAAGATAAAGTAAAATGCATCGAGCTAGCAAAGCTTGTTCTCCTCTTCCTTCTCTTTTTTAATTGAACAAAATAACTGATGCAGATTTATAATTTGGTTAGTAATATTTGAAGCTGATGAGAATGCCGAGTCAGTGGAGTTCCAAGAACTTGTTCCGATCTGGTCTGGATGTCTGTAAAAACTGTAGCCGACTCCCGGTCTGCCTTGTGGGGGCCACCGTGTTTGAAAATGATGGAGAGAGGCAGGAGCTCTTCCTCTCAGCTTAAAGAACTTCTTACTTACTTTCTAAGAGCAAAAATGTCATTAGATGGTTCCCACCCAACAATCTGCTGTTACATTGTGCATACAAGTGGATCCAGCCAGCTGGTTGCCATGGTAACTGTCGAGTAAATCATGGATCTCAGAAGACAGGCGGGCGGCTGTGGTGTGTCTAAGATGTATTTTTAAGGCTTTGGGTTGAACAAAAACTTCATAAAGGAACTTTTTTATTTAAGTTGAGGAAAATGTTAGAATTAATCTTTCTGAGGAAAACAAAACTGTTTCCTTCTGTAAAATTTAACATCGAAAAGCTACCTTCGCTAATGCTAGCGCATCGTGTCTCTCTCCTCCAGGTTTGCCTGACACTTTAAAGCCGTTTGGAGCATTTACTCTCCGTGGTCGGAGCAGAGTGTGGATCCTGGCTGGGACGAGTCTGCTTGGAAAACACAAAAGTGGGAAAAATATATTCCAATCTTAAAAAAAAAATAAAATAAAGGATAAACAAACCAAACGAGCATATTTTATAAGCTTGAACGATGACCGACCAACACCACTCCAGTCCATCCCTTACTAGATGGCGTTGGGGCTCAGCTGATGTCAGCCCCCTCCTGCTGATGGTGCATGTTTTTGATGGTAACACTGGGTGATGCTCTCCTGGATGGCCTTTCTCTCCCCGTCTGTTTTGTATGCCATGTGGAAAAGTATTAATGTGTCAAGATATATAAATACTTAGAATTATTGAAACACTTCACACACACACACACACACACAGATCTGGAACAGCAGAACTCTGTTCTGTACATTTTTCAGCTAACTGGTTTATTAATGTGAGAGTGGGGTTACTGGGAATGAGAGCAGCTTAACTCTAATACCAGTTTTAGGAGTGGGGGCGTTTTGCATCTGCACGGTGTTGTAAGGTTTCATTTCACTGAAGGGACTTCTTGTTTGCCTTTTCTGAAAACTTAAAAGCTTTGATTTTTGGTTGTTTTTTTTTTGGGGGGGGGGGTCCTGAGTACATTTTTTCATGCAAATGGGGTATTATTTAAACAGAACTATCTATAAATATATATTTATGCTGGGAAAGATGGGAAATTGTTTTTAATTTTTGGGGTGAAAGGAATTTAGCCTGTAGAATCTGTGCTTTTTGTTTTGTTTTCCCCTTTTGTGCTTGAGGTATTTAGGTGTAAACACACACACACACACTCTCTCTCTCTCTGCTTCACCCCTGATATCCAGTCTTGAGCTTTAGACAACAGTTGAGGCCAGCTCATCTGAAGTTGCAGGAGGACTCCCATCTGTCTAGCCTGCAGTGTTTCACATCAAACACAAGGTGGTGCTGTTGGCAAAGTCAAGTTCCTTACATTCCCATCTGTGTGTATGTTATGAGGTGAAGCATGATTTATTAACCTATCGAATGGCCTGTACTGTTTTTTGCACACTTAAGACTCGATGCTGTTGTGTTTGCTCTTCAGAAGGAGTGAACCTTTCTGCAACTTCAGGTTACGCTCGCCAAAACCTCTCCTCCACCCTACCTCTGCCTTTCTACTTCCGTCATTCCTCCTCCTTATCCTCACAGCCCCGTTTCTGTGTACCAAATCACTCGTCTCTTGTTCTGATGCTGTTTAAATTTGTAAATTGTTTGTCTTGGCTTGCTGTACTTGGGTGTGAAGTCCTGGTGTTCTAAAAAGCATGTGAAGGCTTGATGGGAACAAAGCTGTGGGATGTTCTCTGAAACGGACGAAGGGATTTGGGCCTTTTTCAAGTCGCTTTTCTGTTCTGAATGTTGTCGCTGTAACTGGTTTTGTTGTGTTTTACCCAAAAAAAAAAAAAAAAAAGAGAAAGTTTGAAACAATCAATGTCTGGGACTTTTGAAATGACCCTCAACACACCGAATGCGGAAGTCTCCCGTTTCCAATCCGATTCTTGGAATTACAGAAGCACACGAGATCAAAGATTTTCCCCTGGGAAGGAGAAACTCTTCTGTGTCAGTGGTTGAACCGTTGTATCACTGTGTCGTCAGAGCTTTGTGACTTAGTCCTGGAGGACGGGTGAGGCTTGCCATGGCTCCCATCTGCACCAGGCTGCTTTGTAGTAACTTGTGCACCTTTTGAGTTGTTGCAGAAACCACCGTGACATATCACCTGTGTGTACCGGCGCTGTGGGACTTTTTAAAGATACCCGTCCACCTGTGCATACTGCCAGACATATCCAACCTGCCATGAAAGCTGTGTCCTGTTTGCACCATGAGAACGCTTTTGTAAATCTGAAACAGTTTGGCGTTTTTTATGGTTCTGAGTACGTGTTTGTCATGTGGGCGACCATGTGGTTGCGCGTCGATGCCTCGAGTCTCGACTGTTTGGCTTTGCTTTCTGAACGTGGTGTGTGTGCATTTCTACACGATGAGGGGAATGTTTCAGTGGAAGTGAGAAAGATGCAAATTTGTTTTATTGGTCATCAAAATGGTTTGAGGGGTGGCCTACGAAGCAAAAATCATGCATATGTTACTTTTATCTTTGGTGTCCACAATATTTTATCACCATGGTAACCAACTTGCTCCAGAAGAGCTTTAGGGAGACGTTTCAGATCTTCTGGTGTTCCTGTGAAGTCTAACCTTCAGAGAACACTCGTATCTGCACTCCAATCTCAAAAATACCAACAGTTCATGGAAATGCTATTTTATAAGGGTTTAAACCACATTTTCTTGAAGCATAAACTAGTTCCATCTGAACTCGAACCATAGCTCCCATTTAAAACTGGTTTATCATAATCCCATGTGTGGGTTTTAGCTGCACGCATCACTATTTACAAATCGACATAGTTTGAGTCACCAAATTCTGCAGCTTTGAGCAAAGAGAAAGACTTTTTAGCGATCAAACTCAACCATAGAACTAGATTTAGGGACGTCAACAGGATTTCATCTGTTTGGTCCAACAGGAATAGATGAATCAAACCTGTGTGAGCTGTAGGACTTGACTAAGCTGAACAGTTTCTGTAGTAAGATATTTGATCTCGCTGATCTTCTAGTTAAACACAAGATGTTTGTAAAAGTACATATTGCTGAAAGCAATGAAATTCTTCCTATGCTATTGGCTCACAAAGTGCTTTTACTTCCTAAACGTATATTTAAAATAAATTGTTCTAACGCAATAAAATAGGTGAGAAAAGTAACAATTTACTGCAATAACAGTGTTTTATTTATGTGGCTGTCTAATTAGTGACACTTGACAGTAAAACGTCTTAGTGGATCAGCAGATTATATTTATAACGGATAATGATTAAATTACTTTAGAGTTTATTTCCAAAAGCTTAAAAAAACAAAAGGAAAATGTTACGTTTGTCGAGTTCACCGCATCTTTCCCATTTAGTGTTTAAATCCTTTAGATTTATTAACACATTTCATATTTTCTTTTGTTTTTTTTATAGCAACAGTTTTTTTGCAGTTCATTTTCACAGAACCCGGAAAACACGCCCAGATTCTGAAGAGGAAAGCTAAGTTTAGCATTTTTTCATGGAAACAAATCTTATATTAGCTTCGTAGGTCATCCCTCTGAACTGATTTAAATAACCGTTGTTTATCAAAGTATTTAAACAAATACTTGATCGTTTTGTTAAGTAAATATACAACAAAAGTCTCCTGCTCTGATGTTACGGGGCACTTTTAAGCTGCTGGTAAGAGAATAAGTTTGAATAATGTTTGCTTCTAACTAAACTGAAATGTGGGAATTGAATGCTTCGAGCCTACGCCATCTTTAACAGCAACACTATATATGCAGTTTTACAGATGGGAGAATTATGCATGTGTACTTTCTGGTCATTTTTCACTGTTGACTTGATAAAGAAATAGAAGTTTGTTAGTTGCATCCTCGAGGTTATAACATGGTTGTTTAAATTTCAAAATAAAAGTGGTGTTATGTCACATTAAAATGCATTGAAGACTAGAAAAAGCCTTAGCTTGACTGTGCCCTTTTGAAAGTGAGCGTAATAAAATGTAACATGACCATAAGGGGCTTCGTGTTTAAAGTCAGTTGGATGCTGGATCATTTTTGCATGACCATACAATTAATAAAATTCTATATTGAAACCCGTTTGGTGTTTCTTATGGCTCGACTCAAAGAGAAAGCTTTGGTATGGACAACCACACTTTTTTGGTTTGCATGTTTCAGAGTTTGAAGTGTTTAACTGCAGAGTTTTTTAAATGCTCATGACATCGGTGGTGATCCTGCAGAAGAATACAGGTGAAACTCGAAAAACTGGGATATGGTGCAAAAGTGTAATTTATTTCAGTAATTCGATGGTAAATGCAAAACTGAGATAGACTTGTTACATGCAAAGCCAGATATTTCAAGCCTTTGTTATTTTGGTGATTATGGCTTACGGCTTATGAAAATTCAAAACCTCATTTAAAAAATCGTGACACGGTTCAATATTCTAGGGTGTCACACTCCAATCAGCTAATGAATCCAGACCACCTGCAAAAGGTTCCTGAGCCTTTAGATGGTGTCTCAGTCTAAGTAGAATTACTGAAACAAAAAGGACCTTTGCACCATATTCTCATTTTTTGATTATCACTTGTAAGACTAAAATAAGTAATCTAATTTTAAAAGGAACTTAATGTAAAACTTATTGCTTAAGTCATAACTATGAACCATCTGAACCAGAGTCTTCAAAACTCAACTCGGGAATCATCATGGCTAAAAAAAAAAAGAGCATTTAACACTTAAAAAGGAGATATATGGGTAAAAAAATAAATAAATAAAACGATGTGCTTCCTACTAAAAATCTGGTTGCGGAGCATCTAAATCTGAATGGGACTGCAGTATTGATGTACGCACCTCCAGGTGGCACTAACAAGTTATTTTGGTTCCTAACTTTTCTGCATCAACACCCACTTCCCATAAAAGTGGAAGACGGGAATAGAAATGACAAGTTCTCCCAGTTCTAATTTATTCATTTTCAAAACTTGTTTTAGGTTGGTTAGCCAGCATTGGAGGACTAAAATAATCTGGTTTCCAAAAACAAACTCCATGTTCATGATCAACACTTTGTCAGGGTTAACCACTGGAAGCACATTTCAATCGCCATCATATCAAAGCATGAACTCAAAAACCTAAAAATTAAGCGTGTGTGGGGAGGGGTCGATGGAAATAAAAAAGTAAATATTGAAACCAAAAAGTATTTCAAAAAATAAAAGTTCTCAAAGGCAAAAGGGTAAAACTTTAGCATAAAGGTGAGGAGAAACACCCATTTGGAATGTTTTATTACTATAAGCTAAAAGCAGTGGCGGATTTAGCCATTTGGGGGCCCAAGGCGAACACAGACATGGGGCCCCTTTTCACAAAATTTTCGACAATCTTATCTTTAACTGGATTTGCTAAACTCTCGCCTCTTCTGACACGAGTTATTTTCTTTTTGTCTTTTTTTCTTGCCTTTCTCTCCCTTTGAGTGCCTTCAATATTTGCTCAGCTTTTTTCTTCCTGTCAGTGCTCCTTTCATTTTTTTCTTCTATTTTCCATTTTGGTCTGTTTTCCTCCCTTTAAACATTTTTCATAATCTTTCCTTTCTGCTTCCTTTTGATGTTGACATTGAAAAACGACATCACCTCGGAAGTGAAGATAAGCTTTTTCAAAGCAAGCTGTTTATCTTATTGGAGCCACTAGGATAACTCCATTTCATGCTTAATGTTTTGACTACCGCTTCAAGTTTGTTACAAACGTTTCCACCTCTCCTTTTTCTGCTTTCTCTTCTCATTTGTGGTCTTATGGCACTTGGCAAACAATTTGGTGCATTACTGCCACCAACTGGATTGGAGTGGAATGACTAGTAGCTGCCAACCTATGCCTAATGGTAAAACTGCCACTGGCTAAAGTATCTTAAAGTACCTTTTCAGTTTTTTAAATTAGATTATTTTTTCCAAGTATTTTATTATAAGATATTTTGTAAGCATTATTTTTATTTAAGCATCAAGCATATTTAGTATTTTAGTTTAAATGATTAAATTTGCATCTTCAAAGTGATATTAGACATGCACTTCTCCACAATTAGTTCCTACACAAATGAAGCATTCCAAACATTTCATTTAAGAACGTAGCAGTTTTTTTTAAACCCACCGTTTTTCCACTCCTGGCGATTTTCTTTCCCATAACTTTAGTTGAGCATTCCTCAGACACCTTGAAACATTTCTTTGCCTCAACACAACTGACTTTTTTGAGACATGTTTAACAGTATGATTATTTATAAGTGGCACATTAATAGCTTTAGGGTCGATACCAAATATGTTCATGAAGTTCTTTGGACCAAATCCCTCTCACATAAAGCAATTTAAGCAGTTTTATTAAACAGTTTCCGCACTTTCCAGAATGAGTGGTTTAAGGGCTCTGTCACTAAGAAAAAAACCTGGAGCTGGCAGCGCCTGCTCATTCCATTCTCATGCTGCTATAAGCTGAGAAGCACTACTATCCAGGAGGGGTTTGGAGTAGAGCCGCTGCTTCTTCAAAGGAATCTGTCTCACAAGCAAGGTGATTTTATTTTAATTTTCCCATTTGTGATGTCACAATTGGGGACTTTTAGAAATGTCAAATTTTACACAGTTCATAAAACCCAACACTGACGGAAAATGGGTGGACTGATTTTACTCATTTGGGTTGTGTTTGGAGGCAGTAGAGACTCACACGGAAGTGCAAAAGGTGAGTTTGCATATGTCCTCTTCAAAGTAATCACAGAAATTGTAAAACGGTTTTATGTGAGTTTAACAAAATATATGAAAATTAAAGAAAAAAGCAGATGCGGTCATCTTGATGAATTTTAATTGAATCAAATGGACTCATATAAAAGTGGAAAGGGGAAAAAAATAACACACCGGGTCTCATTTTCACCATCATGTTCAACACAACAACAGAAATTTGCCTAAAGGAGTGGGCAAGTCACCCATCACCTGTACTCCAGTCAGACACAGCCACTCATGTCCCTTCTCAAGAATAAAAAAAAATACGCTTCATTTCTTGTTCCTTTCTACATCAGAGCAGGACTGAATTGATGAATGAGTTTATCTATGATGAAGCAGGATTTCAGTCAAGTTTCATAGGTGACCCGAAACGTTGCCGTGATCAATCTCGCTCAGATCAAACAAACTTCACTCCAGATTGGCAGGAGCCAGTCGCTGAGCTGGCATGGCTTACGTCCAAGTGCATCAAGCCTCCTGGCTTCTAAAGTTCTCGTCTGAACAACATCCTCTTAGATTGGCTAAAGGGGGTGAGGCTACTGATTGCTCCATGCAGATTGATTCTTCACTCTGAAACAGTGGTCAGAATGGTTTTGTGCCGACATGCTTCATGTTGTCTTTGTGCATTCTGCCCAAAACCACGACACTGGGCAGATGTCTATTTCAAGGTTGTCTGTTGTGTGAACATTAGCACCACTTAAGTCTAAGAAATCTGCAACGCTGAAACATAAGTGGCAGTGCAATTTTCCAAAATAGTCTTTCGGGGAGAAAAAAAAAGTCAACATTTTGTCATGTTTCACTGTCGTATCCTTGATTCAAGGAAAAAGAATAGAAAAGGAAGCCACTTTTCTCGATTAAGAAGTTGATAGGATATACAATCACTGGTTGCAGAAGATTAGCTCTACTTCAGACACACAGCTCCAAGGCCACCTTTCTCTGAGTCCCGTGCCAGCAGAGAAGTGCAAAGAATTGGAAAAGAAAGATGACAGATGTTAGAAAAACAGGAGATAATGTATTACAAAAGTACAAAAAGAGAAGCTGTAGGAAGAAAAAAAACTGAGGAAAACAACAGGGGGAAGCTTGGATCTACATGCATAGAGAGGGGAAGCATTTCAGCGTTACACCAAAGACATGCAGCAGTGACAAAGCATCACGTTTATGAAACACACAGCAGTTACAGTTAAAACCAGCACAGGGCACCATGATGAAGAGAAACTGTGTGCCACTGCAGCCAAGAAGCTTCTCTTCTCGGGGGAAGAGGGGGGAGGTGTTGTGAAACGGACCATATGCCATGCAGACCAGGTCTCATCAGGATCCAGGAGCAGGAGGGGGGAGCTTTCAGGTAACAGCTGAAAAGCAGGGGGGTACAAGTGCACAGCATGATGGAAGACATCTGTTACACCACGCTTTAGGGTTCCCATGGAAACGACAGGACTCACCCCCCACCCAACCCCCTTTTCCTCCCGCTCAGGCAGCGCTCACTCACCATGCGCCCGCAGCATGGCGGCAGCCAGACGACGGTGGGAGGGGCTAGGGTTTAGCAGCTTTGCTGCGGCTCCCCGCTCCTGCTTTTAGACTTTCTGCCTTCCACATCTGTAGGATAAAGGTAGCGTTTATGTTGCATCTGCACTGTGGCTTAAGAGAAATACATTAAAATGGGTTCAAAACTACAAAGCAGGAATAAATAAGTTCTAAATGCAAAGGGTTTTATTAGATCTGGCACAGCAATTAGTGCTCGTCTGGTTTTAAATTAAGGTCGTTGTATTAAACACCATGAATCTGAATAACATGTTCACCCATTCTCAAGCTGTGGTGCATAAAAAACATTAAATACCAAATTAAATATGGACAAAATCTGAAACTTGTCCAAACGTCAAAAATCATGTTAATACTGTAACCCGACACCTTCACTTGTCTTGGGATCATTCAGAGGAAGAAGCTTCGTTATTTTGTCACCATTCAAATCCACCACCCATCACCCGCTCAGAAAACACTTCAGCTGGTATACAGGTAGAAAAAACTAAATCAAAACATACATAACATTAAAATGTGCACACAAAGTAAAAGAGAAAACGATTTTGATCTTACTGATCAAAATGAACTAAGAACAAAGCCATGCACTTTAGTGAAACAGTGGGAAAAGCACTCAAACATCAAAATGTCGTCACAGGAAGTGGAAGGTGGATGGTTTATCTGGCTGATTTCATAACGGCACAGAGAGACTTTCATGGATCTTCCTGAAGATTAAACAGTGATGAATGTCATAACTAAGACTGAAACGTTAGAGTTTGGTGTTTAACCCAATAAAGCAGGTGATAGTTAAGTTTCAGCCACCAAAACAGCTCGATGAGAAACACAAAGGTTTAGAGATGGAAGAGCGTTCAACGTCCCAACTCAAAAAAATAAAACAAAACAAGGCAGAAAATGACCCAAATGCACCACACAAAGATAAGTGTTCTGATAAATTCATGCAGAGGAGAAAGAGTCGCTCTTCATCCATTCTTTCACTCCCTCCCTCCCCTCTTTTCCTTTGGTGTCATGTTCACTGACCCAGAATCCTTCACACACAGCCGTACTCGTACCACAGAGACTGGTTCTCCTCTGGGCTCAGGTCCGAAACATTCGCATTGTTTGGATCGGCACCATCATTCGGCTCTTTCAGGCCAGATCTTAACAGGTCACTAGGCTGGCTGTGAGGAGGAGGGAGGGGCTTATCTGTGAAAGGAGGCCCACTGATGTTGCTGACTAGGGTGGGGTTTAGGGACAGGAAAGGGAGGTTTTCTGCTGACTCGCTAAAAATGGAGTCCATGAACACCGACTCTACAGTGAAGGAGGGGCCGAGGAAAGACTCGAGGGTGGTGAGGTCTGGATCCTCTAAGCTACCACAGGGTAAGCTGAGTGATTTGGGCATGGGGGAGGTGGTGCAGAGGGCTTCCTTTAGGTGCGTGCTGTTGGGGTGGTACTCACTGGGTGTTGGGCGTGAGCGGACTTCAGCCTTGGGGGAAGGGACGTGAGGAGACGCATCAACCGATACGGGCTGCCGGTGGTCTTTGGACAGCAGGTCATGGATGCTGGTGCGCCGTGTTGTTCCTTCAGCGGTGGAGATGACACTGCTAGCCCGAGGCAGAGTGGAGGAGGTTGAGTCCAGGCGCTCAGAGACTGATATGGCTTTAGCCTGCGAAGACAGGCTGGTTCGCGCTGGGGCTGAGCCTTTCACACGGGTACTCTCAGCCTTTTTTAGGGTCGGGCGGCCGGGTTGTCCCAGAGATCTCGGGGCCCGGTCGATGCTGCCAATGGTTGCTTTACCGCTGGACGAGCGTAATATGCCACGGCCCTTAGAGGGGCGTTCTTTCTGCGTGTGCTCAGAGGAAGTGGAGAGGCGAGGCGAGTCCACTGTGAGGTTCTCCTGACTGCCAGACTGAGGAGGACAAAGTAAAAACTTTTAATACAATTAAGAATCTGCTTTTACACCAGAAAACATATAGAACAGATCATCTGAGCATGAAAAGTCGATTTAGAGGGAAAGAATTAAGTTTGCATTGACATTTTTCATTTAAGTGTGCATGCGCACACACACACACACACACACACACACATAATTACAATCTAAATAATAAGAGGCTCTGTACTTAATTAATCTTGATGAATCACATTTTAAACGTTCAAAATAATTTGCGTCCAAGCAATTTTTTTAATCAAAAATAATGTTAGTGAGGCACAGATGATATACCCACACTGAAAATGTTTCTGTAACCACCAAGGGCCTCATTTATGAAGCTTGCTTACGCACAAAACAGGGTTGGAAAACTGCGTAAGCAACTTTGCATGCAAACTTTGGGACCCCTGGGGTCTCATTTATCAAACATTGTGTAGAATCCTTACTAAAACCGTACTTAAGCTCAGCAAAATAATTTACTGACGCCAAGTAGGTTTGTGATCTATCAAACATGGAGTACGCACAGCTGCACGCAATCTCTGCTTCATAAATCAGAAACTATCTAGAAAGGTTCTCAGCTGCTTTTTAGTCACATCCCGCCCTCACCACGCCCACTTACTGCCATAAATAGTCAAAGCTAAGTGCCTTGTGGATCTCATGCATATACATAAGCTGGCTGTTGCAGCGCTCCGCCAATGACATGGCGACCATAGATCAAGGCAGATCAAGGAAGCGCTATTTCACAGAAGCAGAAATTGAGGTACCTGTGGGTGAGGTGGAGAAATGAAAGGAAGTGCTTTTGCAAAACAAATAAGAGAAAATCCACAGAGTGGCACAACGTTGCTGAAGCCGTCAATGTTGTGAATTCTTCAGAGAGATCTGTGGCGGATGTAAAAAAAAAAAAGGTCCAACCGGGATTCGATCCCCAGACTCTCAGGTGAAAGTCATGTGTGCTAACCAGTCAGCCAAACAGAGATTTCCCCTGTACAAGTAGACAGGGCGCATGATCAATCTGGTCACAGTGACAGGAGACACATACTGTCACAGATGCATGACATTCTGTCTCAATCTGTCCCCCTGCTGATATTCTGCATTCTGAGCTTCAGGCTGTGTGTGTGTGTGTGTGTGTGCGTGTGGGGGGGTCTTGCTCTATGTGAAAACGAAGCAGTACAAGTGATAATGTCCAACATGTGCGTAAGCCAGGTCCTTAGTCAACTTAAAGTTACGCGCATTTTTCCGCTAAGTTTTCTTTCATAAATCCCAAAGTTTGCATAGAAAGTTGCTTACACAGTTTTCCAACCCCGTTTTGTGCGTAACCAAGCTTGATAAATGAGGCCCCAGATCATTTAGATTACTTTGGTAACCACTGTGGGATTTGTTGGGCTGTGTAAATATTAGTATATGACGTGTAAATGGACATGGAACATTGTAAATGTGTGCTTAATCGAACATAAGTTCTGCAGTTTTGTTAGAGCTGCAGCTTTAAGATATTTTTTGACATATATGGCATGAATTGTGATGCTAAACATTTCCGACCCCCAATATGGGGACGCTCTGGCTCAAGGGGGTACATTAATTTTGCAAATTAATTAATCATAATAAAATCCCAATCCTAAAGTACACACACACTTTAAAGCAGGTTCTCGTTTGTACTTTTGCTTCCTTTCCTTGCACTATGTTGTAACTGAAGAAAAGGCAACACAATCGCATCACAAAGCCTCACCTCTGCAGGATCAATACCCTCATCCAGGAACTGCTGCAGAGAAAGCACCTCACTAGGGGATCCTGTCTTCCTGAGCTGCATCTGACCTGAGCTGCCTGAGGCGCTGGATGGCTCGAGGGACCTGCGCAGCTGGAGGGGGCTCTGGTGGGAGGATCGGGAGGACGTGGGCAGCTGGACAGGGCTGCTACCGCTGCTGGACCACACCTCCTGGTCCAAACTTAGGCTAAACTCTCCACTGCTCTCACTCTGAGGTCTGCTGAGCCTGCCGTTCAGTGTGCCTGTAGGAGGACAACAGTCAGACGTTGAAAATTTTAATCAAAGTTCAAGACCAAAACATGCTATTAGTACCCTACATATGAGAGAAAACAGTAACCTTCAACCTTTAAACAAGGACAAGTTGACCCCAAGCGTACCTTTGCCCTCCAGAGGAGAAGCGAGATGGGAGTTGTTGTTACTATTGCTACTGGTGGTCCTGTTGCTATGGAGACTGGAGGGTCTGGAGGCTGGGTAAAGGACAAAGGGGAAGGTGAAAACACATCCAGTTAGGGTTTATACAGGCTTACATGTGTCCACAGCAACTAAAACATGGAGTAACACGTAGAAGGATGTTAGCAGTCTGACAGAGCGTCACCCACTGGGGCAGCAGATGGCTCACACCAGGCTGAAGGACAGGAAGGGTGGACGAGTGCCAGGCTACTGCACCAATATGTCCATCCAGGAAAACAAAGAGACTCTGATGGAAAGACCAGGAACACCCAAATAAGAAGGCCCATCCACTCGAGGAAAAAAATGGGCCGTGAAGAGTGTGCGAGTCCGTTAGTGAAACGAAGCAAATCAAAGACTAAAAAGTAAACCACCCCCCACTGGTGCTCAGGACCCAAGTAAAACCAAAAAGATCTGATCAGCATTTCAGGTGTTATTAAAGCCCAGAGAGACAAGCCTTCCATATTAACTGGGACTTACTACAAATGCTACAGGGGACTCTGCACATAGCTCTCATCTGAACAGGACACAGAGCAAGTGCTCTGCTAGACCCCTGCAGCCCTGATAACACACACACACACACACACACACACACACACACACACACACACACACACACGCACACACACGCACACACACGCATCACAATTCTTACTACTGTAGAAAGTCGACACTGAGTTTTAGATGATCTGTAGCCTCAAAACTTCATAAAAGTGGTAAAAAGTTGCCAGAGATACCGCAGACATCACCCTAATCGATTTTTTAAGTTGCTTCTGGAGTGTGAGTGAGACAGGATGCCCATTTCCTGCAACCATTACAGCGAAACATATTTTATTTTGTAAGTGCATCTGGGAACGCATTTGCTAAGGAGAGTCTGGACTGGGCGGTGCACCAGTACTGTGCAGAAACAGTTTAATGAAGAGGAAATGGCCTGTGCAGGCCGGGTTACCCACTGTAGGCAGGGTGTTATGTACAGATATTCAGACACAAACACTTAAACTAAAAATGTACATTTCTTCAGGATGTAGCCGCAAGAGTTAGAAATGTGGTCACCTTCTAACAACTGGGTCATCTAGCTGGCCTGATTAATCGCTGCTCGGCTGCAGATAAAGTGTCCTGGATAAAGTCCCAAAGCTTGAATTAGTGTCTCTTTCAGAGGAAGCTGTTGTGTTTTCCTCTCAAGTAAAATGATTTTAAATGAGTCCATTTGTCTTAATAAGAACGCGAGAAGGATTTTTTTCACCGTCTCATCCTGCTGATGCAAAGAAAACACACCCGCTCCTTTTCTATTAAGCTGGCACACCATTGGGGTTCATCATCTCACCTTGACTCTTGGGATCATCTGAGGAGCCTGCAACATCCTCACAGGAAGTGTTGTCTGTGGAGATTACAGGGACAGTGATGCTCACCAGGTGGTTTTTCTTCAGCACTTTTAGGTAAATATAATGAAATAAACAGAACTTAAATGAACACATGAAAAAATACAAACCCGGTTTCCTTACCTTTCATCTGAAGCCGGTGCTTGGTTCTGCTCTGCCCAGAGCTGGGGAGGCTCAGGACGGCACAGTCGATGGCGTCGGTGGATAAGGCGAGTTCCTTCACGCGCCGATTACTACTATATCTGCTGCTGCCCACCACGCTAGCATCTCCAGCCTCAGGTCCGTCCAGACCATCCGTGCTACCCGTCCACTCTGACCCTGGAACACCCGCCACCGCCATCGTCTGCAGCAGGTCATTCATGGCTGATTGGATGGAAGGAAATGAGGATGTGTTATTTCTTATTCTAGAACTACATGATTTTACTCATCGACCACATCTACTCGGTTCTAAATGATCCTTAAGGGTAGGAATCTTAGAAATGAATCTACTCTAGTGCAATAATGTTAAAACCTGGTGGGATGAATTGTGAATGTTAAACACATTATCTGTCTGTTACTATAACCTAAAATTTACTTCAACTACTTTTTAAAAAATAATTCAAAACGCTCATCTAGGTTACCATTTCATTTTGCCGGCTACAGTCACAGTCAAGAATTCCACACACTCGTAATAAGAATGACTGTAGGGATGCACCGATACAGATACTGATACCAGTCTTGGTATCGGTAAAAGTTAACAAATACCAGTAACTGATACCAATGCAGTAGCTTGAAAGTGACTTCACTGTAACTTGTCATTTCTGTTCACCTAATATTTTAGTTTTGTGATCACTTGTATTACTTTTTATCTACCTCACAGTCTTTTCCTGTTGAAAACAGAAGAAAATAAAACCTGTATTCCAATTCATTGCATTTTTTAGTGTGTTAGAAGTATCTGTATCGGTAATCGGCATCGGCGAGTACTCAGATCCAAGCAGGCGCGCAGATAGGGTGGGGGACGGGGGGAATCTGTCCCCCCCAGATTCAGATCGACCCAATCCGTCTCCCGCACTAAGGCCAGGAAGAAAACAAAATCGGATGTTTAGCGCTTGAAGCTCCTTTTTCCAATTACATTGAATGCAGCAAGACGTAAACAAACACGACTCCAGAGGTGCCAAAGTGGTTGCTGCTAGGATGCAGGATGAAGTGAAAAAGGCAAGCAATGATTACTGTGTATTTAAAAAAGACCAACAGTGTAAGTAGGCGGGGCCGATCTGTCTGTTTATGCATGTTGGTTCTAGTTTCAGTACGTTGTTGCCAGTGTTGGGACTTACTCGTTATAAACGCCAAAGCCCCATTGCTGACTTTAACGAGTCTCATCTACAAATATGATCCCTCATGAAGTTACTACTTTACACCAGAAGATAGTGGAGATGTGGAACCTTCAGGCTGAGCAAAGTTTGGGAGTTTTTAGAGTTTGAAAAATGCCTCCCGCTGAGAGGCTCCCAGTCGGGGAGAGGAGGAGATGTGCGCAGCATGAAGAGCGCAAATATTAGATAAAACGTATAATTGCCGGCAGGTCTGGTCTTTGTTGACTGTTCACTTTGTCTGGTAATGACTGACTCTGATTATGAAGCAGAATATTCACTCTGATGAAGAAATTCACTCATCCAGCCGGGAAGATTGACGCTGCTGCAGCATCAGACAGCTGGTGCTGCACAAGAGGTGTGTGGAGTTTACAAGCTCCAAACGTTGGGTTTGATGTTGGTTTAACCTTCTCTGGGACGTGATGGATGTAGAAATGATGGTAAAACACCGCAAACGTGATAGATGTAGCGACAATGTAAAAAAAAAAGCCGTAAAAAAAGAGGCAGATGCCGATGCGTTAGGTATGGAAGTCAAGTGTGCCACATAATCATAAAAAATGTTAAATATGACATTTTAAAAGAGATTTATATATTTATACATAAATTAAAACTTTCCAAATATAATGAATATTTCTAAATAACGTAAACATACAAAGGAACATCTGTTGGTCAGGCTGATGGGAACCACTGCTCTAAGTGATAAGTGAATATTGTTTATTTGAATATGTTTAATGTGCAGTTTTTAGGGCTTTTATGTTTTCTGTAAAGATTGGTATGCTGAAAATCATTTAATGTGTTGCATAAAGCATGAGGTTTTGTTAGTAATTGATTGGGAGAATAACAAATGACTGAATTAAATAGTGGGGTGCCTCTGTCAGTGTGCCCCAGAGCAGCTGTGGCTACATCGTAGCTCATCCCCATCAGTGTGTGAGTGTGTGTGAATGGATGAATGATACACTGTAGTGTAAAGCGCTTTGGAGTCCTTACTCTGAGAGGCGCTATACAAGTGCGGATAATTTATCATTTATAGTGTTGATCAGGCAGAGCTTTGTTGCCAGCGTTCCACTGCATAATGGCTTCAAACACGTATATAAAAGTGTTCGTTTTTACATAAACCATTGGATGAAATTACACAAACTGACTGAGCTCTAGTTAAGGCGCTTGCAATAGTTTGTGTATGTGTACGTGCGTGTGTGTGCGCGCGCGTGCGTGTGTGTGTGCATGTGTTTGGGGGAGGGTACATTGGAACTTTGCCCCCCCCCCCAGTTTGAAAATCCTATCTGCGCCCCTGGATCCAAGTATCGGTTTGGAAAAAAGTGGTATCGTTGCATCCCTAAATGACTGGTTTGGACCATTCTTTTATTTCCAGTAAAATGGTAAAAGTAAGACTTTAGTTAACATGTTTAAACTGAGAGCAGCTTTTTTTTTTTGTCTTCTGAGATGAGATGATTACACAGGCACAACCAGAAATGTACCCACATTTTGTAATAAATTGTGATGACTATTCTAGAATATCTTACGTTGGCAAAATTAAGTCTTATTGACTTCCTGTGAGCTTTTAAGATTGACTGCAGCTGTCAGCTTTATGTCACTGCGGTTAAAGAGGTTGCTAAAACCAAAAGAAGCTCATGCACTTAAAGAGACACCCTCAAGCTCAACTGAAACCTGCAAATGTCCATGTGGACAAGACAAATGCCTCCTGGAGTAAAGATTTAATGTCAGATGACACAAAAAAATTCAACTATTTGGATATGATAACAAGAAACAAACTTCTAAAGCAAAGTGCAGAGCCAAGCTGGAGTCAGTACCACAGCATGGAGTGTTTAAAAGTCAAGTCCCAGACATGAAACTGAACCATTTAAATAAAAATAGATTAAAATATTAGGCACAACTATAGGCTCCAAATAGGGATCCTAAGTCACGCCCATCTACTTCTGGGCCACGGGTCCCTGGAAAAACAAAAAAAAAAAAAAAAAGAATCCAAGTCAATGAGTCAAAAAATGGTATTTTCTAGCTTGTAATGTGGCATGGATTTCACATTTGATGTCTGTGAATTTTAAAGACGCATTTTGATGCCAAGAACGCGCTTGTTTTCAAACGGGGGAAAACATTATGTTAGGTTTTGTGTGAATAAGTCCAGGACAGCATCACCAAATTCACGTCATTTAACCAGACACAGAAAAAAGCAGACGAGAAATGGCTTTAAGTTTAGCAGACTTCATATCCTTCCCTCAGGAGGAAAGAACCACCATAAATCTGGTCATTTGGTAAGTAGCAGCTAAGCTAGGGGAGAGGAGGTCGCATATGCAACGTGCGACTGATTTGTAGTCTTGCTAATTACAAAATTTTACAAGCTGATAAATCTCAAAGTATGTGGTCAAAACACAGATCATTACTTTATTTGAATTGATTAGAAAATAACTTTTAGTCCCGTTCGCTTGCATTCATTTTTTTGTTCTTCCGGGGACTCATGAGCCGACCGGAAAGGGAGGAGACTTAATCTCCCTAGGGCTTGTATACTTCCAAGCTAATATTTAAATCCCTAAAGGAATATTCCAGTTCTAAGATCTGGCAGTTCTTCTTTAGCTTTAGCTTAGCATAAACAATATAAGTAAATGGTAACAAATAGCATTTGATGTGAAAGAGTCATGTAAATTACTCAATAATGAACCTATTTTTTCTTAGTGACCAAAATAATCAGCACATTAAATAAATAAGTAACAAAAAGGTCTTACAGGAGGAGCCAGTTCAGACTTTGGACTAGATTATGACAACGTATAGCTGAAAGTGACATGGCGAAGTGGCTCCAAACCTACATCATCAGTTGTGTACTCTGCCATTTTTAGTGCAACTTACACTGTTCCTTCAGAAATTTGTATTGGGTATAAGCCTAGTAAATTACCTGCACTCGTAGTAGCCACATACTTGTGTTTACGGAAGTAGGCATCTTCTTGAATTTGAATGATTAAAATGCTAGCTGTAACCAATCACGTACATTGTTTATACTAAACTAAAACTAATGGAATACTGCCAGATTAAGAGAATGACTGGGCTGGTTACAAAACGCTTTTCCCCATTAATCTAATTCTGGGGAATAAGACAACAGACTAAATTCACTTAGAAGTGGTGTGGGATATCTCTTTAAACTAGACAGAAATAATCTATTTTAATTTTTAAATAAACAAAAAATCATTACAGTGATTCGCTGTATAATTATATCACCCTGGGGGGGAAATGGTTCAATCAATCGAGAAAAACTTTTAAAGTTCCTGCCCATGATAAATATCGACTTCTAACAACTACAAATGTGTGATTTTTCAACAGTGACATCATTTTACATTTTACAAAATATTTGTTTGTGGTTTTTAGAGGTACATGCAGGCATATTGCCAACACCACCCAAAATTTGCAAAGATAGCAGCAGAATAGCCTGACTTGACCATACATGGCACCAATAGATTTCATGCACTTTATTTTTAGCCACACGTAACAGAAAGGATGCACGAAGGCATGCAGAGCTGCCCGGAGCAGCAGCACACAACTGATTCCGACAAGGCGAGTCCATGTGAGCAGCGTAAGATCTGAAATGCAGCCGGCTGACAAAGCACAGGAGAGAGAGAGAGATGGACAGAGAAGAAAGGCTCCATTTCAAGTCCTCCATGGTGAGTGCTAATCAAGCAGTTGGTGATTCATGCTGCAATCAAAGATGGAGGCGAAACACATCACAGGCACAAGAAAGGCAAACACACAGTTTCTCAAGCCATCTCACCTGAACAGACACCCCTCACACACAAACACACGCCAAGCCTTTCACTCAGGAAACACAAAACCATTGAGCGCACGAAGCCGCCCAATAAGTGACTCATGTAGTGATCAAACGAAAAGCAACTCACGACACAACAAGAAACTGGAAATCCTGACTGAGTAGATTTTAGTCTTTTGATGTTTTTTTGTTTTTTTGCTGCGTTTTTGTTTTCTTTACACATCTGCAGTGGATGAGTGAGACTAGACAGGTGAAGACTTATTCTACAGGAGGAAGTGGAGGCAAAGGTCACGGCAGAGGTGATGGAGGCGAGGGGGACTAAAAGGAAGGAGTAGAGGACAGATCACTGATGTCACCATATGCAGCATGGGAGTTTCAAATGGTTAACTCTTAAACCTAGTGCAGATATTTCAACATGATTAGATATCAGCACCAGATATCAAAGTGTGGAAAAAATATGAATTTTTTCTGCCAACAAACAGAAACGTAAAAAGTTTCTGCCCCACGCGGCAACCACCACGACATCAGTGACTGCTCCTGTAGTTGTCCTTCATGACAGTTTCAAAGAAAGGCTAACGTGGCGGCTAACGGAGGTCTTACACATAGAGCGTCGGTAGATGGCCTTGGCCGTGTCTTTGTCCTTGGATCTGTTCCTCATGAAAGGCAACCTTTTTATGGCTGTCGGACCAGAGACAGACAGGCAGACAGACAGAAAGACAGACAAGAGGGACAGAACAAGTCGAAAGAGGTGGATGAGAGGAAGACAAAGAAAATAGGAGGGCAAAACAGATGGATGTGGTTAACGTTTGTACAACCGGAGTTCGGGGAGATTACCAGAGCTGAGCCCCTGGACAATAAAAGGCACAATCCTTAAAACCTATGGCTTAAAAACAGGTGGAATAAATTATTTATATAATAATAATAAACCCGGACTTTTCCTTTAAAGGAGTCATCACCTGAAATTTTCACTTTTCCACTTGAAAGAATGTATATAATGGTTTCCTAATGACTTTTCACTGGTCGGGAAGCCGATGTTTAATATTGGAGCGTTTGTTTCCTCTTGGCTCCTTCAACCAGTCCACGTGCACCCCACGAACACACGCACTCCAAAACGACATCTTGAGTTCTCGGCCTACGTGTCGTCATAAAGGCAGGATATAACCATATATGGACAGCGCAGATCAATGCTGCTACACGCACTGCCCCTCTCCCCCTCAAATTAAGATGAGCGCCAGCATTACTGAAATCGGGAGGACGGAAAATGAAGAAGCGAGTTTCACATGTGAGCTGCTCAGTTGTTGACAGCCAAACTCAACAAATAAATATTTTTGTCCTACCCAAATAGGACCAAGCTGCCAGGGACCAGTGGATTATTTTTAACAGCGCTGTTCCCAAAACCCTCCCCACTAGCCTCGGTGTCTGTGCTAACCATTTTAAACCAAAATGCTTTATAAATTTGGGGCAATATCAGGTGAAGATGCCACCAAGGAATCCTCCAGAACACAGGCACTCAATAGGTGGCCCGCGGGCCAGATCCGGACCTCGCGCTTCCAGGAAGTTTCTGAATTTCAGGAAAGAACCACCCTCTCCTCGTTTTGGAAAAAAAAATAAACGCACATGAGAAAGAACGCCCAGTTATCCCCGTTACAAGTAGCTGCCGGCTGTGCAGCCAACTTCTTCTAGCAGTAATCTGAAATGAATTTCTCCAAAGAGTATGCTGACCCTTAGCTTACCTGTCAAGCAACAGAGGCATCTGTGGGGAGCCCAACCTTCTCTTTGTGAATGAAGTGAAAACTACCCAGCAACGTATGACGACAGCCTTGCATGAATGGTTCAGCAGAATGATTGACAGTTAAGTGGACCAATAGTTTAGATGATCCACTCAGAAGAAAAAGATCATTTGCTATACCTTTAAGGCAGAAGTATTAATACTCTATGTATGCATGCTGGGACTGCCTAAATAAGGCTAAGAAAATACGTTGTGAGATCACACAAAACATGTCCTTAAAAAAGGGTCAGAAAAGCACCCTTTTCATTTATTTTTCCGACATGAAAGACTAATAGGACGTAGATATCCACGGTAGTAATAGGTGATGACTCCTTTAATATTCCTCTAAGACATATATTCAGCCCCACTGACAAAACATTTTATTACTTGTTTTTTCTCATTTTTAAATTAATTCTGATAACCTAAATAACTAATTGAGTTTTGCAAAAAAAAATGTATTGAAAATTAAGGACAGCCTTTATAAAGACGCGCGCGCACACACACACACACACACACACACACACACACACACACACACACACACACACACACACACACACACACACACACACACACACACACACACACACACACACACACACACACACACACACACACACACACACAAAATGGAAACAATCAAATGGTTTTGATCCTAAAAGTCTGAACAGCATTTAAAACTTCACGTATTACACACAACAACACACAACTACAACTAGATGAGACACACAATATTAAAGGGTGCAACCAGGAGAGAGGAAGAGGGGTTTAAAGGCATCAGGGAAGACTGAGCATTCCCAACAAACAAAAACTCTGTAACTTGCTAACCCTACATTAATAAACATTAAAGCAGCAATCCAGAGTTTCCCCCTTTCAGGAATTATTATTTTTTAGGAATCTGTAAACGTGATAGGATGAAGCCTCTTTCACACCAAATGCAGAACAAATGTGGTCCAGTTTCTATACCGCTTCTAATCAGAGCATTCACATCGGCTGCGGTGTGGATTCAGATGAAATTTCATGTGGACTGTCGTGTAGTTAAAGAAATGACATGAGTCAGACAGGAAATGAGATGTGGAACAGCGAGGTACAGCTGGTGTATTTTTCAAAATAAAACTTGTGTCGCATTATTTTTGCTGGATATTAATGACGGGGTTATCAATTAAGTGTATGATAGTCCACGCTATTGTTACAGGTATATTTGTTAATGTATTGTGGCAAATTTTTTTATCATTTGGTGCTCTTGTAGGAGCAGTTTTCCATTTACGTTCAGCACACAAACTGCAGTCAGTGTGAAAGGCCGTCCGTTCGGAAAACGGGCCGCTTCCTTACCGCATTTGGTGTGAAAGACACTTTATCCTGTACTGAAAGGCAATATGTCAATTTGGTTTTGCCAAACCCACCCCCTATCCCATAGAGCCCCCTCGTACAATTTAATTTGAGCTCCGCCAAGCATTTGCAAATAGCATCAGACATCCGCTTACGTACAGATGTCAACCACAAAGCGTGTATATATATATGTGTAAACCCCCCAAGGCGCTTTACAAGGCTCATTATATATATATATATATATATATATATATATATATATATATATATATATATATATATATATATATATATATATATATATATATATATATATATATATATATATATGTATGTGTGTGTGTGTGTGTGTGTGTGTGTGTGTGTGTGTGTGTGTGTGTGTGTGTGTGTGTGTGTGTGTGTGTGTGTGTGTAAATGGTAAATGGCCTGTATTTGATATAGCACCTTCTAGAGTATATACTAATATATATATATATATATATATATATATATATATATATATATATATATATATATATATATATATATATAAACACAGTATCACCTGTAAGTCGCTTTGGACAAAAGTGTCTGCTGAATGCATGAATATAAACCGCGCTGACTAGAGGTGAATGTTTACGAGCAAGCAGCGTTGCTTCCAGCTGTATTAACAGAAGTAGGGAGAGGGGCTTAAAGGTGTAATACATGTTGTATCCTCTAGATGGTGCCCTTGTAGAAAAAACTCTGGATTTCTGTTTTAATAACAGTTCTGTTATCTTGCTGAATGGAAATCAAAATATTCTATGAAAACCTGAATATTTTATGTGTTTAGAGAATAAACCCGTTTTCTTTTTACCGTCCTAGAAAGCAATCCTGGATGGACCAGACTTGCACCATTTAATAGCTTTGATGCTATGATAGAGCGTGTTGCTGTCTTTTCTACAGTTGAGCTGCACCGATCTGCAGGTGTACACGCTGGTGAGCTTGGATGTGTAAGCTAGGGGACTTTAAAAGAAACAGACCTGGAATGCAGTTTGGCTTAAATGAGTTTCAGTGTTTGAAATACACGAAGTGCACTTGATTCAGCTTGAATGTTGATCCCCTCAACAAACAGCTAGTTAACCATTAACGTCCAATCACAAAACCTTTCTTACAGTTATTTACATAATAGCGGTTAAAACTAATCTAAACTGATTTCTTTGATGTTGTTGCACATTTAATTAAGTTTAAATTGTGCTCTTTTTTATTTATAAAACACTTTCTTTCATCTTAATCTTCATTTTATGGTTTCTTCGAGGGAATTATTTAAATTCAACTTAAAACACTTAACATATCCAACATAACAAGAGAGCATGAATAGAAAACAGCCTAAAGATAATAACTAATAATTGTGGATATTAAAGGTGTTCCTACATAATCGTCACAAGCCTTCTCATAATTCTCAGATTTTACATTTTTGCTGATGTTTCAAATGTATTTTGGTGATATTTGTGTGCAAATGACACATTTCTCAAAAAGACTAAAAATGAAACACGTTTGCTTCCGACTCTTCACTAAAACCTTTTATTTTGAAGGCTGGGGTGTGTCCAGAAAGGCTGGGAGACCATAGGCCCCCCCTGCAAAAAGACTGGCCACCCCAAAAACTGAGACAGTAAAACATCTAGAACATCGAATCAAATATAATAATATGACATTTAGAAGTTTTTTATATGTTTTAGTATTTTCAGCATAAAGTAGAGCTTGGTTCATGATCCAAAACATTTCACAAATGCAGATAATGAGACTATTGGGTTCAAACAAAACAACCAACCAGGCCGGGCATTTCATTCCTAGTTAAAGATATTTCATTGATATTTTTCATTCTTTCATTGATATTAGGCTTTAAACCTATATCTGTAGTTGACAAATATGTAAACAATTACAAATTACCACAAAGTTAAAATGCACTAAAATGCTAGCCTGAAAATTAATTTACTTAATCCAAAGTGCGCCCTCCTCTCTTTTCTAAAATAATTCTGACTTTACAATGTCAGAGAAAGTCCTGATTTCATTGTAATAGATTTATGCATTTATTTATGGGAAAATGTCAGATAATTATTGATAAAAGTGCGCCACTGGTATTGGTTACTTTATTTTCATTTATAGTATCCAATTAGCTTATGATTAATTAGTTGTAATTTCATTTTAAAAAATTCTCAAAGATATGAGCTATATACATGTGCCACCCTTGTCCGAACTTGGGCCCCTACCTGGCCACCCCAAAAAAAGTTTTCTAGACACACCACTGTCTAAAATGGTGACATTTCTTAAAGTGATTCAGAAAACCTACATTTTATAGAGATAAGGTTGCAGGAATCAAGCGCAGCTTTGTGTTTCAAACATGAAATGCATCCATTTTTAAAACCGAGTCTGTGATTTTACCTCCGTTTCTCTTTGCTGTGCAGCTCAGCTGTAACCTCTACTACAGTAGAGAGACACAGACAATGAACTCACAAAAACATGCCCCAAGAGCCATGACAGTTGAGTCATTAGCCCCGCCCACCCTCCCCATCCGCAGCATACCATTGGAGGAGCCCTGCACTTGGGCATGGCACTGCTGCCCTCTCCTCCCTTTGCACGGAGATAAAGATGGAAAGGAGCAGTTAGGGAACAAACGACCACTCAGACACCCACAAAACATCCGTCGGTCTCTGATCATGAACATGGTTTAATTTTAATCATCTATAAAGTGTAAATAATTGTGAATTTTAGGTCAACATCTGTGCGTGTGCCCGTTTTCCGTGCACTCACTGCTGCTCCTCTTCTGCGTGAGCGGGTCATCCAGCGAGTTGGAGCCAGAGCCTATAGAAGAGCTGTCCTGGCTGTCCTGAGGGAACGGCAAGAAAACGTCTCCGAACTCGGACCGAGACGGAGTCAGCGTGAGAGAACGCATCCTCTCTCGGCTCTTTGGCTTGATCAGCTTCTTCATCTTCAGGGTGATCCAGTTCCCACGCCTTGGACGAAAAAGACCAGGCAGAGAGAGGAGAAAAGACCACGAAGGAAAAAGAAAGAAGCCGCAGCAATAAAAAAAAAAACAATATTGAACAAATCCCGACTGTTATTCATGTTTAAGGGTTGCCGTGTGCAGCTGTGGCTCTGCAGTCATAAATATTAGATGAACGTGTCTAAGAGTATGCATCTCTGAGAGCCAAAAAGCAAACTGAAGCTTGCTCCTATAACAAAAACTAGAAATAGATCTCTATCGTTTTGTCCCCACTTGATTTGCTGATGCTGTGTTTTACCTGCGTGGGGGTGACGGGTCGTAGAATTTGTACTGGTCCATGATTTTTTCCTCCAGCTTTTCCTTTTGCCTCCTCAGCTCGTTCAGTTTGTCTCTAAAGGTTGAGCAAAAACATAAAAAAAGGTCAATTCTTACAATTTAACACTTACTGAACATTCTTTAGAGAACGAACATTAATTATCAGCTTTACATGTATTGTCTTTGCTCTACGTGGAACAGGTCCTTGCTTTCCATGGTCTGCTCCAGAAGTGTGCGGTTCTGCAGCATCAGGGTCTGGATCTGGTCCAACAGGTGACGGTTCTCCTCCTCCAGGTTTCCCTTTAGCTGGCTCAACAGCTAACACACGCAGCAGGGATGCAGGAACACCCAGATGAGCAATAACAAGAGAGATGTGAAGACACAAAGTCAGGAGTCCTCTTACTTCACACTGGTTGGTGAGTTTTGTGGAGGTGATGTCCAGCTGCTGATATTGTTCCTTCAGTTTGGAGAACTCGGCCTCCAGTTTGGTCTGCTCCAGCTTTGCACTGTTCAACTGGCTCTTTATGTTCTTATGGTCCAGCTGGAGACTCTCGTTGTCCTGCACCAGCTGACGATAAGACGTGTTGAGTCTGGAAAGTGAGCACAAGGTTAAGATTTTTATCTAAATGTGTAATTCTTATTAAGTGAACATGGTTCTGATTAATCGGACCTGTCGTTCTCCTCTTTGAGTTGTTTACATTGGTCAGCTGTAGCTTTGTGGCTCTGGTTCTCCTGCTCCATCTTTTCCTGCTGTTTCTTCAGGTTCTTCTCCAGTTCCTCCAATTCCCCTTTTCTCTGCAGGAGCTGCTTATATCTAAATGCATAAAACACACATTTACAAAACACAGAAAAAATAAATCACAAATTCAAAATGTCTTGTTTTATGTATTTGCCCAGCTTGGCCAGTTTAGTTTGACTGGCGGAAGACTGTGTCTCACTTGTCCTCCAAGTCCCTGTGCTGTTGCTCCAGGCTCTTGTGGGAGGTCTTCAGGCCGCCATGTTTCCCAATCAGGGCTTCGTACTCCACGGCCTGTCTCTCATGGAGCGCTGCCAGCTTCTCGTGATCTCGGAGCAGCAGTTCGTAAGTTGCCCTCAGCTCTTCTTTCTCTTTCAGCGCTCCTTCTCGCTCCCCCTCCACACTGCTCTGCTGGGTCTGCAGCTGGGCATTCTGGGCCATCAGCGCAGCACTTCGGGAACTCAGGGTTGAGTTTTCCACCTGCATGGGATGACAAAGGTAGGAAAAGAAATACTTATTTTAAATATGTTTTAAAAAACAGCATTAATCTTAATTCACTGGAGGGAAAATGAGGATTTGTTGCAGTTTAAGACCTCTAGGGGGCACTGTGAGTGTTCAGTGTGACCTCCCGATTTGCTGAAACATCTGTTTAAAAAAAACACCAGCAGGAAACATGTTTCTATTCATCTTCTCTTCATGGTTAACGTGGTTTCTGAGTCTAAAAGTCCTCTGATATCATACCGACCATGCTTATTCACTCTGACATATGAACCCACAACCTAAATGAAGCCAAGTTTCATTTTTACTCACTCACAAACACCTAACTTAACGTATTGTGGCCTCACACACACATAACTCACGTTACACTTTAAGCTAGGAAACAAACACCCTCCAGACACAGCTAGCTAGTGCATGGTCAGTGTAAATCCTGCTACCCATAAGGAGGGTTTGAAAACCTGCCAAACAGTGAGGGTAAGTCTAAATCTATAGCAGGGAGCCGAGCCGCTTGGCAGGCCAACTGTGTAAACACAAGTGTGTAAAATGTAGAATCACCAGCAAACTGTAATAACACCTTCCAGAGGAGCAGTGCTGCATCTGTGCACCAATCCTATCTAGCCTAATAATGTAAAAGCCACAATTTTATATGGTTTATGTGCTATGGTTACATGCTCCACCTTCTGCACTGTATTTGCACACGCCTTAACCTTAAAGTTGTTTCTTTTTAATTTTTTAATTGTATTTTCTGTCAAGTTGATTTGAATGTTCTTGCTATTGGAAAGCACATTGAATTGCCTCTGTGTATGAAACGTGCTATATAAATAAAGCTGCCTCGCCTTGCCTTATGTGGCATTTATGAGGAAAAAAGATAAAGATAACTATTAAAGAACTGAATCTGATAGGCAGTAGTGTCCCCAGAATTTTTTCACGAGGGGGCAGTGATAATTATGGGGTGGCCCACCAAATTGGTCCCCGTGGTGAATCAGAGTTTACCTTTTTGCTGTGCATTGAATTGCTCAGTTATTCTTTTTTTTTATTTAAAAAACAAAACAATTCGTCTAATGCATCCAACACATTTATGTCAAATTTAAGAAATGCAAATATTTCAGAAAAAAGACAAAAAGTTCTAAGTTATTGTTTCAAACGTTGTTTTACAATTTTAAAGGGGTGGATTACTTGTTATATCAATACATTTGCAGTGGTTTCTAATAGAAATGCATGCCTCGCAGGCAACACTCAGGGCACAAAAAAGCCCACAAACCTGCAACATCAGACGGCGAGATTTGGAGTCTTATTTCCTGATATCTGGACAGCCTGCCTTGGATTGGATAACAGCAACGCGGCTCTACCACTGACTTGCAAAGTGGATGTCTTATGTCTACAAATAACACAAGCCTGGAGGAGTTCCTGCTGTGTGGTGAAGCTGCTAATGCTAATGGTTAGCTTAAACTAGCCACAACGCTAAATCAACAACAGCCTCCCTGTCGTAAGTCAAGATCAGTGAGTCCATGAACGCCAATTCACAGTGTGGCGTAGATCTATGAGGATTTACAAAACCTAGAGTTTCACCATCTATTTTCGATCAGAAGCTAATGCAGGAGATATGTGAAGGAGACTATTTTCATGTTCAGTCTGCATGAGAAACTCAAGAGTGACTGATTAAACAGAAGTAATCATTTAAAAAATGTTTTTCAGTCAACCACTCTTAAAAGCTCAATTAGCAGTTTGCTGTCTCAACCAGACAATTCAGAAAAATATTGAAATGTATACCTTTTTTAAAAGCTGGTGCGCCTCAGTGACACACACACACACACACACACACACACACACACACACACACACACACACACACAATCTTTAAACTAAGATTTATTAAAAATTGCATTATAATAAATGTTTACCGGGTGCAACATGCATGTCTTGATTAAAGAAGATGGATGTAGGGTTCAAGTGAGCATGTATGTGATTTAATAAAGGGCGTTGGGGGTGGGGGGGTGGGGGGGGGGGGGTCTCCCTTATGGGGGGGGTCAGTGAGGTGACCATAGCTCCCTTCTGGCCAGCCGTTGGGGGCACCCCTGCTGATATGTATGCCTCCAACTCCGTAACTTTTGAACACAACGTTAGTGGTTACCTGCAGTTTGGCGTTCTGCGTCTGCAGCGTGGTGTTGTTCTCCTGCAACGAGGCCGTCTGTCTCTGCACAGCCACGATCTGAGCCTGCAGGTTGGAGCTTTGGGTTTCCAGCTGTTTGAGCTGACTTCTCAGAGCCACTTTCTCAGCCTGAAGCGTGGCATTCTGGGAAAAGAATTTACACAATTATAATAAAATGTGTTAGAATTGGGACAAGAAAGTCACCCGAGCCTTTTTACATAAACACATCAAACTTACATTTCTCTCAACTTCTATTAATCTGTCTTTGACCTTCAGCAGCTCCCTTGTGGCTTCGTGACTTTCTTTTTCCCATTTGCTGACAGCATCAGAGTTTTCTCCTCCTTTTGGAGGTGAGCTCTGGACCATCCTCTCCTCCTCCTCCCTCTGCCGAAGTGCCTCATAGTTCTTTTTCACCTGGGAAAGGGTTAGTTCATCACAATTTAGGAATCATGTTTAGTCTGAACACTGAAGCCAACTCTTACAACATCCTAGCTGGATGAACATCTCTTCGTGTTTTGCAGTGTGACTGACTGTTTTCAGCTCCTGACGGAGTTGCTGATTGAGGTTGGAGGACTCCTGCAGTCGGGCTTCTAGGGCAGCGATTTTCTCCTCCTTAATCTCTAAAGAAGATTTCAGAGTTGACTCCAGTTTGGTTTCCAGGAGTTTAAACCTAAAGACGAGAGTTAAAATAATTTGAGTAACGTTTAAGACCTGACGTATAGCAGCGACGTATTTGTTCTCTCACACCTGTCATCCGAGCTCTCATCGTGGAGGAGCCTCTCCTTGTTCAGTCCAATCTTCTCCAGTTCATGAGTCAGTTTCTCTAAATCATTATTCATCTGCTGAGTCCGCAGTTTCTCACTCACGAGCTCCTAAACACAGATGTAAGACATTTTTAAAGCCATGGTGCTGAACTTACAGCTGTTCTGATTATTTGCAGCTCTGCCTACCTCCCGGAGCGTCATCAGGGTCTTCTTATCAATACTGGCCTGTTTGACCAGCTCCTTGTTTTCCTTCTCCAGGTCTTTGACTCTTGTGCAGGAGTCCCTGAAGAAGATCATCTCCTTGCCCATGGTGCGGTTCTCCTTCTCCAGGGCAGAGATTCGCTGGTTGCTGTCGTCCAACTTGGAGTCGCGGATCTCCGCCTGCTGCCTCAGCCGCTTGTTTTCCTTCTCTAGAAGCTTCTTGTCCTTTTCTAACAAAGAACTTTCCTGCTCCAAAGACTTGTTCTGGTGTGGGAAAGAAGTGAAGTTAAATATTTGTCAGATTTTTATGCACTTCCACTCATTGGTGCTGCAATCTACCTCCTGCTCCAGCTGCTCCAGACGTTTACTGGAGATCTTGAGCTCCTCCAGGCTCCTTTGGAGTGTTTGATTCTCCGTTTCCACTTCCTGCAGCTCTGCCTCAAGCTGCTGGATCTTCTTGCTGCTGTTCTCTAAAGCTTTCTGCAGGCGTTGGTTCTCTGTGTCGAGACCCTGGTAGCTCACCTAGGAGAGGAAAGGATGGATTAGAAGCTTCACCATAATAAACCACATCTAAAGCGTTGAATTTTAGTCCAGTTTCACAGCTCTTAGGTCGCAGCAAGACCTTTAATACCTCCAATCTTTCTGTCTTCTTGGACGATGCTTTAAGCAGCTCCAGGCTTCGCTTCAGCTGCGTCCTCTCGCTCTCCAGCTCCCGGTTCTCGGCTTCCAGCTGAGCGGCCTTGGCCCCTACTGACCGCTGACTCTCAGCTGAACGCCGAAGCTCCAGGTTCTCCTGCTCTAGCTGGGAGTTCTCCTTTTCTAAAGCTTCTAGCTGGAAGGCTGTATTCTTTAAAGAATCCAGTTTCTTCTTCAGACGCCGACCTTCCACCTCCAGTTCAGAGTTCTCTTTCTCTAAAGATGACACCTACGAAAAAATAACAAAATAAAAGTCAAAATTTAGGTGAAAATGTGTGAAACAATACAATGATTTGATTTTTTTTATTTCCCAGAGGATTTTGAGAATAATGAGAAGAAACTGCATGAAAGAAAACATGCAAATGTACCTAAAATTGAAGGAAACTGGAAAAATCAAACTGCACCAGACCTTCTCACAGGTGATTCCAAGACTGGTGACTTTCTTCTGCAGGCTTTCGTTTTCTCGCTCCAGCTTCTGTAGCTGAAGCTCCAACTCTTCTGCTCTCTCACCTTTTTCCTTCATCACTTCAAGCTCCTTACCTGCATTCAAACAAATCACTCTCATTTAAACAGAATTTAATGACTATGTTTAAATGTTTCTGGGAGGGAAAAACATTTGTGATAAACACAAAGCAGGACACCAAGGTTTTTATTTTTAAATCACTCACGGAGTTGCTTCCTTTCAAACTCCATCTTGTTTAGCTTGGCGGTTGTTTCACAGATGGATTCGTGAAGAACGCGGTTTTCCTTCTCCACGTCCTTCACGCGGGCCTCAGCTCCCACCTGGCAGCGCTGACGCAGGGATGATAACGTTTGGCTCAGGTGCTTGTTCTCCTGCTCCAGACCTTTCAGCTGGTGAGAAACAAAATATAGTTTTGTCCATGTTTGATGCAGAATCACAGAAAGAATAAGATAAATCCACAAAGCTTCAGAGTTCTCTGCAAAGCTGCCGTTTATTTGAACATGCGGCAACTCAAGAGGCCGATGATCTGAGAGAACAAAGTTCTGTTTGCTTTGAAACTCATGGAAGCTGGATTGTACAAATCTGATTCTTAAACTAATCAAAGGTGTCAGATTTGGGTCCACCAAGTATGAAGTCCCCACAGCACACAAGCCGAGCCACCAGAGATCTGTGGCTGATCAAACATCAGTGGTTATTCCTCTTAACTGTTTTGGAGCAAAAGGCAAAAACATCAATAAACGTGCATAAAATACATTTTTGGGAGTTTTTTTTAAACAACAATCATTGAATCCATGTTTCATTAAAGCTCGTTCACCTTGCTGCACTTAGTATTGAGCCAACCTGTCAACAGCATCAAAGGTCAACATCACAGATAAAGGGTTTCCTAATGAGCTTAAATAACTGGAAGCTCTGTTATGTTACGAGAATCTCTGTGTGTACCTGTCTCTCTGAGTTTTCCCGGAGTGTCTCCAGAGTTTTCTCTAACAAAGCCTTTTCCTTCATCAGATCCGTACTTAAAGACTCGGCACTTCGGAGCAACTCTTTGTCTGCCGTCAGTTCACTCTCCAGCTGCTCCAACTACAAAAATAGAAAACAGCATTTTAACTTGATTTGTTTAAAATAAATAACGCTGTCTCTAAATTCTTAATAATTTAAAGTAACGGTGTGTATTTTTTCAGGCGACAGGGGGCAGTAGATACCTAAATCGTTGCAAACGAGCAGTATTTTTGTGTTGGAGTAAGATCTTACCAACAGATGCTCACTAGGGTCAAAAGCCCTGGGAAGTGCAAAATTTAGTAAAATAACGAGCACATCAGACTCCCTTTCATCACTGGCAACTAGTAAAGAGGTAAATGTGTAAAACAACAACATTCATGAATGACTAAACTTTTGTAACTATTTGTTACATATCAGTAAATGCATTTTGTCCTCATGGGCTCCTGTAGAAGGAAACATGGCATCTAATATGGCTTCTCCCTGAGACTAAGACCCGCTCCCATGTATTTTAGACCTGATTTTTATGGTTATATGTTATGAAGTCGCCAATATTTTCAACTGGGCATCATTTCATTCATTTTCAACAACATTTTGATGGATATATCCAGGAATTAATGGTAGAAACTACACATTGTCTCTTAAAAAGATAATTTCATTTAAAAAAAAGGATGTTCAACTCAACTTGTAGATTTGTTAAGTTTGGAGATTTTTACTAATATGAACTTGGAGCATCACTTTGAAAAATAAAAGATTAAGTTTTTAACAAGTTTACATTTTCTTGGCGTCATTAAAATGTTTAAAATAGAACAGGCCACAGATGTTGCCACCATCTTTTACCAGAGCTTTCTGTAGGATGTAAAATTTTGAAACATAACAGTTTATAGCATTTTAAGCTTCTTTTTTTTAAGTAAGTTTCAGTGATTGTGTAAGTAGAAAATTTACCAATGTCCCCTTGGATACCATTCTGCAGCCCTCTTTGAAACCAGAAATCACATAAAATGAGCAGTTTTGTGGGATGGGTAGGTGCCTTAGGGGGAGCTCTCTACCTGCTTAAAGACTGTTAGCTGTTTATCGTGACAATAGCTAATGTAAAGGCTAGCAGTTAGTGTTTTTAGTTCACCAGCAGTCAATAAAAAGCACAAGAAGAAGTTTGCTTTTTAGCTGGAATGGCAGATCCTGGAGGTAAAAGTCAGAGAGTAATGTCTTTGGAGGCGAAGCAAAGAGCTAAAACTAGAATGAATATCAAAGCAGCCTTTACTAGTTTGAGGGAGCTAAAGAAGATTATGAAACTCTAGAGTGATTGTGACCTAGCATTTGGGCCATTCCCATCTGTACCGGGTCGGCCCGGGCCGGGTAGCGTCTAGGTTGTTTACATATCTGGGTGGCCTGGTATTTTTCCGGGCCAACCAAGGCTCATTCTCAGCCCTCTTCTCGAGGGGGTCTGCTTCAGGCCGACCAGGGCCAACACACCCACTGCTGACAGCAAATTCACACCTTCCATTAGAGCAAGCCTCTGATTGGTGGGTAGAATCAGCCCACGTGGGCTTAAGGCAAGGATGTGTGGAATCAACCGGGCCAGGCTGGGGCCGACTGGGGCTACCCGGCCCGGGCCGACCCGGTACAGATGGGAATGGCCCAATAGTTGCCACTGGACTTGTAAGAATATATTTGTACAACAGTGTGGATCTTTAGTAATCAGTTGGCTCTTGTTAACAGTGGCTTGTTGTTGTTAGCACTAGCTACCGCAGGCAGCAACAGGGTTGTTTACAACAGTTGTAATTCCACTATCAACCAGTAGGGTGGAGAAGCAGGAAACCGTTTAGTGTTGCTTTTAATTGAACAAGTTGCAATTTCCCTTAGAGAAATTCATCAGGACAACCCGAGAAACTGACGGCAAAATACTTATCTTAGTTTTCAGCTGCAATCTGCTGCTGTCAAAATTCCAATTTTAAAAACGTTTTTGGTTTAATTTTTGTGACTGATGTTTTCCTTCGTGCAGCTGATAGTAAACAAAGAAGGAAATGCAAACAAAACCTTCTGACTTCTTACAAGGCGAAACAAACAGGACTTGATTTAAAAGCTAAAGTTTAGAAGTGATAAAAACAGAGACCATTTCTCCTCCATGTTAAGTGGGATGTTTGACAGAATTTAAACCCAAAATTTCAATCCTAAGGGCCTCAAGGATTATTGTCAGAGTATTTCTCAATCACAGTCTCCAAGTCCAAACGCAGCCCTTTTAAAATCCATATTAAAACTAAAAAACACCTCATTTTAGTTAAGAATGCAAACAGGTTCAAGCTTGTATTTGCACACTGATGCAAACAGATAAATATTAAATGAGACTTATTTCTGGGCTATAAATCTCCCAATATCGTCTGTCACATTTAAATGTGCTTTGGCTTAAATCTTCCAAGTCACTTGAAAATAAATTTCTCACTTTGGATTTTCTCTTTGTGGGAGACGAACACAATTAGATGCTTTTTGTTCAGCGGGCACAGAGAGTCTTTATGTCTCTGAAAATCTTTTAAAAAGTAAGGGGTGTTCCAGTGTCACAGATGGAGAGAGGAAAGGCAACGCTGTGCTGCCTGGATTTACAGCTCTCTGCTTTCATCCTCCTATTCACCCCTCTCCATTCTTTTATTTCCTCCTCATTTCTGTGAGGAGACGTCTAAAGCCAAGTGCTAGGGTGATGTATTATAGAGGAGTCCTGCTGCAGTGTGCTACTAGAGGTGGCAGAAGAGCTAAAGGGAAGAACATTAAGGATTTTTGAGCAAATTTTGCTTTATGCAGCTGGTATTAGAATGTTTGTCACAAAGCTGATTGTAGTGAGTAAAATGGCTCAAATTTTAGGTAACTTGAGCGCTGGGTGAAAGCTTAAAGGGGACATGTTATGCAAAAGTCAACTTTTGAATTCTTTTGTGCTGCCATGTTGGTCTCTACTGCCTCTATAAACACTAAATGTAAAATGAATCCATCCATTATTTTCTGCCGTGTTCAGTTGTAGGAATTATGTGCCTAAAACAAGCCCATTTTATAAGCCCCCTTTTGTGACATCACAAATGGGGAAATTAGACTAAAACCCACATTGAGAGCTGCTGCTGGACGAGCGGTTCTACTCAGAGAACCTCCCAGATATCAGAGCTTCTCAGCTTACAGCAGCCTGATTGAGGGATGGGTGGGTGTGGCCAGCTCCAGCTTGCTTCCTTTAAGTGACAGTGCTCTGAAATGGCTCATTCTGGAAGGTACTGAAACTGTCTAGAATAAAACTGCTGAAATTGTTTAATGTGAGAGAACTTCAAAAACATGTTTGGTGTTGACTATAAAACTATTCTAAGGCAGTAAAAATATAACGATAAGAATATGCACCTTATGAATGTATTTTTTTTCAGGTTTGAGTTTTTTGCGCATTTTTTCTTACTTTCTGGTTAAGTTTCTGGTTTTCTTGGTCGAGTTTGGTCATTTGTCCTTTGGTATCCTGACTGGCTGTCCCTCTGAGCTCCTCCACAGACTTCAGCAGCACCTGGTTTTCTTTCTCCAGTTTCAGCAGGCGACTCGAGGTCAACTCGTTCACCTCCTCGCCCAAAGACTTCTGGGGGACTGAGTTAACCACAGCAACAGCACATCAGCCATAATGTCCATGTTTAAGCAAATACTATCAATCCGAACATACAGGTGCTGGCCAGTAAATTAGAATATCATCAAAAGGTTGAAAATATTTCAGTAATTCCATTCAAAACGTGAAACTTGTACATTATATTCATGCAATGCACACAGACCAATGTATTTCCAATGTTCATTACATTTAAATTTGATATTTATAGGTGACAACCAATGAAAACATCAAATCTGGTATCTCAGAAAATTAGAATATTCTAAAGGCCAATGAAAAAATGTTTGTTTCTCTAATGTTGGCCAACTGAAAAGAATGAACATGAAAAGAATGTGCATGTATAGCACTCAATACTTAGTCGGGGCTCCTTTTGCCTCAATAACTGCAGTAATGCGGCGTGGCATGGACTCGATCAGTCTGTGGCACTGCTCAGGTGTTATGAGAGCCCAGGTTGCTCTGATAGTCGTCTTCAGCTCCTCTGCATTGTTGGGTCTAGCGTATTGCATCCTCCGCTTCACAATACCCCATAGATTTTCTATGGGGTTAAGGTCAGGCGAGTTTGCTGGCCAATCAAGGACAGGGATACCATGGTCCTTGAACCAGGTGCTGGTGGTTTTGGCACTGTGTGCAGGTGCCAAGTCCTGTTGAAAGGTGAAGTCTGCATCCCCATAAAGTTGGTCAGCAGCAGGAAGCATGAAGTGCTCTAAAACTTCCTGGTAGACGGCTGCATTGACCCTGGACCTCAGGAAACAGAGTGGGCCAACACCGGCAGATGACATGGCACCCCACACCATCACTGACGGTGGAAACTTTACACTGGACCTCATGCAACGTGGATTCTGTGCTTCTCCGCTCTTCCTCCAGACTCTGGGTCCTTGATTTCCAAAGGAAATGCAGAACTTGCTTTCATCAGAAAACATAACTTTGGACCACTCAGCATCAGTCCAGTCCTTTTTGTCCTTGGCCCAGGCGAGACGCTTCTTGCGCTGTTTCTTGTTCAAGAGTGGCTTGACACACGGAATGCGACACCTGAATCCCATGTCTTTCATGAGTCTCCTCGTGGTGGTTCTTGAAGCGCTGACTCCAGCTGCAGTCCACTCTTTGTGGATCTCCCCCACATTTTTGAATGGGTTTGTCGTCACAATTCTCTGCAGGGTGCGGTTATCCCTAGAGCTTGTACACTTTTTTCTACCACATTTTTTCCGTCCCTTCGCCTGTCTGTTAATGTGCTTGGACACAGAGCTCTGCGAACAGCCAGCTTCTTTAGCAATCACCTTTTGTGTCTTGCCCTCCTTGTGCAAGGTGTCAATGATTGTCTTTTGGACAGCTGTTAAGTCAGAAGTCTTCCCCATGATTGTGGTGCCTTCAAAACAAGACTGAGGGACCTTTTAAAGGCCTTTGCAGGTGTTTTGAGTAAATCAGCTGATTAGAGTGGCAGCAGGTGTCTTCTATATTCAGCCTTTTCAGAATATTCTAATTTTTTGAGATACCAAATTTGGAGTTTTCATTAGTTGTCACTTATGAATATCAAATTTAAATGTAATGAACATTGGAAATACATTGGTCTGTGTGCATTGCATGAATATAATGTACAAGTTTCACGTTTTGAATGGAATTACTGAAATATTTTCAACCTTTTGATGATATTCTAATTTACTGGCCAGCACCTGTAATACCTCCAACACAAGAAAATATATCAACTAGCACATGCACACATGATTCAACTGTACAAGCCTTAACTCCCACAAATCACCTTCTGGCAGTCACTCATACACAAAGTCTTTATTCAGATCCCTGGTTAGCTAAACCTCTTAACAGCTCTTATTATCCAAACAGACAGCTTATCTGAATATTATTTACAGCACAGGACTTAACCAAGTGGAAAGAAACCCAGTGGAAGCTGTCAAGCCCAGACGGATGGCCGGATTAAAGGCCAGTGACTAAAGCCTGGCCCGTCTGCCGTCTGTAGTCTCCAACCTGGTCAGTGTAGGTGTCATACTGAATTGTTGACTCAACATCCTAGTTTGGGGCTCTTCTTACCATCAGTCAGCTCCGGAGTCTTTGACAGCTGCTCCAGCTCCCAGCCCAAATGCAGGGACTCATCCATGCTCCGTTTCTGGGCCATTTCCAACACAAGATTCTCCTCCAACAGGTCCTCCACACGTTTACGGTCCAAGTCCCGGTCCTGGACAGAAGGTATTAGAAAATGCATCAACAATAACAAAAACAGAACACGCAATTCTTTAAATAACTCTCAAAGTCCTTGCCCAAAAAGCATTCTCCTACCATCTCTAGATCGTGGATCTTTGACTTGAGCTGCAGGTTCTCTTTCTCCAGGAGGTGCAGTTTGTCGGACCGGGTCCTGCTGGCATCCAGCTGCTCCTCCAGCATGGCTTTAGTCTCCAACAGAATCTGATTGTCCTCCTTTAGCTCCTGCAGAGAGCAGAACAAATGATATGAGTCAAAAACACAAAAAGAACAAAAACATCCGCAATCCTGTTATAAACTAGTCCAGGCTCTACTGTCTAAAATGTCATATTAGTGAAATATAGTGTTTAGTTTAACTATATTACAGAAAACAGTTGTGTTTTGGGGTTTGGAGCAACAGATGTGTTATTGGTGCTTTGTGCGCTGGCTTTAATCTGTTGTGTGCTGTTGTGTACCTCCACTCTGGCTTTGTAAAACTCAATATCATGAAGTCTCTCCTTGTATCGGCCGAGCTCGCTCTCCAGCTTGTCGACACGTATGGCTTTTTCTCTGAGAGCGTCCAGCTCGTCGCGGTAGGCCCGAGCCGACCGAGCATCTGACAGCAGCTGGAAACTCTGCAGGAGCACAAGTGTGTGGAGTCAAACAACAAATCATAAAATGTTCAAGCATCTTCTGCTCCACCCAATGTCCTGAGCTCACCCAAGCTTTTCACAGCAGTGAGATCAGAGCTCCATCCAAATCAAAAGCCAAGGGAGGCTGCAGCCGGACTAAAAATAACGTGAATAGCCCCTAATGAGATAAGTCAATTGCCATCTGATTAAAGCCTGGCAGCGTTTTAGAAACAAAGTACTTAGAAACAGAAAGGAGGAGCAGGTGGGAGTCATTTGAATGTGTGTGCGTCATATGCATTTAGTCGCTGTGATTGGTGGCTTTACCTCCTGCTGAAGCCTCTTCAGTTCCACCTCCACGTTCTCCAGCTCCTGCCTGGTGTCCAGAAGCTGCTCACTCTTCTCCTCTCTGCAACAGAAAACAGGAGGAGAAAACTGAAACCAACAGTAACATTATTTTTATGGTGGTCACTCAAAGCAAAATAGGCATCATGTTGAATTTTCATGTTTGTTTTCATTATGATGCCCACCTCTGCGTTTCAGACTTTCAGCACACAGTCACGCCCACACTGTGTGCTCCTTTAGCTTTTCTTTTTCCAACAATTCTTCATTAAGTCATTGAAATTTGCAAAATGTTTATCTTGCATCAAAGAATTATTAGTAATTTAAGTTATGGTGAAACATTTCACTACCGATTTTGAGGCATCTTAGATTACTTCAGGGTTCAACACGGGCAATTATGCTTTAAAGGTGTGGTTCATTTGTTAGATCAATACATTTAAAGCGGTCTCTTCTAGGAATGAATGCCTTGCAAGCCGTACTCGAGGCAAAACGGGGGCACCAGCAGAATGGCACAACACGGCAGAATTTGGAGTCTTATTTCCTGATATTTTGACATCTCCCCTCGGATTGGATAACAGCAATGTGACACTACCACTGACTTTTAACTTGGATGTTTTATCTCCACATATGACACAAGCCTGAAGTGGTGAAAGTGCTAATGCTAACAGTTAGCTCCTACTAGCCAGGACGTTGTCCGCCGTTTCCTGGACGCTAAACCAACAACAGCCTTCCCCATCGCAAGTCTAGATGGGTGAGTCCATGGATGTTAAGTGACGGTGTGACGTAGATCTGTGGAGATTTTCAAATCCTAGTGTTTCACTGTCTATTTTCTATCAGAAGCTAATGCAGGAGATAGATATGGGACTATTTTCATGTTTAGCCTGCATGACAAACCCAGGATGACCGATTTTAATAAAAATAATCATAAAAAAAGGTTTTTCAGAGTTCCACACCTTTAAGTGGGAACTGAGGGGCCATCTGGAAAAATGGTAATATTTGGCATAATGACTGGCAAATATACCACCGCCACATGTGCACACATAAGCCCAGAGTGAGCAGAGGAAAAAAGGAAAGATACAACTGTCAACTTTGTAACCAGAATGTTATGATGCAGCTAAAAAAAGGTTAACATAATGCTAATATTCCCGTCCATCCATTTTCTGAACTCGCTTTGTCCACGTAGGGTCGCGGGGGGAGCTGGTGCCTATCTCTAGCGGTCAACGGGCAATCAGGCGGGGTACACCCTCGACAGAGAGCCAGTCCATCGCAGGGCAACACAGAGACACACAGGACAAACAATCACACACACACACACTCACACTTAAGGACTATTTAGACAGACCAATCAACCTAACAGTCATGTTTTTGGACTGTGGTAGGAAGCTGGAGTACCCGGAGAGAACCCACGCATGCACAGGGATAACATGCAAACTCCATGCAGAAAGATCCCAGGCCGGGAAGCGAACCCAGGACCTTCTCGCTGCAAGGCAACAGCTCTAACCGCTGCGTCGCCACTAATATTCCCCTGAGGCTGAAAATGTTGATTTACTTTTCCTCAGTAAATAAGTAGTGCAAAGACTAAATTACCCGTTTCTTTTATTCAAAAACCTAAAAAGTGTATTTCTAGAACAGGTCTGAAGGAAAATAGGGCAGCTTGTTATTAACCATCTCCATGTTTGTGTAAATACTCCAGGCTCCTTGACTAAAGGGAGAATCGGCCACAGCGCTTTGAAGGAAAATGACTGCATTCCAGAGATGCTGTGTGTGTGTGTGTGCGTGCGTGCGTGCGTGTGTGCGCGTGTGCGTGCGTGCGTGTGTGTGTGTGTGTGTGTGTGTGTGTGTGTGTGCGTGCGTGCGTGCGTGCGTGCAAGACAGTCTGAGTGATTACGGCTCTCTGGAGTCTCCTTGTGCATCTCAATAAGGAAAGGCATCCTATTCTTTTTCTTTTTTCTGCCCACTCACTCATATCCAGCTTCCTCCTACAGTTATTTAGGAGGTTAAATAACATTACAGAATTTTATTTCTGTTCCAATTTAACGAGTAACCTCCCATTTTCTGCAGCTTCTTTTCTAAAACTCATGCACGAATGTTTATTCCTGTACTCATTATGTTGGGTCTGCGGCTAATTAAAATGCACATTTTGAGTTTCGAGCAACATAATCAAAAACTGGCTATTCAACCAAAGCAAAAGCTGAATGCCATACCCTGCAAGTGACCAATAAACAGATTGTAGGACTTTCAAATCAAAAGCATTCTGCAAAACAAGCAGTTTAAGTTGAACATTTCTGCAGGCTTGCACAGATCTACTGACATTCAGTTAGTATTAACAAGCTCTGAAGGACTTTGAATGAATAACAGAATCTCTGCAATGATTTACCACAAATTCCTAATTTTCCAAATCAGTCTCAAGTCTCACCTGGCTGCTTTAAACAATGACAAATCTTACTAAAACAAATAAAGGGCTTCATAAAAAACACACAAAATACTTTAACTTCATGATTTATCCGCGTGTGTGTGTTAGAGCAACAACTAGAAACAGAAAACAGTGAATCCACAGACCCTACCCTCTGGCTCTGACCTGCAGTCCCTCTGACAACATAAGACCACACAAGCTGACATCTACGCATGCATCTACGGTTACAGCAAACACATTCCTTATCTGGGTAACATTTACTTTTAAACATAATAAAAGTACTTTTGTGCTCCACAATGCAATAACTGTCAGATTCCAAAACCCAACAATTCAATTCAATTCCAATTCAAGTTTATTTATTTAGCGCCAAATCACGACAAGAGTCGTCTCAAGGCACTTCACATAATAAACATTCCAACACAGGTCAGTTCATTAAGCCAATCAGAAAAAAGTTTCCTATATAAGGAACACAGCAACTTGCATCAAGTCACTGACAGCTTAGGTTAGTGTTCCAGTAACTCTGCAGAAGTAGACATGCATGCTAGCACTGATCTGACTCACAACAAAAGCAAATCTATTCAAAACGAAGATGTTTCCTGTAACGACCATCTATAATATCAACTCAAAGGCTCCAGCTGGTCTGTTAATACCGATAATGTTTGTGCAACACTGATACACTTCCCCTTTCAATAGAGAAGCTACAAAGTCAGAAGGTCTTCCTCCCGTTTTCAACTGGTCTGCTGCTGGCTATTAAACTCTCATCTGATGAGAGAACACAGCACTTTAAAAATCAAGATCAATAATTCATGAAACCGATTCGTCAAACCTCTTTGAAGGCAGACGAAGCAGGTTTGTTTTGGAGAAGTGCTGCAGGACACCACAACAGCAAAGTTTCAAGTAAAAACAATGTTTAGAGAACTTTTTCCTATAAATATAAGTTTATAAGAGTTTGTTTATCTTCAAATTCTTACACGATTGCACTAAAAAGAGATGTTTACGATAAACATTTGAGTAAACGACATAAATCTATTGCAGCTGAACAGCATCTGTTTGGGGAAAAGGTGTGCACGCAGCTGAGAGTCTATCTCTGCCAACCATTTAGCTTCACACGGTCACTCACAATCATAGACATCACCTGCAGCAGGAAAATGTGGTATTTCCTGTTCAACCAAACCTCCTGTGCTGCAGAAATTTTAATATTTCTGCCAAAATAGCAACAGAATGCTTAAGGAGTGTATGAGTCGTTTAATCAATACATGTGCAGTGGTCTCAGACGGCAGGTTTGGGAGTCTTATTTCCTGATATTTGGACATCTTGCTCTGGATTGGATAACAGCAAGCAACTACCACTGACTTGCAACGTGGATGTTTATAATCTCCACAGATAACAAGCCTGGAGGGCTTCTGCCGTGTGGTGAAGTTGCTAATGCTATGGTTTAGCTTAAACTAGCCGAGACATCCGCTGCGGATTCCCAGACATTAAAAAAACAGCCTTCCCCGTCATGAGTCCATGAACGCTAATTCACAGTTTGATGTAGATCTGTGAGGATTTTTAAATCCTAGAGTTTCACTGTCGGTTTTCTATCAGAAGCTAATGCAGGAGATGTGTAGGAGACTATTTTCATGTTCAGCCTGCATGAAAACTCGAAGTGACCGATTATAAATAAACCACACCAAGTTGGGGAAATTGCAGCTGCAAGAGCCGCTATGAAGTTTTGAAGACTGGAGCGGCTTTCAGAAGGCAAGTAGTAAACTGTCCTGAGACTAGCTGTTATCTCATCCATCCTAGCCTCCATTTCTCATAACAGAGGCTATTCAGGATGCCTTCTGTAATGGATCTGACTGGAGTCTTCCAAATGGCTGAAACACCCATTCTTCTTAAGTGATCATGAAATCTATTTCCCAGAGAATCAAGTTTTGACCTAAAAGTGTTTCAGAAGGCAAGGGGCTGGATCTAAAGTTATTACAGATATTTTGGGGCAGTATCAAGGAGCACAATTATGTACCTCCCTCCACTTTTTATGATTTTAAAGGGAAAATCCTAAAGAAGTTTGATGTAGTAAACCTTTTCAAGCATATTAATGGCAAAACAGGAGCAACAGAAGCAAAGAAAAACAGGATTAGTTGTGGTCTCTCATTCCAGCCTCCCCAGAACTACTTAACTCCTCCGACTCTACTAGACCCATTTACATGCGCCATTTAAATAATTGCTGATGGAGCTGATAAAGCGGTGCCACTTACAGTTCCTGTCGGAGGCGTCTGATTTTGGCCTTGGCATCAGCCAGCTCCACAGAGAGGTGTTGTCGACTTTCAGTCCTCCTCATGCTGGGGGAGTCACCTGGAGAATGGATGGCACCGGGAGCCAGAGGAGACAGCTGCACACAGTCCCTCTCCTGGGTCAGCTCCACGATGGTCTGAATGAAAACAACAGAGAAAAGGTGGAGAGACATTTACGGTAACTGGGTTGTGATTTAAGGGGAAGAACAGCATGAACTTAAAGCTCTCATTCACTCATTATTTCAACACATTTGTTGTGGTCTCTGATGTGAATGAATGCTTTGAGAGTTGTTCTCTGTGCAAAATCTGCTCTGGCGCTCCTGTTTCAGGAACTAGAAGTTAGCCGGAGGAGTTGAGATGCAGAAAACAGCAGTTTTTGGAGCCTTAATCAATAATATTCATGATATTCGAGTGTCTCGCCTCTGATTGGCTAACAGAAATGTAACTCCTCTACTGCCTCCATTCTCTTTTCAACGATGATGTTGCATGTCCACAAACAACACAAGCCTGAAGGAGTTCTGCTGTGTTGAAGAGTTGCTAATGCTAACCCCTACTTCGCACTGGAAGCGTCAGCGTGGCGGGACGGCAACTTCGCTGCGTGCCATCACACACCAGGAGAATCTCAGCCGCTGAGCGACTTCTCTGCTGTACTTCTCGTTGGACTCGCAAAATCACAAAATCCCTCGACACTTGAAAGGTCATGGTTTGTTTATGCCATCTGCCATTAGACCAAAAGGGAGGAAATATCATTTGATATCACTGATGTCATTTATGATGTTTCTCTCCACTGCCATGAAATACACACCGCTGCACTTCTGGAACGATGCTGGGAGTAGATAAGCCGTTAGGTAGTCGCTGTATTGACATAATCTACACAGATGGAATCACATCGCTGCAATAGTCTTATTTTGAAAATTACCAGGGGTTTTACACTAAAACCGCATTTGATTTCCTGTCTAGTCCTATGTTAACTGCAGAAATTGTCGTGTCCTAAAAGCGGCTCGCAGCAAAAATAAAACCCAATCCTTTCCATCTTCAGCAGCGAGCTGCTTTTGGGACACCTGAAAATTTCCATGTCACGCCGATGCTTTCGGTGTGAAGTAGGGGTAACGGTTAGCTTCTATTAACGAGACGCGCTCTGCTCTCTCCTGGGAGGTAAAATCAGCACAGCCTTTCCTGTCACGTGCCAGGATGGGTGAATCCATGAATGCTAATTTACATTGTAACGTCAATCTGACTGGCTTCACTATTCTTTTCTATTTTTTATTGGCAGCTAATGCAGGAAATGGGGGTAGAAGACTATTTTCATGTTTACCCTGCATGTGAAAATCAGAGTGACCGATCATGTTTCAAAATTAACAAGTAAAAACTGTTTCACAGCGAACTTGGCCTTAGAAGATTTTAAGATTTACCCAAAGTTGAAAGGTGGCTGTGGGACAAGAGTTGCACAGAGCCCCACACACTGCCTATTTTGATCTCTGAACAGGAAATGGGATTTTAATTGAGAGCGGCTGGACTATTCATTGATAACCTGGAGACTATTAGGGCCACACACACACACACACACACACACACACACACACACACACACACACACACACACAGAGCTCCATCAGTAAAGTAGATCTGCACCCCATGGGCTGGAAACTCATTTAATGACGTATAAGTAAAATACCCCTCCCCATCTTCAATGACAGTTAACAGTTTCAACCCTTCCTTCCTGAGGCTGCTCTTTTGTGGTAACAGCAGAAAAAAGAATGAAAAAGTTTCCACACAACTGGGCCATAACCAGCCCACGACTTACATTCAAACATGGAGGGACGCCTCCAACACAAAGGCTCAGTAAAGGATTTTCTCCACACTGTGCGTCATTACCTCCAGCTGTGTGTCCCTTTCATCCACCAGGCGTTTGAGGTGGAAAGCCAAGTTCCTGGACAGACTATCCAGATCCTCAGAAGGCAGGTCTCCACTTTCTAACCACTGCAGGTCCACCACATTCTCCTGGTTATGAGTCACCTGAGTTTAGGACAATTATCTGATCAGAAACGTTTTATTCAATAGAAACATTTAACTATCCACCAATCTAGGTCTGACTCTGGATGGAGACAAAATAAAACACCTCTTGGATGTGGGATGCTATGGAAGCTTTGATGTCAAAGTCCAGAACCTGGATTAGCTCGATGTATTCTTCCTTCTTCTCACACTGTAATAAGAAAACAAGTGAGAAAATATCCAAGCAAAAGACTGATGTTAAAGCTTTTATAGCAAATTTGGGAAAAAAAAAATTTGCTTAAAACATTCTTTTTATAACTCTTAACAACATTCTAACATGGCATAGCTATAATTGTATTGTGGAGATTAAAAAAAACTAATAAAGGGGTTTCCTCACATCAAAAAGGTGAAAGGAACTACTGGACAATCTGGTAGTTTGTTCTAGCCGAACCACCGCACTTCCCCCATTTCTCCGCTCAATAATAGAAGGAGAAACAGACGGCTGCTACCACTTCAACTTTAGGACAAACTATCAGAGTCTCAAAAATCCTGAATTATGAGTTAGATACAGATACCATTTAGTGTCCAAATAAGCCTGCAGTAGTTTGGTTTGGTACTAGATAATCTAAAAGAAACAATCATATATGAAAAGTAATTTCTAACACCATATTTCATTTATAATCTTTACAAAAGCTAAACATAATCATGCAATGTGGTTTAACACAAGTTAAAGCTGTTTTTATTATGCCCTTAGTATTGTTTGATGAGTCCAATGAAAGTCTAGGTTCTGGAAGTCTCAAGTCTTATTTTAATTTTTTTAGAAGTCTGAGCCAAATGTGGAAATCCATGAAATAGCTCCTACCTGGACAGCACATCCTAAAAGCAGCAACAACAGTTTCTTCATCTCATCCAGACCTTGTTCTGAAAGGGAAAAGCAATCCCATAAATAAAGGGTGTAAAAAAATAAACAAGCTGCATTTACTGAACAAATAAATGTTTTTCATTAATGTTGTTTAATCTGGTTAAACCTTATTTCCCAAACGGGAAAAAACATTTTCAAAATAAAAGCCAAAAAACTATCGCTACAACACCAGTAAAAAACTACGCAAACAAAAACACCAACAACAGTTTTTAGCTCTCATGCAAAATGCGTAATAATGAGTAAAATTGTTTGTTCAGACGTTTTTTAAATATCAGGAAGTTTTCCTGCATAAAACTGAACATCCAAGAGAATGGCTCGCATCGACTCAGGAGATCCGATAGTTAAAACAAAGCCCTTCCGTGTAATACTTTACAGGCAAAATAGTTTTTAAACAAATCCCAAACAGAACCGTCAGCCAATGCAAAGCAGTCAATACTGGGGAGATCTTTTCTCCTAGTTCCCATTAAAAATCTGGCTGAACCAGATCGAGGCCTGCTTTACTCCACAAGTAAGGGATCACAATAACTACTCGTGAGGTTCTAAACACAAGGAATCAAATCAATTCTATAGTTTGGAAAGTGCTTTTGTAAATGTTTTATGACTTTACCATCAATGGGTTCATCTTTCCTTGGAAAATTAAGCCTCACTGATCTGAAAACGTAAATCTTAATTTAGCGGCTCCTAAGAGGAGCAAGCTCTCCATCTATCCCACATTTACTTCCAATTAGTTTAATTCCTAGCTTGTTACAATTTCCTCTGATAAATCCCTCCCAGGAGATACGGTGCCACAGAAGTGCAGAATGAACTTTAGCACTCTTCTACATGCCGAAACACATCGTCAGAAACTGGTGAAACCTCCAAACAGCTGTCTGCCTGCTCAACAGGCCCCAGCTCATCTGGGAGATTTGGAGTTGAACAACAGCAAACCAGGTGGTGTGTGTGCTGCAATGAGTGAGTAAAAAAAAAAAACATAAAGTCAATTTCTGTGTGACTGACATTACAAGCTGTGTGTGTGTGTGTGTGTGTGTGTGTGTGTGTGTGTGTGTGTGTGTGTGTGTGTGTGTGTGTGTGTGCGTGCGTGCGTGCGTGCGTGCGTGCGTGTGTGTGTGAGAGAGAGAGAGAGAGATAAGCCAGCTCATGATGTGGCTGCAGGAGAAGTCAGTGCTAACAGTGTTCCAGCTCTAATGATGATAAATCCAGCTTAGTGTGGTGTGGCCCGTTTTCCTCTCAGTTTAGTAGTTCAATCATCAACACAAGAACAGATTTTAAAAACAGACTTCTACTAGAATATTTTACCTTTTTTTGTAATTTGTAATTTGAACTGCTTTAATTTTCGATTATTCACCATATTTAACTTTGTCATGTACTATGTTCAGCGCCTTGGGCTACCCGACAGGGTTGCAGAAGGGGCTATATAAATAAAGCTTTGATTGATTGATTGATTGATTGACTTGCAAATTTAAATCCTGATTGATATTTTAAATTCAACAAAAAATTAAAAATATCTAAAAATAATTAAAAGAGTTGGGTTTTGCTAGAATTTAGGAAAAAAAGCTTCTGTGAAAAAAGCTAACATAGGCAGCAACAAAGTGCCAAAAGGATCTCCAAGGATGACGGCATCCATCCATCTAATGTACAGAATACATGCAATTATTTCTAAATCAATAGATCAACCTAAGGAAGTGCGTTAGCGACAGCCATAGCTGCATGTGGTCATGAGGGGGGGACCAGAACATGTCGATAAAATCCGCAGAGAAATCTATTGGACAATCACATCAATATAAGTCATATTGTGTGATTAAAAACAAGTCTTATTGTGGTTTAATTTCACATATTTATACAACCCATTTGTGCCATAAAGTATTAGTTTTATCAGATTCACACCATCATGAACAACAGATTAAAAAAATAAAAAAAGGTCTTCACACAAATAAATGCTGCAACCAGAAAGGCTGAAACACACATACATATGCCATAAATATCATTATTTACATTTTATTTGACACAGCACAAAAACATTCTGAGGGTAAATCACACTGTGTTTTTTTCTGTGTCATTGTTAATTCTGAAAAGTCTCTGGTGAGTTCCTAACAATACTGAGGCAAGATGCAGTGTTTGAATTAATCATCAGCACCTTCGCAGGCTGTATAGAACAGAATATGACAGGTATTAAAAGAACATGAGCAGATTTGGGTCTAGAAGGGCGACGGCAAGCAAAACTTAATTCTCAAAGCTGCAGGGCTTAACAACACTCCATTATTGCCATAGGAACCCATTTTAGTCAGGGAAGGGATTTAAGCTCAGTGAATCTGCTGGAGCAACCCAGGAAAGATAAGGAAACTCGCAGAATAAATTATTTATAAGGGTTGAAGGGAAGAACAAGAGGGAGAAACTGAAAGGAGGAAGATGAATGGGGTGACAGAAAAGAGAAAGAACATAAACATGAAGGAATAAAATAAAATTAGAAAAATGAACTGAGTAGTGGTGGTATTCAAACAGGCAGAAATGAACTAAAATCTCTTTAGTTGAAGCAAAAGGCTTAAAGGAAGTCCCACTCTTCTGTCTCTTCTCACCTCCTTCTCTCTTCCTTTCGTACACCCATCCATCTATTCTCTACAGCTCACATCCTTCCTTCCTTCCTTTAAACATTGTTATAAATCATCTGTGACCCATTGTCAGTAACTGGATTCACAAATTTGGGCTGTCCTTTTATACCCTCCGGGTTTTATCTTCATGGCAGGAAACAAGAGGTCAGAAGGACAGTGACTAACCCGCCATCTTCCAGTGCCATTGTTAATCAGTCTGTGAGGATGTGGGGGGTTGAGGAGAAAGAAAGGCTGTTTGTGGGAATGTGCCACCTATTGTTGCAACGCTCTCATTCTACTATGATGTTCAAGTCATAAGGACCTTTACGATGGCGACAAAACTAACCCTAACTGATGCCAACGCTCATTTTTCAGTTTTCATAAGAACTGATTTAGTTGCATCTTCAGATAATTTTTTTATAAAGAGTTGATGCTAAAATACTGATCAAACCGTTTTTGCCACTAGCGATAGAACATTTAGACAATTTTCATCAAGTGATTGCCCTCCATGGAAAATTTAATGAAATATTTCTGTGTGAAGGATGTAAATAATTTACTCGTACCTGTAATACCTGTAATAACTAAAGCCTAATTTGGACTTCTCCGTCAGCTCCACAAGGGAGAGACACGCACGCACAGAGGACGTTTGTATGAGGTAGTATGAGGATGTTTTGCCCTCTTACTTCTGTCTCCTGGGGAGTGTTGCAAAGCAATTCCCCTCCAAGACAACAGAGGGTGTAGCGCGGTTCTGTGGTATCCTGTCATGTATCCAGTCCAAGATAGTGCATTTACTATAATATTTATATTGTGGGGGGTTATTTAGTATTCAAGAGACTTTTTAACATGGACACATTTGCCACTCATCCTCCTCCACTTCTTCATGCGCTCACCACCTCTATGCCAACGTTATAGATATGCAGCGAGTGTGTATGTCTGTCAATTTATTGGAGTCAGCATAGGACTAAAAAGGGAATTACAAAAGGTTACAATAAAAAAAAAACACAATAATTTTCAAAATAAAAGACTATTGCAGCAATGCAATTTCACATCTATGTAGATTACGTCAAAACTTGTGACCTAATGGCTTCTTTACTACCTGCATCATCCGAGAAGTGCAACGGTGTGTTTTTCAAGGCTTTAATCCTGGCAGTGGAGAGGAACAACATCATATACATGACAGCAAACATTGATATCAAACGTGATTTCCTTCTTTTTGGTTTATTAGCAGATTAAATAAACTCGAGTGATTTAGTGATCTTGCGAGTCTAACGAAGAGCACAGCGAGGAAGCAATTCTGCAGCCAAGACTCTCCCGATGTGTACCGGACCTCAACAAAAGTCTCAAGCATGGGCGTGATTTTTTTTCGGTGGGGGTGAGGGGGTGGGGGGACAGGGCGGACCCCCTCCCCCCTTTTCTAAAGTCAAGGTTTGTCCCCTGCACTTTTTACCGTCCAAAACCAATATTATGTTAAACTCGTCTCGTATTCCTCCACTTATCCGGGTCCGGGCCGCGGGGGCAGGAACCCAACTAGGGAGCTCCAGACCATCCTCTCTCCAGCCATCTCCACCAGCTCCTCTGGCAGGACCCCAAGGTGTTCCCGGACCAGATTAGAGATGTAACCTCTCCAACGTGTCCTGGGTCGACCCGGGGGCCTACTGCTGGCAGGACATGCCCGAAACACCTACCTAGGGAGGCGTCCAGGAGGCATCCTGACCAGATGCCAAAACCACCTCAACTGACTCCTTTCGATCCGGAGGAGCAGCGGTTCTACTCCGAGTCCCTCCCGAATGTCCGAGCTCCTCACCCTATCTCTAAGGCTGAGCACGGCCACCCTACGGAGGAAACTCATTTTGGCCCCTTGTATCCGCGATCTCGTTCTTTCAGTCATTACCCAAAGTTCATGGCCAAAGGTGAGGATTGGGACGTAGATCGACTGGTAAATCGAGCCTGGCTTTCTGCCTCAGCTCCCTCTTAACCATGACAGATCGGCTCAGCGTCCGCATCACTAAAGATGCTGAACCAATCCGCCTGTCGATCTCCCGATCCCTCCTACCCTCACTCGTGAACAAGACCCCGAGATACTTAAACTCCTCCACTTGAGGTAGGACTTCTCCCACGACCCGCAGTTGGCAAGCCACCCTTTTCCGGTCAAGAACCATGGTCTCAGATTTGGAGGTGCTGATCCTCATAAAAGCCGCTTCACACTCGTACCCTACCCAGCAAGAGCTGAAGGTCAGAGCTGGATGAAGCTAGGAGGACCACATCATCCTCAAAAAGCAGAGACAAGATTCTCCTGCCACCAAACTTGACACACTCCACACCAGGGCTGCGCCTAGAAATTCTGTCCATAAAGGTAATGAACAGAAACGGTGACAAAGGGCAGCCCTGGTGGAGTCCAACCCTCACCGGAAATATCGATCGATTGTCTTTCTCTATGACCTCACCAAACTCCTCCCATGCCCGAGATTTTGCCTCGGCAACTGCCACTGCTGCACCCCGCTTGGCTATCCAGTACCTGTCTGCTGCCTCCGGAGACCCACAGACCAGCCACACCCTGTAGGCCTCCTTCAGCCTGATGGCTCCACGAACCTCTGGTGTCCACCAGCGGGTACAGGGGTTGCCACCACGACTGGCACCAGCCACCTTGCAACCACAGCTAGCAACAGCCGCCTCAACAATCGCAGAGTGTAACAAGGCCCACTTGGAGTCAATGTCCCCCACTGCTCTCGGGACGCGGTCAAAGCTCTGCCGGAGGTGGGAGTTGAAGACCGTCCTGACAGGTTCCTCTGCCAGGTGTTCCCAGCAGACCCTCACTATGCGTTTGGGTCTGCCAGGTCTACGCGGCATCTTCCCCTGCCATCTGATCCAACTCACCACCAGGTGGTGATCAGTTGACAGCTCCGTTCCTCTCTTCACTCGGGTGTCCAAAACATACGGCCGCAGGTCAGATGATACGACTACAAAGTCTATCATCGACCTGCAACCTAGGGTGCCCTGGTACCAAGTGTACCGATGGGCATCCTTATGTTCGAACATGGTGTTCGTTATGGCCAAGCTGCGGCTTGCACAGAAGTCCAATAATGAAACACCACTCGAGTTCAGATCAGGTGGGCCGTTCCTCCCAATCACACCCCTCCCGGTCAAGCTGTGATTGCCCACGTGAGCATTGAAGTCCCCCAGCAGGACAATGGAGCCCCCTGATGGAGCACTATCTAGCACTCATCCCAGGGACTCCAGAAAGGGTGGGTACTCTGAACTGATATTTGGCCCATAAGCGCAAACAGTCAGGACCCATTCTCCAACCTGAAGGCGCAAGGAAGCTACCCTCTCGTCTCCCGGGGTAAACCCCAACACACAGGCACTGAGTCTTGGGGCTAACAAAAAGCCAACCCCAGCCCTCCGCCTCTCACCCGGAGCAACTCCACCAAAGGAGAGTGTCCAACCCCTCTCAAGGACTTGGGTTCCAGAGCCAAAGCTATGTGTCGAGGTGAGTCCGACTATATCTAGCCGGTACCGCTCAACCTCTGCCACAAGCTCCTGCTCCTTCCCCGCCAGCGAGGTGACGTTCCATGTCCCAAAAACCAGTTTCCTCGTCCAGGGATAGGACAGCCAAGGCTCCCGCCTTGGTCTGCCATCTGATCCAAACTGCACCGGATCCTTCATGTTCCTCCTGCGGGTGGTGGGTCCACCGTTGGATGAGCCCATGTATCCGGTTCGGGCTGGGCCCGGCTGGGCCCCATGGGTGAAAGCCCGGCCACTAGGCGCTCGCTCACGGGCCCCAACCCCAGGCCTGGCTCCAGGGTGGGACCCCGGTAACCCTCTGGGCCGGGTACTCTGACTCTTTGAATTTACATCCATGAAAGAACCTTTGAACCGTTCTTAGTCTCACCCTTCACCTAAGACCAATTTGTCATGGGAGACCCTACCAGGGGCACAAAGTGCCCCAGACAACATAGTTCCTAGGATCATTAGGGCAATCAAACTCTTCCACCACGATAAGGTGACGGTTCAAGCCGATCGATTTGATGTCTCACATGTGTGGGTGTGTAATTCCATTTAGCCAGAAGATGATTGACCTCTCTCAACCAATCAGGGAGCTGGGAGGGAGTGGGGCACATTTCCACCTTCTGACGGTCAATCAAATTTAACTTGTTTCTAGTTTTAAGTACAGATAGTTCAAAAAGATCAAAAACAGAAGTATTTTATTGGCTCAATATTCAGCTTTTTATATTCATTCCTATGAGACTTGGTTAAAGTGATTTGTAGGTCCTTGTGTTGCCATGGTAACAGATGACAGGAGTCTGCTTTAATAAAGCAATGTACAATGTCACATGACTCTTTTAAACTTTGAATAACATTTCTATATTAAAGTATGTTGACACAGTTGTGTCTAAAATGTTGTTAAATGTTTTTGCCAAGCACATTGCCATGGTAACGCAGAACACAGTATCAAGTTAATACAAGACTCCTGGGACCAAGCAGGTTGAACTGATGCATCATATGTGTGGTATCATGTGTGTAGGTGCAGATTTCCTTTTAGGCAGAAGACGAATGAAAACTCTCAGCCAATGAGAGAGCAGCGAAGGAGGAAGGGACGGTTCCTGCCTTCTGACTAGTTAAAATGTCAGCTATGCTGCTAGTTTTAAGTGTATAATAGAGCTCAGAAAGATAACAGCAGTATGTTATAGGCTCAATGTTAGGCTTTTCACATTCATTTAAATGAGACTTGTTTGGGGATGTCCTTATGCACTTGTGTTACCATGGTAACAGATAACATTTAAAATCAAATACAAGATTCCTTAGACCAAGCTGGTCGATTTGATGTATCATATGTGTGGGTGCTCGATCCTGCTTGGACAGAAAATGGTTGAACACTCAACCAATCAGAGAGCAGCACTGTTTTCCTGCCTTTTCAGGCCTGCAGCTGTACTCCTGTTAATGAGGGAAGCCTTTAAATCTGTCCTTCAGAAGTGAAATTGGATCTGTCAAACTTCTCATCACCATTCGAAAAGTACTGTACCGATTTGAAAAATTCAAAAAGCGTAAGCGGCAGAAGGCTTTGACGGTTTATATGCCTACCATGAATTGTCTAGAAGCTATGATGAGAACATTTTAGCTGTCTGAAGCCGATCGGAGGAGAAAATCTCTGTTCCTTTAACATGGGTTTCAATGAATCAGAATCAGGGTCTTTCCTCCTTCTGAGGCTTGTAGAGAAAGAACCCTAACACTTAAGGACAAAACTGAAACCCATTCTGAAAAACTGACAAAACTTCCTACTTTTTGAGATATAATTTGTTTCGTACTCCAAACTAGGGATGAGCGAGTACACCACTATCTGAATCTGTATCTGTTCAACCAACTAAATTATTTGTATCTGTATCTGTACTCGAAATGGGCGTGACATAACCCGGAAGTGGGCGTGGTTTAACCAGAAGTGGGTGTGGTTTACATCAATGTATTATTTTAAGTCTGAACTTGATATGGATTGATCAGAAGTTGCTATGTGTATTGTTTATTTGAAAACTATTTACAGAGCAGCCTCAGAATTTAGATTAAATATTTTTGATCACAATAGTAAAGGAACTATTACAGAACAAACGTTTCAATAAAATCAGAACATTGATATTTAAGTGCATGGATTAATACATCTGAGCTCATGCGGTAGGAAATAGGAAATATGAAATGCTAGAACCAGACACAACTTTATATATATTTTTAATTTTAATTTGATTAAACTGATTTTTTTCTTAACGTTCTTGGCATTTTCCCACACAAAGTTAAACAAAACAATGTTGATTAAGGTGTGTGTGTCTGAGAGAGATAGAGAGGGAGAGAGAGGGAGTTAAAAAAATAAAAAACCCAACCGGAGCGGAGGTAGTGACTGACGCAGCACGTCAGCTCTGTCTTGTCAAATGCACCATGTAAGTTACGAAAAAAGTCACTTTAAATATTCAACCGAAAAAGAGGCGAGCTGAAGAAAACCTAGGGAAAACTGAACAAACGTGAGCAACAGTGAAGCAAGCATAGCGAGATCCGTTACTGTCTGTGTGTGTGTGTGTGTGTGTGTGTGCGTGGATGAGCCAGACGGACTGCGCTCCCGGCCGGCTGCAGAATTTTGTATGTAGGGGCGGGCGCTCTATGTGACTGGCCAATCACAGAGCGTGAAGACAGTCAGTTACCCAATGAGGATTTTCCTTCAGCACGATTACAGATATTTATGAGTTTTACTCGTCTCATGCTCGTATTCGTCAAAAATGCTTTATCCGTACCAGATACTCGTCTGAAATGAGTATCCGGCTCATCCCTACTCCAAACAGTCTGGGTGTTGGAAAGCGTTGTTTACAGAAAATGTGAAGGTCAAAAGTTTGAGTGCGGAATTTTCAGTTTAGAGTGGTGAGAGACATTTTTTTTATTTAAATATTCTCTAAGAAATGAACCGTACGACCACAATGTTTGGAGAACATTCATGATTTATAGCTCAAAACGAAGGTATATCCGTTAGCGGCAAGCCAGCATGCGTCTCATTTCAATCGGACTTATGGTTTTCTCAGGACTATGCCAGAAATGGAGCAAAGGAGGGTCATTGCTCCTTTCTCTGCCCATTATAATTTTTGTGATTTTTTCTGAGAATCTCAAGCTGTACCTCAACTTCTACCTGTGATTTTAGAAAAACTGTAATAGATATCAAAAAGATGTTTTAACCACTATTAGCTGAAAGTCTTGTGAGTAGGAGTTCAAAAAAGTGATAGGATTTAGCTGAAAATTGAGCAATCCCATTCATTTCAATGGGACCAAAAATCGCAGAAAAAGCTGAATATCTCAAAAAGTATAAAATATTTTAATACCAAAAGTCATTACTGGCATAAGCTGAACGAGCCGAACGTTTTGATACCAAAATTGTGTAAAAAGTTGAAGAGTTGTGGAAGTAGTTAAATGCCAAATAACGTACGGAAGCAGGACAATAAATAGACTAATAACTATAAAGAGAAACAGGATCACTATACTTGCATTCAAAGAATTAAATAGACTGGTTGAGCACCAGGACCAAGAGTTCAGCTAGAATCTGATGTAAATGAGCTCTACTGATAAGATAATCAAAAAATACATGTAAAATGGTGACAATGAGTAGGAATGAAAATGACCAACAAGGTGAAAAACAAAGTTGAATTGAAAGTATTAGTTTTCTGTTTAACTGCCACCTGTGTACTTCACAGTTCTGCATTCCTGACATTGCATAAAAGAGCCTCTAGGCTGTAATTTTAAGACATAATTTCTTATGCTTACTGTAAAGACCCCTAGAACACATCTCCTAGAAGAGAAGGTTCACAGCATTTAACCCTGTGTGTGTACGTGCGTGCGTGCGTTCTGCACCCACGCTGACTAAACATTACTTAAAAGCACAAGAAGCTGTCTGTGAGCATCACTGTGCATGTTTTTGCAAGGCAGCCAAGGCTAGCTCAGAGCCTGGGGGGGGGGGGGGGGGGGGGGGGGCTACAGTGCATTCCCACTGTTCAGTGTTGTTGAGTCACCCCTCCCCCCAGTTGGCTAACTAAAGCACACATGCATGCACACACACATAAACACACACACACACATGCAACGCTGTCCCCTACCCCCCTGAATGGGAACATAATAAAAGCCACATGGCCGATGACTTTCAGCTGGCGGCCGCCGAGCCGCGCTCCTCATTCACCGCTGGTCTGACTCGCCTGCTGACTGATCATCTGACAACACCGAAGGTAAAGGGCAAAAAGACCTTGAGGAATGCCGCCTAATGCCTTCTGTTCACTCTTCTTCATCTAACAGGAGCTCCATGCACAGCTGTCTGCACCGGGTTTACTTAATCATTCACTTTAGTTTTGTGCAGAGCTGTAAATATTGAAGGAACTTGTTCATGCGGTGCTTGATTTGGATTTTCTGTCAACAAGTTTCTCTTTTGGGAACCACGACGACTCAAAGTTATATTGAGAAGCAAACAAACTAAAAGCTATGAAAGAGGTTTCAACAATGGTGCCGGTGATAAGTGCATGCTGCCTCTATTGTTGGTTTATTTACTTTTCATGCTGGTGGGAGAGAACGAACAGTAACTCTTGAAAAGTGATGAAAACCCAACAGTAACAGCAGCAGCTGCGGTGAAAGTGAGATGAAGCAGACAGACAGACGACGAGGACTAAGAGGCCATTTTATTTGCTCAGTAAGACACGGACATCTTTCACTGAGCTGAGCAACAATGCTGTTTGAGGATCTGCGATGAACCTGGAAACTAGACGGCTCTCTAACATTCATAATCATAATATTTCTTGCTGCTACAGTTGTTTTTTCTGTACTCCTCCGTGTTTCTATTCTAGAGTATCAGGTATCATTTGGGGTTAAACAGGTCAAGCTGCTCCAAAGTGTTTTAGTCACACAGAAAAACTTGACACTGGACCAAAGTCGTCCTAATGCCACTCAGACATATCCAATGGCATGACAGGGTTCAGCAGGTTAAAGTGGTTGAATGAATCTGACACTTTGGGTAATAGAACATCACAGATTTGTTCTCCGATAACATCCTCTTAGTGAGGATGAGGATTTATGAAACACGTGTTAAACTCTTACAAAACCAGCCTGCGCTTTGAGTCTGAAATCAACATTATTTTGCTCACTTTCCATCAAATCAACCATAAAATGGGACATTTTCACTATTTAGTTCCCATCACTTCTACATTCAAGTCCAATTGTTGAAAGCCTGATTTTTTAAGTAATTAGGTCATTATGGAGCACATGCGACAAAGAGGTTGTAAAATGAAATCTGTAGCTGATGAGTCACATAACGCGTCGTAGAAGGCAATTTAAAAAAATAGTCTATGAGTGGACTCTAACAGAGACAAATGCTCTGTAAAAAGGTACTTTTCCTTTTTGTTAACCTGAATCAAGCTGAGTATTGCCTTTATGTGCTTTATTAAAACAGCACAGCTCAGGTTAAAGTGTGTCCACAAAACTCACCACAGAGAGGGTTTCGGCCCAGCACCAGAATATTCGGTAGAGGCATCATCACTAGCTGCTGGAGGCTCTCCTGTTGCACACAACAAAAGACACAAACAGTTAAGGGACAGGGCATGGACATATTTTACATTTACGAAAATCAAATATCTAGAGATGTTTGATCTTATGGGCAGATATTATGAAAATGTATTAACGGAAATTAGCTGTATTGTGTTTTACTCTTTTAATGACTCGACTTTTACATTCCATGCACATATTGTACATCAAATTCTTCAGTTACTTCTCTCACTCAAAATGTCAAAATGTGACTGATGGCAGTAGATGTCATATTTTGCACAGATAATGTTAGTTTAGAGGAGTAGAACACTTATGTATTGAATACATTTGCAGTGGTCTCTTGTAGGCATGAATGCCTTGTAAGGCGTTTAAGAGGAAAAATATACCGGATCACCACTTTCAGGATCTACGGTATATTTTTCCCCTTGAACGCCTTTTTTGAGCCACATCACAGCTGAGCTTCAGGTGACAGGTTTTGGGGTCGTATTTCTTGATATTTGGACATCTCGCTTCTGATCAGATAACAGCAATGCGACTCTACCACTGACTTACAACGTGGATGTTATTTTCACAAATAACACAAACCTGGAGGAGCTTCTGCCATGTGGTGAAGTTGCTAATGTTACCGGTTAGCTTCAACTAGTCGGGAAGTTCTCCCATGATTCCCAAATGTTAAACCAAACAGCAGACTTCCCCCCTTTGTGAGTCAAGGTGGGTGAGTCCATAAATGCTAATTCACAGGGTGAAAATTTTCAAACGCTGGAGTTTCACCGTCTATTTTTTATCAGAAGCTAATGCAGGAGATAGGTGTAGGAGACCATTTTCTTCTTCAGTCTGCATGAAAAACTTGGATCGATTAATCAGAAAAATACACATCTTATACAAGACAATGTGATGTCAGCTACCAAATATGATTCAGTTTTTCTTTTTTCATGCGGGGACATCACATATTGATATATCAATATCTAGGGTTGGGCATCGATTGGATCTATAGCAAATTTTTTAGTTTTGTCTGGAATTGATCAAATTTTTTTAACTTCAACTCCTAGTTTTGATACAAGTCTGCCGACCCAGAGAAGAAACTGCCAAATACCAACGAAGAAAAATCAGCCAGAAGTCTTTGCATTACCATGTTCTTAAGTGTGCCTTCACTAGAAAGTTCATAGAATTTAAATTCCTGGAGAAGTTCCGACTACTTCATCAATAAGACCTGTATGGTTAACGGACTCACATAAAAACATGTAAAGCTTTTGACTCTGCCTCTTGAAAGATTCGGGAGTAGTTAGAAATGGGAATCAAAACATGAAATTGGAATCAGAATCATTCTAATTCAAACAATGCCCAATGCGATGGTGGCACAGGAGTTAACGGTTCGCCCCGTAATCGGAAGTTTGCAGGTTCGAGCCCCGCTCAGTCTGTCGCTGTCATTGTGTCCTTGGGCAAGACACTTAACCCACCTCGCCTGCTGGTGGTGGTCAGAGGGACAGGTGGCGCCAGTGCTCGGCAGCCTCGCCTCTGTCAGTGAGCCCCAGGGCAGCTGTGGCTACATCGTAGCTCATCCCCACCAGCATGTGAATGTGTGTGTGAATGGGTGAATGACTGATTGTGTTGTAAAGCGCCTTGGGGGGTTCCACGACTCTAGAAGGTGCTATATCAAATACAGGCCATTTACCATTTTACCAACCCTATCTTTAATGGAAATAAAGTTTTTGGTAACAATGACGATATCGAACATGCCTACAACCAAAGATTTCTGATTAGGACAAAGAATTTATTTTCAGCACAAACAAGAACCTCCTGTGGCTGAGAAGGTCATATGAGACATCTTGTGGCATCTAAAGCCAAAAAAAGAGAAAACACGCTCCTCAGGGCTCCGACAGCAGTCTGGTATTATCTCCATTCAAAACACAGTAAAAGAGTCTGACAGCCCTAGACTAAGAGTTTTATTCATGTTCCAGCAAGGATAAAAAGTCATCATTAAAAAATCAAAAGTAGCAACCTCAAAGTACACAATGCGTGTACTAACAAAACCTTGATCAAAGTGCTTTTCGTTTACAAGGCTGCCTCAGTCACCTATGAAGGATTTCAAGGTACCAGAGCTGATCTGGAACCGTTGAAATGGAAAATCTGATTCTGGATCTGGAATGTTTATGCAAATAACAATTGTGGGTTAACCCTTTAGAACTCAAAACCTTTTTAACTAGAAAACAGGAATAACTACATTGAAATGCAGAAAAAAATTTAATAAAATAAAGTAAAATCATTTCCGATTTACGTATGGATAGAATGTCACTTTGGAATTTATTCTTGAATATTTGACTCAAGAAGCAATTTTACAGATAATTGGAATGGGTTGTGGGTGAAACAGTGTCACCACGGGTCTTTAATGGTTCAATGGATTGTTACCAAAATGCTCCTTTTATTTGTGCGCCAGTCAACAGGAAGTTTGCTTTTGGTAAAGATGTGCAAGACCTAACAGGTTTAAGTTGCTTACTATATCCAACTCTGGTCCTGATGTTAAGGAGATCGCCCTGGTGTGACGAACTACGGAAGCTCCAATGACATCACGTCTGACCCTGACAGACCGGTTGCGCCGTGCCCAGGCTCCGCCCACCCAGTATATACACTGCCAACCAACCCCTCCTACTCATTCGGATGATTTCTTACCATTAATGCAAGAAGGGAACTGTTGGTGAAACACCTCACTCTGTTATCAAAGAACGGGGGTTTACATAACGTAAACCAACGTTCTTCTTCTAACTTCGTTCGGTGTTTCACTGTGGGAGATATGGCCCACTCCCAGATTGCATGTCCATCCCGAAGAGAGCTGCAGCAAAATTCTGCTTAGCCACTAAGCAGATGCTGTGCATCCTGCCTCCAGCGCTGAATGCGCCGGTGAAGGTTGAGACACATCCAGCCTGTAAAACCGCACAAAAGTTAGCGGTGTAGCCCAGCTAGCTGCTGCACAGATATCCTGGACTGACACCCCATGAAACAGGGCCCAAGATGTGGCCATGCTCCTTGTAGAATGAGCCCTCACCCCCAGAGGGGGTTCAGCACCCTTACACTTATATGAAAGGCTGATTGCTTCTACAATCCAGTATGCCAGTCTCTGGCGAGACACAGGTTTCCCTTTATGAGCCATGGCCCAAGAAAAAAACAACTGGTTAAGCAGCTAACCAAAGATAGCCTGAAAATTGCTGAGGGAGCAAAGTGTAGTTTCTCACGGGAAGAAAGCGAGAATGATTAGGAGGGGTTGGTTGGCCGTGTATATACTGGGTGGGCGGAGCTGTAGAAAGAGAGAGTTACGACGATGCTTTGAACTCGCCAACTTGCGGTCACGTGGTTCATGGAGCTCTCAATTGTTCCAAACATCCCAGCACCGTAAGTCAGTTTGAACGGCGTATGGCGAGACAAATCACAAATATTGAATATAATCACATTTCCCCTGGTATTTTTTGGTAATTATTGAATAATATATATTATATTATATATTATGTCCTAATTCCTTCACAAAGTAGCCCATTTTTTTCCCGAGCATTTGTAGGAAGACCGACACCCGTGACTGTTCTACATTACAGGAATACGACAGTCCTAACACACTGTAGAATACATTTAGACCACATACATTACTATAATATAGCAATAAATTTGGCTTAGTAATGCAACACACTGCTCTAATATAAGCATATTTAACAGCTTTAAGTCCTACAAGAAGCCCTAAACTCGAGTTGTAATATCCATTTTAAAGTGGTTTATTGAAAGCTAGAATTCTGCTCCAGCTCACCTTAAAGAAAATATGTAGCCGTTTATGCTTTGAATGGTGATCTATTATGTTCAGTAAAATACATTGTACAATCATAACTTTATATTTTTATGTGAAGACAGTACATGCATCTATAACCCAGTTTATCTGGCTTCTATGGCAATTAATTAAAAAGAAAATTTCAACACCAAAATTGTACAACATGTATAATAGCATTGTTAATAAAGCATTTTTACCAGCATTATGTTTAGTCATTACATATGCACAAATAAGAGGAATCAATAATTTTGAGCAATGCACTCAAGACCTAATGAAACTCTTTCGAATAACTTTATTTTGATTATTATTAAAATAAAATTAGTCAGTGGGTTAAAATTAGAAATTACAAATTTTAGAGTTGGATAAAATTTTAAAATGTACTTTTACATCTCTATATTTTTTTTAGTTCAATATTTCTGTATGTAAAAAAATAGTATTTTCATAATCCCTTTATAGGTTGATTATCTTACATGGTTGGCTGCGCTGCATATAGCAATCGGTCTGAGGGAGGAATCAGAATTATGGCTTACCCAAAGACGCAGAGAGAAGAAAATGGTTGGCTCAAGTCAGCAGGAGCAACCTCACCATGACCAGAGATCACAATAACAAAAAGCTGTGTGCAGTGAGTTTAATGTGCACTCTCGAATGTTTTCCATCAAGGCACTACATGTTTTGCTCTCAACTGCACAAGGCTGCAATTAAACTGTTAAATGTGGCAGAAAATAAACTAATACACCACTCTACAGGCACATTTTGAGGAGGGACAGTTTACTAAGACTAGGCAAGGCAAGGTGAGACTCAGGGCTGATGCTGTGTTTGTTCATCGCCCTGAACCAAGGAGGAGGAAGAATCCTGTAGTGAGAAGTACAGCAGAACCACTGCATGTTGATCCACTGACCAGTGACCACCTATATTGTTCTCAAGTAAACTGTGGTACAAATCTTCTGAAATATTAAGACATTTGTATTTATTTTATTTAAAAATGATTCTTTATTCTAACAGTGTCATTATTATTTCAGAGAATGAGGAAAGCAGCAGCAGCAGCAGTGAAGCAAATGAGATGAGGGAAAGTGAGGGGGGACATGAGATGGTATCAGGAGAGAGGGACATCCCAGGAAGCCATGAGGAGCCGGCGTCAGGGCCAGGAGGAGAAAGGAACAGGCTATGCAGCCAGGGAACCCAGCTGGAAAACCTAAGGGAGCAAACAA